AGAAGCACAATACAAGGAACTCAAATACTTTGCATTGAACCGACAAGATTTCAACCTCAATCCATAAACTATTACCCATCCATATCAATAGTTTTTACTGGAATAAAAATCAGTTTAGGTTTTTATTTACTCTCTTTGTGGTCTCTGTCTGCTCTTACCCTCTCCCTGTTTACATTGATTCTTCTCCTCAGTGATGTCCGGTTCTGGAGCTGCTGTGAGGCTGCACGAGTTCAGAGACGATGGACCCAGGATAACACCAAAGTGAGTGAAAATATATATATAAAATGTAAAAAATAACCATGAAATGTATAAATCAGGTTCATATTTTTGATGAAAGATGGAAAATGGGGAACATTTCTAATGACCCTCCACTTACATGTGACAATGAATGTACATATGATTTAAATGATGCATCCATTACTGGTTAACTATATCATACAAAATATTGCAGAATTGTATTTTGTCTCTTTAATGTATACTCTAGTTTAAACTGTATCCCATGTTGTTATGTGAGTACGGAAGAGGATGAGTGCCACAGGTGAATTTATCTTTTGGTTAAAGTCAGAACTTTTTTCTAAGAACAAAAAAACAACAATCACTTTTGGTCAGTTCAAAAAAGAAATCCAAATGTGGCAATTATCCACTTTCGTATGTATGTCTTGTAACCATTTAATTTCTTAAAATGCGAATAAAAAAATCAACTTAGGTGGAAAGCACTGGTACTGATACGTCTTTTTTTATACGTCTTTTCTGTACATTTAACTGTTTATCGTACTGTATGTCTGTTTCAGGTCGTCTCGTGTCGGGAGAGATGTGCAGGGATTATATCCAGGACAGCTGGGTCGAGTCCACATTGCCCCCTCAAAGGATTATGGGTAAGGCTCTGCCGTTTAAAATGAGAATACAAATCATAATTCCTTTAAATATACTGCGTTACATCTGCAGCAAGACAAAAGTCAAATAAGTAGACTAACGTGTTAAATAAGAAAGACAGGAACATGTAGCATAAAATCAAATGTGTGCAAAACCATGTCAGATCAAATATACTGCTATATTTATGTATATTTGATGTCATTAAGATGTTTTTTTCTGATCTAAAAGCTTTCGAAGAGAAAGCCAATACTTTTATTAAAGGTCACCTATTATGCAAAATCCACTTCTTCATGTCTCTTCTACATCAACATGTGTCCCCTCTTCTTCATGTCTCTTCTTCATCAACATGTGTCCCCTCTGTGTAAAGAGATTCTGAAAGTTTCAGGAGAAAAAACCCCCTCTCTTTTTGTCCTTATCCATTTATATAAAAACCTGTCTGAAAATGAGCTGATCAGATTTTGGCCACTTTGTGATGTCATAACGATGTTTTGGCTTGTGTAACCATTAGCCAATCACCAACCAAGGTAACCCCCCCCCCACCCCTTATCACCTGAATCTCCTCCTAGAGCACCATTAGGCGCGTTCACACCAGAGTACTTTTCCCCGTACTTTTCCTGTTTAGCTAGAGAGGTGGTACCAAAAAAGTACCAAAAAGTACCAATTTCTATTGGCTGGGCGAATTGCAAACCACGCCCCGTAGAACTCTGAAAAGTTTTGTGAAGCCGCCATTGTATTTCTGGCATTAGCATTATCAGCATTAGCATTAGCCCCGCGCACCAACGGAGAGAGAATAACTTATGGCAACACAAAAAAAAACATAGGAGCGGTGGAGTGATGAGGAGGTGTCGGCGTTCTGGCGATTTACTCGGAAGGCTTCAGTAGAAGCTGCTGGGACTCCCAGCAGCGTCTACTGAAGTCCCCAACTCCGGGGACTTCGGGTGGCCGGCCGGGGACTTTGGGTGGCAGTATACGCCGTGAAGTTGTTTGCGGCCTGCCAGTAAACCCAAAGCAGAAGAAGAAGAAGTGACGTCAGCGGCTCATTTGCGTAATCTTCCCTCAGGGAACTTATTCCGGTGTGAACGCGATCTGTACTTAGTGCCCTGGGGTACTTAGTGCCGGGGCACTTAGTGCCGGCACTAAGTACGGCAAAGTACTTGGTGTGAAAGCGGCTAATAACTCAAGTACTCTACTTAGGTTAAAAATCTGTTAGTTAAAAAAGTGTTTCTAAGTATGTAACTTCTAATCACTTACCTCTTAAAGGTTAATATTGCCATTGCTTCTACACTATGTTACTACTCATAGATTTGATAAACTCTAGATTAAGGAAACAAAATAAACCTATTATTGTCAATAATAGCTTTATTAACCTCTAAGGGGAAATCAACAAGTGTCCTGTCTCGAAAGATCATTTAAAAGTTTTATTCTTTAAATGAGCTTTTGCCATGTCCCTTTGTCTTGTGCCTTCCTGTTTTATTTTGAGAAGTCATTGTCCCTCTCGTTTCAGGTCACTGTGCTCCCCGCCCCTATGTGTCTCCTGCGTTTGTGATTGTCTCCACCTGTGCCCCTTACCTTGTGTGTATATATCGTCTTAGTCTTACCCTGTCCTGTGTCAGTTCGTCTTCTCTCATGACTCGACATATCAGCGTACCTTCAAGCCCGATCCATGTCCGTTGTTTTGTTTTAAGCTCCTTATGGAAGTATTTAGTTTTCCTCGAAAGAGTGATTTTGTGTTCTCTGTTTTGTTACTGTGAATTAAGAGTTGTGCAATTGGGTTCATACCTCTGAGTTCACCCCTTGACAACAAGCAACTCAACAGTAAATAAAGTTTTATATTTCAAATATTAAAACAATTCCCCTCTCCATTTAATTAGTTATTTATTTGTATTCATTAATTACTTCATTATTTATTTTTTGTTATTTTTATTTGACTATTTATTTATTATTATTTCTCATGTCTTCTTTCATCATTTCTATAAACGATGTGGATTCAGTTTAAGGGAAATTGGGACAAAAACCGTAGGCTAAAGTGTGAACATGTTTGTATAAGTGGCTGAAACTGAAATAAAAACAACATACCTGCAAAACTGAAGTACACTGAATAATAACCATTTTGAAAAATCCTGTTTTACAAAATAAAGGATAAAATGTTCCTTTGTGTTTTAAGAAAAGTTTCCTACTTATTGAGTTAAATACAGTTATCATGAAAAATGCTCTTTTTAAAATGTTAGGATTTGAGGTTTTCAGCGACAAATCAAAAATGACCTTATAGAATATGATGAATTGCTTCAGATGAAACAGTAGCTAAAGGAGTTAGTCAGCACAACGTTACACATCTACAGCAGTAAAAGGTGACATACACATTAATGCAGTAGCCCTATTAACCTAAAATCAATATACAATAGTAGTCGTTAAGCAGAATGGCCTGTTTTAGAAAGGCATAAATAAGGTGCAGCTGCAAGGATAAGCTTTTATACATTTCCTCAGAAGTGGGAGAAGTACTCAGATCTTGTACTTGAGTAAAAGTAGAAGTACTCAGATCTTGTACTTGAGTAAAAGTAGAAGTACTCAGATCTTGTACTTGAGTAAAAGTGGAAGTACTCAGATTGTGTACTTGAGTAAAGGTGGAAGTACTCAGATCTTGTACTTGAGTAAAAGTAGAAGTACTCAGATCTTGTACTTGAGTAAAAGTGGAAGTACTCAGATATTGTCCTTGAGTAAAAGTAGAAGTTCTCAGATCGTGTACTTGAGTAAAAGTAGAAGAACTCAGATCGTGTACTTGAGTAAAAGTAGAAGTACCAGAGTGTGGGAATACTGTGTTGCAAGTTCAAGTTCTGCATTCAAAACCGGCCGCGAAATGTTTTCATTTGCACATTAAAAAGTCCACTGAAAAGCTCAGTTTTTAACATATACCATTATGTACAATGATAGGCCAAATTAATGCACAAAATAAACACTTTTCTTTATTTACAGTGTGCTTTTTTAACAGCAGAGCTACCTCTGAGATGAATTTCAAACACACAATAAAGCACGCATTTTGTCAGAGAGTAAAACTTTAAAAGCTCCTGTATGCTGTTGTATTATTCGCCAATAAGCAATTACTAAAATACCCTAGACAAGACCCTACAGACGGAGCTGCTGTCGTCCCAAAATACACGATGATTATGCCCTACCTTTTTTAATAAAAAAAAGTGAACTATGCATTCTTCTATTCTATTGCAAATGTATAATTTGGTGTCTGAATTGCACTGTTATTATCTCCTTTAAAGCAGTTATCATTCAAAGAAAGAAGGGAAACATCGAAACAGCTGAAAACAAACACATTACATTTCATTTCATTTATCTGATGCTTTTATCCAAAGCAACTTACAATAACTGCATTCAAGGATGAAACAAACTTAAAAGCAATAATCCTGCAGGTACATTTCCTATCTATAAGCACAACCATTCAGTGCTACTGCATTAGCTTAGCTTCACTTAAAGCCAAACCTTTAAGAGTAAGTGCTACGTGGCTCTTTACTTTTGCTGTAACAATGTACACTCTTTGGGATGAAAAATACTAATAATTGTACATTTGTTGTTATTTATCTTTACTTGCTTGTCAAGCGTCTTTGAGCACCAGGAAAAGCGCTATATAAACACCATGTATTAGTATTATTATAAAGGTATTCTGATTGCAATGTAATGGAGTAAGAGGCTGATACAATGTGGGTCACCTCTCCCACGACCAGAGGATTTATCAGCCTGAAACTCTACTGTAGATTGTTCAACATAACAATAGTAGTTCTAGTATTAAAAAGTCTTAACAACATCCTCCGTGGAAAACGGTATTCACTGAAACTGCTGTCCACCTGCTCACCTTTCCTGTTGTTGTTTTGTATTTGTTGGGCTTAACATGATAGCTAATGAAACTAATGCCCTCATATTAAACACACACAGTGTATTCACAGTGCTGACACCAGATCCTCTGAAATGATGAATGTGTTGTGATGACGAGAGGAGATAAACTGTCTGTTTTTTCTCTGAGGGCCAGGTCTTTTCAACAGGACGAAGGTGTAACCTGTGAATAAGAAAGGATGTGTTCAGGTAGACGGATCATCCCCACTCCGACCTCTTTATTTCTCAGAAACATGAAGCTATTAGTGATATTTGGTGCACTTCCTGATCCCTGTCTCCAGGCGCCAGGGAGCGGCCTTTTATCCCAGCAGAACAAAAGGTGCAGGTTTCTCTGTTATTGGTCACCAGACAAGATAAATACCATGTCTCGTATGTGTTCAGAGCGTTGCAGTGAAGATGAGGGTCTTTGTGTGCTTGTTTCTGGTGTCGGTGCTGGGCTGCAGTCTGGCTGAAGGGAAAGTCGTGTCCAAATGTGATCTGAAGAAGGAGTTTAACAAGCTGCCGGAGATAGAATGGCCCGAAGGACACACAATGACTGATAACTTCCTGGCTAAGCGTGAGTACTGGCTGTCGTGTCAAATTATCATATAATCATTTAAAACATATAGTCTTCAAAGTCAAAGTCAACTTTAATGTCAATCTTACTCAGTTTGTGTTTACAGACAGAGATCGAAATGACGTTTCCAACAATCCCGAATATACAATTATACAATATAGAGATATGTATAAAAATATGTATAAAATATGTATACCCTATATACACAATCAACAGACACATTTACACATATGCACACATTAAGATCAAAAACACAACAATCAATATATACAAAATAACAGTCTCTTCAATATCAATATCTTTGGTGCAAGATTGTCCATAAAATGTGCATTTATTGCAGATTGTCCATAGCAGCGTAACAAATAGTGTCTGGTGCTGGATTTGAGTGTCTGAGTGTGTGTGGGGAGTTATAGCAAATAATCATATAATAATTTAAAACATATAGTCTTATACTCTGGTTAATTGTATTTTTAGTCTTGTATGTGTTTAACAGAGACACATGTTAAGGGTTTACATTTCAGGAGGGCAAAGGAAGTGTAAAAGGGGGATTTGCAAATGTTAAAGTGGACCTATCATGCTATATTTGAATAATATAGTGTAGGACCATACCTATATAAGGTATATTTATACTTTTTTTTTTTCAAAATACCAAACAGATCATGCATTTTAGCCATGCCTCATTTTGCTCAATTTGACATTTTTTATCCCTGTTTTTGTAAGGGCAGATTCAGTGAGAACAGCACCACCTACAGGCCTGGCATATGTACTACAGCGTCTCCAGCGCTTTCGAACGGCAATGGCCGTGGCTGTCTCCTCCTGATTGGTGGAGTTGCAGATCCGTTGCAGCCCCTTTTTTAGAGATTTGGGTATGGAGGAAAATAGAGAGGGTTGTGTTTTCTGACACTTGGTGAGTTCCCTGGAACACCAGGGACACATATTCATGTAGAAAAGACGTACAAAAGTACATTTTGCATGATAGGTCCCCTTTAAGGACGAGGGGTTTTATGGTTTAATGATGGGGATGTTTAGATGATGCCTAAGAGAATTTAAGGGTGGGACCAGTTGGATTTTATCTACTCTATAGTGTGACTGTAAACTGTGTTCTGGGTGCAGAACTTCTCTATCCTCTGAGGATGAAGTTGCTCTGCTCCTGCATTTGAGATCAATTTCACTTGTATACACAAACTTTGTCCATGAATCATTTATCAGTTTCTCTTAAGAATGTCCTCCACACAGGCTGAAGCATTGGTTTAAAGTATGCAGAATGTTGATTATTCTCTCAGACAGCATGCTTGGGACTGGGTGAGAAAGCTTCAGCATTTGTTGGGCAGGAGCTGTGTCACCTCGTTGCTTCAGCAAATCCTCCGGGCAGTAACTCCAAATGCATCTTCAGTTTCTGACATCAGTCTGATCTCTTTCTCTCCTTGTGTTCTGATCCAAAAGTTCCTTAAAGGGGACCTATCATGCAAAATGCACTTTTGTACGTCTTTTATACATGAATATGTGTCCCCGGTGTTCCAGGGAACTCACCAAGTGTCAGAAAACACAAGCCTCTCTATTTTCCTCCATACCCAAATCTCTAAAAAAGGGGCTGCAACGGATCTGATAAAAACTGATCCAGATTTGAACACTGTCCTGACGTCAGGACGGTGGCGCTACGGCTATTGGGCCAACTCCACCAATCAGGAGGAGACAGCCACGGCCATTGCCGTTCGAAAGCGCTGGAGACGCTGTAGTACATATGCCAGGCCTGTAGGTGGTGGTGTTCTCACTGAATCAGCCCTTGCATAAACAGAGCTAACATTTTTCAAATTGAGCGAAATGAGGCATGGCTAAAATGCATGATCTGTTTGGTATTTTGAAAAAAAAAAAGTATAAATATGCCTTATATAGGTATGGTCCTACACTATATTATTCAAATATAGCATGATAGGTCCACTTTAACAGTTTGTGTGAATGTTTCTCGCCGTGTCTTTGGCACCTCCTCAACTCTGCCTTTTTTTCGTTTTATTTCAGTGTTTGTTTACTTTACGTCGTGTGCTTTTTACTTTGTATTTGTATTAACTTGCTCATCTCATAACATTCTCTTGCACTAGTTTATCTGTTTTATTTGTTCTATTTCCTCTATATACATTAATGTTGCACTGTTGGAGGAGCCTATGACTTCAGTGTTTCATTGCCATATCAGTAGCTAATGTGCAAATGATAATAAAGCCTTGAAAATTGAATTGAAACTCCTTTGTCTTAGTTATCTGCCACGTGGAGAAGGCGTCAGAATTTAACACCAGTTCCGTGAACCAGCTGATTCCCAGGAAGAAGGAGGAAGAGGAGGCGGAGCAGTGGACCCTCTACGGTCTCTTCCAGCTCAGCGATCACCTGATCTGCAGCGATGGAGCCACGCCGTCACCTGACCGCATCTGTAACGTCACCTGCAGCGGTGAGTGGTGAACAGTTTGTGGTGAAGAGGTTATTGTATTTTTAGGGAAATGTCTTATCCGTAAATAGATTGAATTACATTACCTAAAACAAACATTCCTGTTATCGTAGGCCCAGGCCCCTGTTGGCCCCCCTTAGAACCGCCCATGTCCGTGAGCAAGATACTGAACCCCATAGGACTCTGTATGAGTATGTTTGAAAAGTAAAGGATCTGAGTATTTCTTCCAGCACTTGATGTAGTAGAAGTAAAAAGTGGCATCAAGTGAATTGTGAATAGAGTGGTGCAGGGATGACGTATTTACCCGGAAGTAAGCTGTGCATGGGTTCCCTCGACAAAAAAAGCAATGGGATTTCTCCATAGGATTTTGGAAAATAGCTCGAAATAAGATCTGTGGAAAACAAGCCTGTTTGATAAATGCACGTTTTGTTCATCCGGATAATCTCCACATGTCTTCCCTACTTTTATAATTTTCTAATCATAAATCTAATCGCCAGAAGCAAAATGCTAACGTTATGCTATAAACGAACTACAGCAGGGTCACACGACTTCAACGTCACGCCAACTTAAGATCCATATTCAAACATACAGATTAAAAATGGTACAAATTGAAGCGTTTGTTTGAACAGTCTGCAGGAGGCAGGTACTTGCTTTCAAGCAGAACAGGGCAAACAAACTTAGCGGAGTGTTTACGTGTTCGGCGTAATGACGTACAACGTCCTCCACAACTTCTGTAGTCCTATTCAACCACTTGGTAACAACCATCGTTTTCAGACACGTCAACTCTTCAGAAATCACCAGTGGGGTCACTGCTGATGTATTTAATGTCGTAAAACAAAAGGTGGTCCGTCTCTTAAATGTCTCTCAACCACAGACCTTATTTCCAGATATTTTCCAAAATCCTATGGAGAGATCCCATTGGCTCTGAGACGAGGGAACCCGTAGCGGTAAAATGCTAACTCACTTCCGGGTTTTAGAACTCATCACTGCACCACTCTATTACGTAAAGGATAATACTTTAGTAAATGTAGGTGCATTCCAGTAAGTGTGTGAGATGTGTGTGAGATGTGACAGTTCTGAAAAATGAACAGTAACAACAGCTCACTCTAAATGTCTTCTTCTCTCCTCTAGAAAAAACAACAACATTTGTATACTTTAGTTCAAACATTTCCAATCTATAAAGCAGTAAATATGTTTCCTTTCCAGCCTTGGTGGATGACCACATTGAAGATGACATCAGCTGCGTGTTGAACATCGCCAAAAAAGTCATGTGAGTTCATTTTAAAATGTCTTCACAGTTAAATCAGCGTTCACATCAAACTGTCAGATAACCTGTGTACAGTTACTTATCTTTTTAAAAGGTTTATTATGTTATTTAATGCTGACTTTATTGTGCAATGACCTCCAAGATAATTGATTACACTTTTGTTAAATGTGACATATTAACATGCATTTATAAAATCTGCCTGTTTTCATTCACGAAAGAAAATGAAAATGTTTTACACCGAGACAGTCGACTGTGTTTCTTAAAGATCCCGACATGTTCTAAGACATAAAAACACAAACGTAAAGAAAGAGACAGCTTTAAAGGTGGGGTAGGTAAGTTTGAGAAACCGGCTCGAGATACACTTTTTGTTATATTCCATGGAATGCTCTTAACATCCCGATAGCAATGAATATCTGAAGTGCTTTGACAAAAAATCCATTAAAAAATGTCATCTGTGGAAGCCGTGGCGCTGTAAAAAGCACGACCAATCATCTGAGCCGGCCCGGCTAAAATAACTGGATGGCCTACCTGCCTGTCAGCCTTCCATCTGTGCACAAACTTATCTCGTGCCCTCATTGGTCATGTGCGCGTACGTGTGTGTTGGAGGAGGGGCTCTGTAAGGAAGTGGCAGATTTTCTCCGGTTGTGTATTTTCAAATTCTAGCGATCTCGAGCCGGTTTCTCAAACTTACCTACCCCACCTTTAAGTTATTTTATAATGTAAAGCTCTTCATTGCCTTCAGTTCCACGAGTCAACAGTAAAATACTGCCGACACATTAAAGCAGTAGTAATCTTGATCCAAAACATCATATATAACTTTTACTTTTCACACTTTGAGTACATTTTTCTGAAAATACTTACTTACTTTTAATTTAGTTTGATGTGGGACTTTTACTTCTAGGCAAGGCAAGTTTATTTATATAGCACATTTCAACACAAGGCAATTCAAAGTGCTTTACAACAATGAAAGACATTAAAATTACATTTAAAAACACTAATTTAAAAGCAAAGGTACATTAATTAAAGTGACAGTGCAGTGTGAGATTTAACTTGTCCTTTAGTTATTTCAAACGAACCCCCCTTTGGAACATTCTAATCTGACCCCATGGTACCTTTTAGTATTCAGTGAAACTATTCCTCTTTTTTATTTTTAAATGCACGTTGGTTAAGTTTACCTTGTCTTTCTAGGACTTTTTTGGTATCCTCTGTGAACCAGGGTCTTGAGACCAAAACGGCACACGTAGGGGACTTTAACCCCAATAATGACTTTAACTACCTACAGGAGGACTTTAACCCCAATAATGACTTTAACTACCTACGAGGGGACTTTAACCCCAATAATGACTTTAACTACCTACGAGGGGACTTTAACCCCAATAATGACTTTAACTACCTACGAGGGGACTTTAACCCCAATAATGACTTTAACTACCTACGAGGGGACTTTAACCCCAATACACGTAGGGGACTTTAACACCAATAATGACTTTAACTACCTACGGGGGACTTTAACCCCAATAATGACTTTAACTACCTACGAGGGGACTTTAACCCCAATAATGACTTTAACTACCTACGAGGGGACTTTAACCCCAATAATGACTTTAACTACCTACAGGGGGACTTTAACCCCAATACACGTAGGGGACTTTAACCACCTACGGGGGGACTTTAACCCCAATACACGTAGGGGACTTTAACCCCAATAATGACTTTAACCCCAATACACGTAGGGGACTTTAACCCCAATAATGACTTTAACTACCTACAGGGGGACTTTAACCCCAATACACGTAGGGGACTTTAACCACCTACGAGGGGACTTTAACCCCAATACACGTAGGGGACTTTAACCCCAATACACGTAGGGGACTTTAACCCCAATAATGACTTTAACCCCAATACACGTAGGGGACTTTAACTACCTGCAGGGGGACTTTAACCCCAATACACGTAGGGGACTTTAACTACCTACAGGGGGACTTTAACCCCAATACACGTAGGGGACTTTAACCACCTACGGGGGGACTTTAAACCCAATACACGTAGGGGACTTTAACCCCAATAATGACTTTAACTACCTACAGGGGGACTTTAACCCCAATACACGTAGGGGACTTTAACCACCTACGAGGGGACTTTAACCCCAATACACGTAGGGGACTTTAACCCCAATACACGTAGGGGACTTTAACCCCAATACACGTAGGGGACTTTAACCCCAATAATGACTTTAACCCCAATACACGTAGGGGACTTTAACCCCAATAATGACTTTAACTACCTACAGGGGGACTTTAACCCCAATACACGTAGGGGACTTTAACCACCTACGAGGGGACTTTAACCCCAATACACGTAGGGGACTTTAACCCCAATACACGTAGGGGACTTTAACCCCAATACACGTAGGGGACTTTAACCCCAATACACGTAGGGGACTTTAACCACCTACGAGGGGACTTTAACCCCAATAATGACTTTAACTACCTAGCTAAAAAAGGTTATACTTTGGTCAGCAGTTGAATAAAGAAAACATGTTTTGCAGTCAAACTCTGCACATACATCATCCTGCAGATTGAAGGTCAAAAAGACAGTAAGACACAAAAGACGTTTCTGAGGGAACGTGAAATTAAAGGATTCATCACGAAAGCAAGCCCTTTTTTAAGCATGCTGCAAAATCCTAACGAAAGTTCCGTGAATGACGATGTGAATATTTCCACAGTGATGGTGGTTTCGCGGTGGAGCGCAGACGTGAGTTTTGGAGAATGTGAGTAATATCTTTATACAGTCTTTGTGTTGCACGTATTCTACCTTTTAAATGCAATAAATTACCATTTCATCATACAAATGACCTAACAAAACCAACATGTGTGGATCTGTTCTGTTGTTTTGCAGGGTGAGGCTCATCTTCCAGCCCGACTGCAACAATGAGACCGCAGGAAACTACTTTGCCGAATGCAAAGACTAATAACTATCGTGGCGTAATGAACCTTTTCCTCCAGAGTTGAATTATAGCAGTAATAAAGAGAAGCATGTTGCACCTTTTGTTGTGTTGTTCATATTGCAAGTCTCATTTAAAGTGATTGAAAAACGTTCAAATGTGGTATTAAATAAAATAAATTATTACTGCTTTAAAACTACTATTTAAAACTACAGGTGTAAGGAGCTGTAGGAAATGTTAAGGAGGTCGAATGTATTTGAATCTATATGGGACCCAGCCCATTGACAAATGTCCACTGTAGGGGACATTTTGTTAACATGCATCTCCTTTTACTCTTTTGAGCTACTCTATAAATCCCTGATGTACTGTACAGAGGGCATCCTGGGCTTTCCAGTGATATGTCATCGGTTACAATTGCATGCTGGGAAGTTCCTCTTTATTTTCATCCAAAATGGCTGGCATACCAAAAACAACATTTTATAGAAGCATGAGGAGAAGTCAAATATTGTTGAATAATTGATATTTTTAAAGGTCCCATGTCATGGCCATTTCTACTGATCATATTTCCATTGTTGAGGTCTACTAGAATAGATTTCAATTGTGCAATTTTCCAAAATAGCATTGGTTTCTCATACAGTATCTCTGTACAGTATGTGTATTCACTCTCTGTCCTAAACGGCTTGTTGGAGCTCCTGCCCCCCCCCCTCCCTGTGAGCCCACTGTGCTCTGATTGGTCGGGACGTTGCGAGCTCGTTGCTGCGAGGAGCGGACAGGTTTCCGGGTCGGCGATACAGCGAGAACAAGCGAAACTCATCCTGAGCACACACAAACACTCACAGCCGAAGTAAAAACAATAAGTGTGGCTTGTTATTGAGTAAGAAACAGGTTTATAACGCTGTGAGAATGGGTCTGCGGAGAGCATTTCTCCGCGATCCCAACTCGTCTATTACCAGCGTTCAGGGAGCTCTACGCAAGTCAATGGGGACTCCCTGTTAGTTAGCCAAGGGATCCTGGTGTGTGAGGTGCTCCGCGGATTGGTCCATACTTTGTTGTTGATTTGGGTGTTCACACGTCACAGAACCCAGGAAGTAAACAATGGAAAATGAGACATTTCCAACGAGGCGTTTTGAGGCAGCATAGACAGGTCTTTTCTGTGTTAGAGTTTTACTCCCTACAGGGTGTACTTTGAGGGTTTGTGACTCTGCAGACCGTTCACATGCAGAAAAACCTTCATAACACACAAGGGGACGGGTAATAACCGGAAAAGCATGACATGGGACCTTTAACATGAAAACTCAATGACTGAATATTGTTGCAGGAGACTGAACTGAAGTAGACATTTTCTGTAACAGATAGTTAAGGGAGATTCAGATTTGGAGCTCTCAGATGATGAGAGAGATGAGGATTTCACACCTGGGATAGAAGAGGGTCAAGAAGAAGGGGGGGAAAGATGCAGGACTCTCCATGAGCGCACAGATACAGACATAGAGACAGATAGGGACGAGCTGGAAAGACATGGCCCTCTGTGGGCCAAGAGTAGCACGTATGTTTTATTGTTGTTTTTATTTTAAGTGGAGCCATGAAAAATGAGAATTGCCTCAGGAATGCCAAGTGTGTTTCTATGAGCATGCTCAAATGGAGACCACATCCATAAAACTAGTCAAGATGACCCTACAGCCCGTGCAGACTGGAGTCAATGAGGTACCTTTCCCAGTACATTGACTACAAAGTCTTTGAAGATCTGGAAAGATTCACCAAAAACCAAAGTAGTTTTTTAGTGACCAAATAAACAGCAATGTTCAGATCAATTACTTATGTTTTAAATAAAGGTGAATGTATTAATATCACTCTATAACCATAATACGTTACATAGTCTATCTGTTAATTTTGGCTGTCTTTTCAAACTAAAACGGTCCCGACGTCCTCTACAGTGGACATACTGTAACATTTAAAAATAAAATCCTGCTGTGTGTTGTGTGCTGCAAGTTAATACCTTTTTCAATTAAGACAATATAACATAGGCTAATATAAAGATATTGTAGTACTTCATGTAAAATAAATAAAAACGTTTTCAAAAAAAGGATTTAAGAAAAAATCCAAACACACTGAAAGAATGTCTTTATGCTAAGCTACGATAGCTACTGTGCTAAACCGAGGCGATCTATTGATTTCATGTCTTTGATTCAAACACAATGTCTAACTCTTTATGACTTCTGCACACTGACAATAAGCTGGGTAAAACATTGTTAAATTGATAGCCAAACAACATTTGTAGCCGACAAAAACAAATCATGTCTTTGCTCGGATAAAATATATTTAATATGATAAAAATCATAAAAATACAATTAATCTTCAGAGCTAAAAACTAGAGTCTGTTTGTGATCCAACATTCTTTATTAAATAAATCAAAACATGTTTATTGATTATTTTATGTGTGTGTCTTTGTCAGAGGTGGGAAAAGTAATCAGACTCAGTACTCAGATCTTGTACTTGAGTAAAAGTAGAAGTACTCAGGTCTTGTTCTTGAGTAAAAGTAGAAGTACTCAGATCTTGTACTTGAGTAAAAGTAGAAGTACTCAGATCTTGTACTTGAGTAAAAGTAGAAGTACTCAGATCTTGTACTTGAGTAAAACAAGTAGAAGTACTCTGGTCTTGTTCTTGAGTAAAAGTAGAAGTACTCAGATCTTGTACTTGAGTAAAAGTAGAAGTACTCAGATCTTGTACTTGAGTAAAACAAGTAGAAGTACTCAGGTCTTGTTCTTGAGTAAAAGTAGAAGTACTCAGATCTTGTACTTGAGTAAAAGTAGAAGTACTCAGATCTTGTACTTGAGTAAAACAAGTAGAAGTACTCAGGTCTTGTTCTTGAGTAAAAGTAGAAGTACTCTGATCTTGTACTTGAGTAAAAGTAGAAGTACTCAGGTCTTGTTCTTGAGTAAAAGTAGAAGTACTCAGATCTTGTACTTGAGTAAAAGTAGAAGTACCAGAGTGTAGGAATACTCTGTTACAGTAAAAGTCCTGCATTCAAAATGTTCCTCAAGTAAAAGTAGAAAAGTATTATCATCCAAATATAGTTAAAGTAGCGAAACTAAAAGTATTGGTCCATTTCAGAATAATATATATGATATGTTTTATAATGATTGATCATGAAAGTGTTCTCAAAGCTGGTAAAGGTGCAGCTAGTTGTAATGACTTTGTATACTGCAGGGTAGCTTGTGAATTTACTCCAGGTGGAACTAAAGTCTGATTCAACACTTGATTATATTTACCATCATTCATCCACATCTGTAAAGTAACTAAAGGTACATGTAGAGGAGTAAAAGTACACAGTAGCATAAACTGGAAATACTCAAGTAAAGTACAAGTACCTCAAAATTGTACTTAAGTACAGTACTAAATCTACTTAGTTACTTTACACCTCTGGTCTTTGTGGATATATATATATTTTTCATTTTAACTTTTATTCTTAGAAGCTTCCTGCTGTTAAACATGCCCCCCCTTAACTTCAAATAATACAGAATGTTCTCTGTTTTTTAAACAACTTTTTTCTATCCTCTATAGGTGAAATATTCCTTACATTCTGTCCAAAATTGTAGTAAATATGATATTTTACAGATAAAACAAATAGCACTAACTCATCAGTCTTTCTGCTTTAGATTTCCAGATGTAGTTCATTCTGATGAAACACGAACATCCAGCTGCGGCTCAACATCTGTCCGGACTCTGGAGTCGACCTCTTTGCAGGATTAATGGCACGTGTCGAGCTGAGTGTGCAGAAATATGGAGAGAGGGAGAGGAGGATCATGGGAAAAAAGAGGTCAGTCCTGCCATGACACCACTGAGGGTACGAAGAGTAAAAACCTATTTCCAATTCCTGACACCATATTGATCAGATTTCTGACTTTTTCCTCCGATTAGGGACATTTTCAGATCCACAAAATAGTTTATTCAGTCGTCTGATAAAAACCATTGAAAAACGGACTTCAGGAAATCAGAAAAAAATGTATTTTTCAGAATGTTTTTCATTTTCAATATTTTTTCCCAAAAATTTGATTCGAGATTTTCTTTTCCAATTTTTTTTTCTGACCATAACATTTTTTTTCACTTGTTTTTTCTCCCTATTCTTCCTTAGTTTTCTTTGAGTGCTGTCAAACTAAATTCATGAATGCAGAGCCAGGTAGTGAACAGCTGGGGGCGACAAACACCAGCTTTTCTTAGGAACAGATTTACCTGTAAAAAAAACACAACCGGAAATTAAAAGATTTTCATTCCTTCTATTTGATTGTTTATCTATTATTATTTATCACATATATGCATTTATCTTGTATTTCTCTAGCCCATTTCCTTACATGTTGCGTTGTCCTATTCATTCATTAATCTAATTGTTTAGTTTTGTTCCCATTCATTCCCCGTTTTATCTTAATTTTAGTTTACATTTCTTTGCACAAATTAAAATACACATAAGTAACCAATACAACATTATCTACAGTGCAGGAAGAGGCAGAAAACCCATTTACATAATACATATAATCTAAAAATGTGTTTATGATGTTATACAGAATGCAATATTATCAAAACATTTCTAAAAAGCTTTATTCTGAAGGTACAGTCCAGTGACGTCATCAAGGTGTTGTTCAGGTGATCAGCACACGCGCTTCCTGGAGCGAGGATGTGATTCAGACAAATTAATTTGAGAATCAGGAACTTTACTGAAGAGGAACTCCACATGGTGTTTAGAAAACCCTCCGTTTGTAACGTGTTTTTATAAAGTTTTTTTTTTACTTAAATGTTGTTATCCTCTCCGTGTTGAGGAGGAAGTCGTTTTTACGGTTTTTACGGTGTTTAGTCTCTTAGTTTGAAGGCCTGTCAACATGCTGCTGATCGGTGGTGCGTTCACGGCCCTGCTGCTTCTGCTCTCTGGACTTTCTGCTGCTTTTGGTAAGTAGCTAAAATACATACAGTATTGAAAGAATCACTCGGATATTTAACTTGAATGAAAGTGTGAATATTATGGGTTAAAAGACCGAATTACTAGTACAATTCATGAATTCAAAATCTTATTTAAGTAGAAGTATTATCTGTAAAATTCACTGACAGTGTCATAAATACAGAATATGATTCAGATTGGCTCTTTTCAAAGTGTTCTTATCACATAATATTATTATTTTAACCTGTTTTTGTCACTGAGAAGGAGAAATGTTGTCACTTTTGTAGTGTAGTACTACCAAGGCTTCATGTCCTGTAAGCTCATCACATGATTAGTGTGTACAAAAAGGTTTACCCTGAGCCTGTTTTTCAGGTCTCAGGCTCGAAAATGACATTCCCAGAACAAATGACCATATCTTAACTTCTAAAAGGGGTACATTTATAATCTTTTTTTCTCAAAGCAAGGTTACACCTGTGAGTTGGATGTAGAAGTGTCAGAATCAATATAGATGTTTTTTATTTTAAAGTAAATTCAGATTGAACATAGTAAAAAAATGTAAATTATAGTGTCCGTCCAAAAGAAATAAAAATACTTATAGTGAAAACCACCCTTGAATGATGGGATAGTAGACTAAAAGCTTTAGGAATCCAAACTATAACATAGTATAAGTACCCTGTATCAAGATTGATGCAAAACAAGTGACATTTGACCTTTTTAGAGAGATTTAGCACAAAAAAACCCACTTCTGGGGTCATTTGGGTGGATTTGACCAATCTCTGGCCCCCCTCGGTCGATTTTGACGATTGACATCTCTTTTTAACCGCTGGAGCCAATGGAATCGAGGGGAAGTTCCACATACACACACATGTTACCAAATAAGGAGTGAGAGTGACGCGTAGCCAAAACCGGAAGCTGCGATACACTCTGGTGGCAGCTAATATTAATTCTCCGATTGTTACATAAAAATGGAATTATGGATTATCAATCATTTTTTCAAAGTGACAGACACATTGGATTAACCTTCAGCCGCGTTCTTTCTCGTTTTAATGCCATTGAACACGACTTTTGATCAGAATAACAGCTAAGGTGAGACGATCTCCCGTGTTTGCTCCGTAATGCTACGTGTTGTGATGTCTGTGTTTGCTTCCCCTGTCGCGAGTTCTGATCGCTCAGTGATGATACTAATACCTATATAATCTGTGGAATCTCAGCTTTAATCATATATCTTGTATGTGCAGTTACGATAAGTAATAAGGGTATTTTTACCTTGAGTTCTGTGCGTTAGCATTTTTTCGCTCAGGGGTCATTTAGACGCTTCTTATGAGACTTGTTTTGTTTTGGTAAAAATGGTTCGTACTGTCAGTTAGCTGAGTTTCTTCCCGTTAATCTGGTATGACACATTCATAGGTTTTTAAATATTAAGAAGCCCTGAGACTAGGGCTGTGCGATTATGGCAAAAATCATAATCACGATTATTTTGGTCAATAATTGATATCACGATTATTAAATACGATTATTCATTGACTTTGAAAACGTCAATTTATTGAACTTTAAAACAAATTAAAATAATAATTTGAACAGTATCTGTTTAACTGTTGATTACCCTGAACGTATAATTCAACTGAAAAACCAATAAATAAAATAAATTATACATTTATATTTACATTTAAATAAATAATATCAAAATAATAAATACCAATAAAAAAGATCAACAAATATCTTGGAGCGCACTTCAACAAGCTACTAAACATATATAAATATGATAAAAGCAAAATAATCTTTTTTTTCGATTATGTTGTTTTTGTAATTGTGGCAGGCCAAAATCGTAATTGCGATTAAAAAAACGATTAATTGCACAGCCCTACCTGAGACACAGTTTTGTGAAAAAAAACCCCGCAGCCCCCTCTACGGGGGGCTCTCGGGCTAAACAGGTTAATCAGTAAAATGCACTCAAAGATATTCAGAAATACAAGTTATTATGCACAGCGGCTCTTTTTTTAACACTATTGTTGTCATATGATGTTATATTAGTCCGTTTTTATCAAGGAAAATGAAGTAATGAGTCACTTTTGTAGTACAGTATTAGTAGGGCATCATGTCATGTAAGGAGATCACGTAAAAACATAACTGAGTGTTAAATGTAGTAAAAAGTAAAGTATTTCCTTCTTAGATGATAAGGAGTACAAAGTACAACGTATATAGTCGTGTAAAATGGAAACACTTAACACTGAAGTCCAAGTAGGTCAAAATGGTACTTTGTTACTTTCCATTACTGACTACATATTGCTCTTTGTACTACACTACAATCTTACAATTACAATAGTTACATTGTTTTTGTGGCAAGGGCGTAAAAAAGAAGTACATTTGTCATGAATATGAAAAATAATTCCCATTCATACCTGGATGTTTTGCTGTTGAAATGTCAAAAATGAGCGATCAGACCTGACTTTGGACCCTGACTTTCTGTTACAAATAAAATAAATGCATTTGCAATAGTTAAATAATACAAAAAGACAAGTTAAATTTGAATAAAATATTAAAATGTACTAGAAATAGTAAGCTAATGATTGGTAGCTGATGAAAATAATCTCCATTTATTTTTCTCTGCTTCATTTAACCCTCCTATTCTCTTCGTTTCCCCCCCCTTACTTTGGTGTTGTTTTAACTGCTATTACATTAACACAAAAAACGGTACATATTGTATCAGACTACTGGTATACATAAACAACTGCAGTAAATATACAAAGAATAGACACTGAACATGTATTGCGTGTGCCAGGTGTGATCCATGTGGGGGGATGGGCACATAAGAGCGGGAAATGTATCAAATTGTTCTGTGTTTGTGTGTGCCAGGTGTGATTCACATGGGGGGGTGGGCACATAAGGGGGGGGGGAACACATCTAGAGTGTGTGTGTATGTGTGTGTGAGGGTGTTTGTGTGTGTGTTTTATCTGATCCGGATGGTTACTAATTCCTTTTCTTTATGGCGGTCATTTTTGACCGGGAACACCATGGTTGACTAAATCATCCAAAATTCAATGAAAGTGGTGATCAGCAATTTTATATGTTCAAATGTCTACTGTGAAGGATATCATATAGCCTTAATGCAATCGAATGTAAAACTAAAAAGTTATGATTGATGAAAGTTGTAAATCGGTCAGATTTGACCCGAAGACAACAGGAAAGTTAAACCCCCTGCCCTTAATTAAACATTGTATTAAGTACAACATCCATCCATCTTCTCCCGCTTATCCGTGGTCGGGTCGCGGAGGTAGCAAGTACAACATGATACAGATAAATGCATCTTATCTTCTTTTTTTTAAGAATGACTTGAGCGTGTTTTAACTTGTAGGAGATAATGTTTTGATAAACCTTTTGAGTGACACGATAACATAAAATGTTTCCGTGAGTTATAAATGTGTTCGAGGTCCACGATGCATCTGTTAGTCACCACTATTGTTGTTTATAGCTATTTAATATTTAACTTTGTCAGTAGCCAGATACACTTTCTGTATCCCAAAGAGCTGGAGCTTACATCTTTTTATAACTTATTTGACATCCTAAAAGTAAAGTGAGTGTTTCTGTTAGTCCCTGCCTCTCTCTGTGTGGTCAGACTTCATGGGGTCACATTTCCCCTTCGATTGCTGCTTTGTTGTTTTCTTCTCAGGAACACAACAGCTGTACACAACTAGCTGCTCTTTGATAACATTGTGCTGCGTGCACGTTAAGCGTCCTGCAGCCCTAAACGTTTCTAAATCATTTCACAAGTTTCCCCGCCCTAAATCAGACCGTAAATCAAAGGTCGGGAAATATGTGTTTGCAGATTGTGAAGAAAGGGCGAGCTTTTGATTGACTTCTTTTACATCAGATAACACTTCTAAATATATATAATATCAGATAACGAATGACTGATGCGTGGCTCACCTTTGATTTAAAGGACCTTCCTTAAAGAGGCTTTGTGGGGTTTTCCTTTCCTGTAGTGTGTTATAGGTTTTAGTGCATGTAAATGGTCTGCAAAGGCTAAAATCCCTGTGTTCCCTTCAGAGGGAGTTCCTCTCCCACTCCCCCCCTGCCTGAAACAACTCCATTGGACTCCTTTGTTTACTTCCATAACGTAATGACATTATGAGAGGCCGTCTAGCTCACAACTCATACTTGGTCTTACAAACAATATCAGAATCTCTCATGTACACCACCAGATTCTTTCACACACAGTATCATACCGTCTTTAACGTACTGTCATTCCTTCCTTCAATTACTATCATACTATCATACATAAATAACTATTCTCTCTCACACACAAAAACAAAATCTCTTAAACGCACCATCATACTCTCGTACACACACCACTATCGTCTTTCACAAACAACTATAATCTAATAGAACATTATAATAGTGTATGTGAAAGAGGGTAGTAGTATGTGTGTAATCGGTACACAATGTATGTAAGACAGAATAATAACCTATATAAGAGGGAATAGTATTTCATGTTAATAACAATAGTCATATATGTAAAACAGAATGGCAGTAAATGAAAGGCCGAATAATAGCTTATAAGAGGTAATAATAGTTCATGTGAATGACTCAATGGTATGTGTATAAAACAGAATGATAGGGTGTGTGCATAAGAATAGTTATGAGTGTGAGAGAGTATGATTGAAAAGGAAGTGAGTTTGATTGAAAAGGAAGTTGGACTAAATTCTCAGTTCCTGATTGGCTCTACGTTTTTCGTTTGACGGACACCGCCCAAGAAAGGCAGTAGAATGCTACTAATGTTCCCTATGGCACCTGAACATCAGCAGGAGAGGACTCTTTAAAGTAGAGACACTACATACTGATATACACCTGAACATCAGCAGGAGAGGACTCTTTAAAGTAGAGACACTACATACTGATATACACCTGAACATCAGCAGGAGAGGACTCTTTAAAGTAGAGACACTACATACTGATATACACCAGAACATCAGCAGGAGAGGACTCTTTAAAGTAAAGACACTACATACTGATATACACCTGAACATCAGCAGGAGAGGACTCTTTAAAGTAGAGACACTACATACTGATATACACCAGAACATCAGCAGGAGAGGACTCTTTAAAGTAGAGACACTACATACTGATATACACCTGAACATCAGCAGGAGAGGACTCTTTAAAGTAGAGACACTACATACTGATATACACCTGGACATCAGCAGGAGAGGACTCTTTAAAGTAGAGCCACTACATACTGATATACACCTGAACATCAGCAGGAGAGGACTCTTTAAAGTAGAGGCACTACATACTGATATACACCTGAACATCAACAGGAGAGGACTCTTTAAAGTAGAGACACTACATACTGATATACACCTGGACATCAGCAGGAGAGGACTCTTTAAAGTAGAGACACTACATACTGATATACACCTGGACATCAACAGGAGAGGACTCTTTAAAGTAGAGACACTACATACTGATATACACCTGGACATCAGCAGGAGAGGACTCTTTAAAGTAGAGACACTACATACTGATATACACCTGAACATCAACAGGAGAGGACTCTTTAAAGTAGAGACACTACATACTGATATACACCTGAACATCAGCAGGAGAGGACTCTTTAAAGTAGAGACACTACATACTGAGATACACCTTCAATCTAAAACAAAACAACAAACAAATAACACATAGCACATGTTGAAGAGCTCTTTAGACAAGGCACGTTTATTTATACAGCACATTTCAACCAAACGCAATTCAAAGTGCTTTACATAAACATTAAAAGCATTGAGACAAAGTGCAACAGAATCACATACTATGACATTAAAATACATTTAAAAACAGTCATGAAAAAGCCAAGAGAATACAAAGTAAAACAGAATAAGACAGGTTTAAAAATACTAAAATAAAAGTTACAGTGCAAGTATGAATATGTATTTGTTTTAATAATAACTAAACGCTGCTTCTGCATGTTCCCTGCATGTGGAACATATTAGGAACCTTTAATAACAATTATTTTATTGGTTAATATTACTTTATAAGACACTCCCAGTGATGCATTCATTCTGCTGAAAGACTACAAAGGGGAGGAATGCTGCAGAGCAATAACGACTTCATAAACTCTGACTCCCTTCTTCTTGCTTATCGGTGCCAGATACCTGTCAGCTGAGGTGTTTAGATGATGATACAAAGCTGCAGCATTAAAGGTGTGTTACTGTAATGAATAGATTAAACTTCACAACTATTTAAAACAGCTTTAAGCTTTGTGATGATAAGTCTTGGAAGAGGTACTCGGATCCTTTACCTTCGTACAAATACTGTGATCGTAAAATACTCCACCACAAGTAAAAGTCCTGATTTTAAAAGGTATAAGTGAATGAAAAAAGTAAAAAAGTAATAGCATCAAAATATATGTACTTGTTCATGTCTCTTCTACATCAACATGTGTCCCCTCTTCTTCATGTCTCTTCTACATCACCATGTGTCCCCTCTTCTTCATGTCTCTTCTACATCATGTGTCCCCTCTTCTTCATGTCTCTTCTACATCAACACGTGTCCCCTCTTCCTCATGTCTCTTCTACATCAACATGTGTCCCCTCTTCTTCATGTCTCTTCTACATCACCATGTGTCCCCTCTTCTTCATGTCTCTTCTACATCATGTGTCCCCTCTTCTTCATGTCTCTTCTACATCAACATGTGTCCCCTCTTCTTCATGTCTCTTCTACATCAACATGTGTCCCCTCTTCTTCATGTCTCTTCTACATCAACATGTGTCCCCTCTTCTCCATGTCTCTTCTACATCAACATGTGTCCCCTCTTCTTCATGTCTCTTCTACATCAACATGTGTCCCCTCTTCTTCATGTCTCTTCTACATCAACATGTGTCCCCTCTTCTCCATGTCTCTTCTACATCAACATGTGTCCCCTCTTTTCATGTCTCTTCTACATCAACATGTGTCCCCTCTTCTTCATGTCTCTTCTACATCAACATGTGTCCCCTCTTCTTCATGTCTCTTCTACATCAACATGTGTCCCCTCTTCTTCATGTCTCTTCTACATCAACATGTGTCCCCTCTTCCTCATGTCTCTTCTACATCAACATGTGTCCCCTCTTCTTCATGTCTCTTCTACATCAACATGTGTCCCCTCTTCTTCATGTCTCTTCTACATCAACATGTGTCCCCTCTTCTTCATGTCTCTTCTACATCAACATGTGTCCCCTCTGTGTAAAGAGATTCTGAAAGTTTCAGGAAAAAATATTCTCTCTCTTTTTGTCCTGATCCATTTATATAAAAACCTGTCTGAAAATGAGCTGATCAGATTTTGGTCACTTCATGATGTCATAACGATTTTTTCGGCTTGTGTAACCATTAGCCAATCACCAACCAAGGTAACCCCCCCCCACCTTATCACCTGAATCTCCTCCTAGAGCACCATTAGGTGCGTTCACACCGCAGTACTTTTCCCACAAAGGTTCATCAGAACTTAGTTCATCAGAACTCTTTAGTTCTCATGAACTAAGTACAGATCACGTTCACACCGGAATAAGTTCCCTGAGGGTGGATTAGGCAAATGAAGCCGCTGACGTCACTTCTTCTTCTTCTGCTTTGGGTTTACTGGCAGGCCGCAAACAACTTCACGGCGTATACTGCCACCCGGAGTCCCCGGCCGGAAGTCCCCGGCCGGAAGTCCCCGGAGTTGGGGACTGGCTTCAGTAGAAGCTGCTGGGACTCCCAGCAGCTTCTACTGAAGCCTTCCGAGTAAATTGCCAGAACGCCGACACCTCCTCATCTCCACCGCTCCCATGTTTTTTTTTGTGTTGCCATAAGTTAGTCTCTCTGCGTTTCTGCGCTGGGCTAATGCTAATGCTAACAATGCTAATGCGAGGATAATAAAATGGCGGCTTCACAAAACTTTTTGGGAGTTTTACGGGGCGTGGTTTGCGTTCCGCCCAGCCAATCAGACATAGGAACCTTTTTCTCCCACGAAAGGAAAAGGGGGTAAAAAGGTTTTCATTAACTAATTTTAGTTCCGGATTTTTTTGGTGTGAACGCAACATTTCGGAACTATATCGGAACTAAAGTGGGAAAAGTACTGCGGTGTGAAAGCGCCTAAAGTGTTCTTTTGTTATGACCTGGCTCAAAAGGCCACAACAAAGGAGACACACCATATTAGTCAGAGCGGAGCACGACTCCTGACTTTTCCCTGTGTTTTATTTATTGTCTTTTATTGTGATTATAGAAATGTGTTTTTATGTGATTGTAGTTATTACATGTACAGCACTTTGGCCCGACCAAAAATCGCTTTTAAATGTGCTTTATAAATAAACCTTGATTTGATTTGATTTGACATCAACGGTTAACAAAATATGTTTATTAAAGCAAGTGATTAAAATTAGCCAAATTAATCAAGTGCAAAGTAAGTAAAGCATGAGGTGAGGACGTCAGTGGTATCAGTAATGTAAATGCAGGGTGAGGATTGCATGAACATGTGTGAGGGTGTTGAGGTGCACAAAGTAAAACAACTGAAATAACTTTAACATACGCAACCGAGCCGGGTGCCTGCAGGAGAAAGCAGAGGGAAGACAGAGAGGAGCAGAGGCTTTAAATAGCTGCACGGCACCAGACCCAGGTGCCCTGAGTTACTGCAATCAAGGCAACCAAGACAGCAAAGCCACACCCTGACCGTTCCTCAATGTCGAGTAGAGCTGCTGCAGAGCCATTATTTCATGTATACTACATCATCGAGTGGCGCCGAAGGACTGTTTAAATGCATGTTAAATGCCCAGCATTCTGCGCCACTCGATGACGTGGTATACTTGAAATAGTGGCTCTGCAGCAGGTTTACTTGACATTGAGAAACGGCCCCTCTCTAGATGAACCCACGGGGGCATCACATTTTTAACCAAATATCTCTCAGAGGGGCGTGGGGAGTGGCTCCTTATTTTCATCTACAGTAACAGACAGAGAATCAGCACTTTGGAAACAGGGCTGAAACAGAGGGGATTATGGGATGCTGCAATGATCTGTTTGGTGTTTCAGCCAATCAGAGACAGGCTCTGGATATATCTGAGACCTATAATATATAGATGAAGAACAGTATAATAGGGGACCCTTAAAGGTAGGGTAGGTAATTTTGGAGAAACCAGCTCGGGTGCGCAAGAATTTGAAAATACACAACCGGAGAAAATCTGCCACTTCCTTACAGAGCCCCTCCTCCAACACACACGAACGCGCACATGACCAATGAGGGCACGAGATAAGTTTGTGCACAGATGGAAGGCTGACGGTAGGTAGGTAGGCCATCCAGTTATTTTAGTCGGGCCGGCTCAGATGATTGGTCGTGCTTTTTACAGTACTACGGCTTCCACAGATGACATTTTTTTATGGATTTTTTGTCAAAGCACTTAAGATATTCATTGCTATCGGGATGTTAAGAGCATTCCATGGAATATAACAAAAAGTGTATCTCGAGCCGGTTTCTCAAACTTACCTACCACACCTTTAAGTGTATGAAAAAAAGTAATAACATCAAAATATATAAGGTAGCAGTCTTGACTGGCCTTAAAGTACAACATGTAAAAGTACTCATTCTGCACACTTGGGTCAGTGGGTAATTTCCTAACTATATTCCACCTCTGGTGACGATCCATTTGAACTTTCCCCTCTCTTCTTTCCTGCAGTTCCTCCACCAACAAACCTGACTGTGAGCTGCACGAACCTCGACGTGTCGCTGAGCTGGGAGTTCAGCGAGCAGCAAACAGGCACCGAATTCAAGATAGATGTCAAAGGATCTGATAAGTGAGACTTCTAAACTAATATTTAAAATAATACATTACCAGGATGTAAACAAGTGATGTAAGCTGCTTTGGAAAAAAAAATATATATATATATATTGTTATTTTAATGTTCTTTATTCTTACATGTTGTTCTTTTTGTTTGCCTTCACTAATTAATTAAAATGTATATTCTATATTAATCTTGTGACTTTTTTTAATATTATTAAGTCAGAGGATTCAAATTTGGGTTTTATGCCTCTTTTTGAACTGTATATTATCTGTTATGTTTGTTTATCTTTATGCAAGAACATTTTAGTTTTTGTAATGTTTTTTTGATGCCTTTAAGAAGGCATTTGGTTAACACAATGCATAGATTACAAATATAATCAGAGGTGGAAGTAATACTCAGATCTTTTACTTGAGTAAAAGTAGAAGTACCAGAGTGTTGGAATACTCTGGTACAGTAAAAGTCCTGCATTCAAAATGTTACTCGTATAAAAGTATTATCATCAAAATATAGTGAAAGTAGTGACAGTAAAAGTAGTCATTGTGCAGATTGGTCCATTTCAGAATAATATATATGATATGTTTTATAATGATTGATCATTAAAGTGTTATAAAAGCTGGTAAAGGTGCAGCTAGTTTGAATGACTTTGTATACTGCAGGGTAGCTTGTGAATTTACTCCAGGTGGAACTAAAGTCTGATTTAACACTTGATTATATTTCACATCATTCATCCAGATCTGTGAAGTAACTGAAGGTATTAAATACATGTAGTAGAGTAAAAGTACACCATTTACCTCTGAATTGTAGAGGAGTAGAAGTACAACGTAGCATAACATGAATTACTCAAGTCCCTTAAAGTTATAGTACTTGAGTAATTGTACTTAGTCACTTCACACCGCTGATTAAAATACTACCTTGGTGGCGACAATCTGATCTGATCTAATGTATTAAATTCAAGGATTCCTCTGTTGTGTTGCAGCAAAGAAATACATACATTTTGGGTGAAAGAGCGTCACTTTGATCTGAGCCACTTCGTCTGGGAATCTGAGGCTCGCTTCATGGCTTTCTTAGGAGTCAATGTGACAGCAGTTCAGGGAGGAAACCGGTCTAAAGAAGCAAAGACCTCCTTCACCTTTAACAGCTTAAAGGAAGCTCATAAAAAATGTGAGTACATGCAGATGGCTGCCCTTTATTTAATCATAAAAGTCCAATATCTTTGATTATCTTTTTAAGTCATTATATATATATATATATTGTCCCATCAAAGTCAAATCTTTCAGTTTGTGTGTACAGACAGAGAGATTGAAATACCGTTTCCCACAATCCAGAATACAAAAATACAAATATATCTATATACCTACATACACAATCAACAGACACATTTATACATATGCACACATTAAGACATAAATAAAAGCACAACAATCAATATATAGAAAATAAGAATAATTAATAAGTTATAAGTGCAATCACTTTAATCAATTATACAGTGCTCTAAGAAAATGTATTTTATTTATATTATATTATATTATATTATAATGTTATGATTAAAAATATTATAAAAATGTATGTATTACAATGATTGTCATTATCATTAAAAAATAATAATATTAGTAATGGGAATATCTTTTAAAGGTCCCATGTCATGGCCATTTCTACTGATCATCACTCCATTGTTGAGGTCTACTAGAATAGATTTACATTGTTCAATGTTCCAAACTCACATTGGTTTCTCATACAGCATCTCTGTATAGTATGTGTATTCACTCTCTGTCCTAAACGGCTTGTTGGAGCTCCTGCCCCCCCCCCCTCCCTATGAGCCCAGTGTGCTCTGATTGGTCAGCTCGCCCACTTTGTTCTGATGAGTCCACCACCGTTACAGCGGAACATCAGTGATTATGTGTTACAATTAGTGTCTCTTAATTTTCAAAGATGGAAACTTTCCACGGGAATTTATGGAAATAAACTGGGAATTTTCAAAATTGAAGGTTGGCTCTTCGTAGGGAACTTAAATATAGTTGGGGAAAGTATATTTTAGCATAATCTTGACTAAAACAAACAGATGCCATTCAAGTACACTTGAATATCCATGCCATAGCACACTGCTTACTGCATGGCTATTGAGACAAAGGTTCGCAACAGGCTCACAAATGTGAGAGTGGAAAAAGTGGTTGGCATTCGGGCAAACCTAAGGCTCTTTGAGCCGGACACAGAGCCATCCTCAACAAGGCTGGACAGTGACACTGAAGAGGAAGACTCAGAGTGTGATGTTGATGAGGCCCAAGAAGAGCCCGTTGACTGAAAAGGGTTTAGCAAAAAATGCAGAGGATTGCTTGAAGGAAGATTTGCATGTTTAATGGGACTTTGTGGAGGGAGAGGGGCTCTTTTCATTTAACATGTTGAATGGGACTTTGTGGGGATTTTTGGATGGGGGGTGCATTTTTGTTCATTTTTTAATGAGTGGGGTTGGGGGGGATGAGTAACATTTAACTCAACATTCCTGTTTTCGTTCTTCAATGACTCAAATAATTGTTCAATAAAATAATTAAAACTTGTTCTGTTCTACTTAAAAAAAAGAAATTTCATGTTTTTTTGTTTAATTTTGCATCGAATATTTCCAAAATTCCCCAGCTTAACTTCCCATGGAAATGTTCCGCCCCTTTGCAACCCTAGTTACAATGGCGTTTGTTAGCAACCAGAAAATGACACCAGTAATGACAAACAGATCAGAATGCTGCGTGGGGTCTGGGTGCCGTGTTGGCGGGACGTTGCGGGGCTCGCTGCTGCGGAAAGTGTGAGCTGGCTCACTGGGGTCGTTTCCTGGTTGCTGCGTGGGGTCTGCGAGACAGCGAGACACCGCGAAACTCACCTGAACTCAGCCTGAGCACACACACACACACACTCTGTCTTTTCTGTGTTAGAGTTTTACTCGCTACAGGGTATACTTTGAGGGTTTGTGACTTTGCAGACCGTTCACATGCAGAAAAAGCTACATAACACACAAGGGGACGGGTAATAACCGGAAAAGCATGACATGAGACCTTTAAATTATTATTGCGATTATTATTAAAAAGATTATAACAAAGTTTATTTATATGCATGCATTAAAGGGGAAAATTATTATAACTACAAAAGTGCTTTGAAATAAATATAAATATTTAATGATAATAAATATTATAATAATGTTATTACTTTTTATGGGCATGCCTCTCGACATTTAATAGTCTGAAAACCTATTATTATTATTACATATTATAATATTGCTGGCTCAGGCTCGCCTTAAACATCCTCCTGGGTCTTTTTTATTTTATTTTAATATCTTTTCAAACCTATTAACATGACTTATTACATTCGCATTGCCATTTTGTCAATTCTATCGTCTAGGAGGTTGTCATTTCATTATGTTTTTTTTCTTTTATTTGTTGATCTGTACACGCTATTGGGCTTTATACACTACCAGTGTACCACTACCTCATGAAGCTGACTGAGAGAAGCCAAGAGTGTGCAAAGCTGTCATCAAGGCAACATTGGGCTAATTTGAAGAATCTAAAACATTTTATTTTAACACTTTTTTGTTTACTAGATAATTCCATATGTGTTCTTTTATAGTTTTGATGTCTTCAGTATTAATCTACAATGTAGAAAAAAAAAAAAATGGGGAGGTGTGTCAAAACTTTTGACTGGTACTGTACATTTAATTTAAATTTTAAATTTGAATCATAATATATGCTGCAACAAAAACAATTTCCCAAATTGGGATCAATAAAGTACCATCTTATCTTATCTTATCTTATCTTATCTTATAAGTTTTACAAATGTCTCTTGGCAGGTCAGTTGGTTTTCCCCCATGTGGATCTGGTGGAGACGCGTTTAGGACACACGCTTATCTTCAAGAATCCTCTCCACTACTACGAGAAGCTGAAGCAGGCTACCATCGGATCAAATGGGGCCTCCTTTAAATTTGAATCTGCCTCTTCCAAAAAGGTAAGTTTAATAAAGAAGGGCTGCACAATTAATAACAATTTAATCAGAATCACATGAGGCGCAATATTTGTTACAGCCAACATATGTGTGACTATCATCCTGAATCAAGGACTCTCTCAAAAAAAATACCATGATTATTTTAAAGGGTTCCTATTCTGCACATTTTCCGGTTCATATCAGTATGTAGTGTCTCTACTTTAAAGAGTCCTCTCCTGCTGATGTTCAGGTGTATATCAGTATGTAGTGTCTCTACTTTAAAGAGTCCTCTCCTGCTGATGTTCAGATGTATATTAGTATGTAGTGTCTCTACTTTAAAGAGTCCTCTCCTGCTGATGTTCAGGTGTATATCAGTATGTAGTGTCTCTACTTTAAAGAGTCCTCTCCTGCTGATGTTCAGGTGTATATCAGTATGTAGTGTCTCTACTTTAAAGAGTCCTCTCCTGCTGATGTTCAGGTGTATATCAGTATGTAGTGTCTCTACTTTAAAGAGTCCTCTCCTGCTGATATTCAGGTGTATATCAGTATGTAGTGTCTCTACTTTAAAGAGTCCTCTCCTGCTGATGTTCAGGTGTATATCAGTATGTAGTGTCTCTACTTTAAAGAGTCCTCTCCTGCTGATGTTCAGGTGTATATCAGTATGTAGTGTCTCTACTTTAAAGAGTCCTCTCCTGCTGATGTTCAGGTGTATATCAGCATGTAGTGTCTCTACTTTAAAGAGTTCTCTCCTGCTGATGTTCAGGTGTATATCAGTATGTAGTGTCTCTACTTTAAAGAGTTATCTCCTGCTGATGTTCAGGTGTATATCAGTATGTAGTGTCTCTACTTTAAAGAGTCCTCTCCTGCTGATGTTCAGGTGTATATCAGTATGTAGTGTCTCTACTTTAAAGAGTCCTCTCCTGCTGATGTTCAGGTGTATATCAGTATGTAGTGTCTCTACTTTAAAGAGTCCTCTCCTGCTGATGTTCAGGTGTATATCAGTATGTAGTGTCTCTACTTTAAAGAGTCCTCTCCTGCTGATGTTCAGGTGTATATCAGTATGTAGTGTCTCTACTGTAACATGTCTCCATGCTTTAATGTTCAAAGAGCTCTTTATTTTTCTCATACTGCCTGCCTCTTTTCACCCTCTGTCTGAGAGCCCAGTCTGCTCTGATTGGTTAGCTGGCCAGTTCTGTTGTGATTGGTCAACCTGCTTAGAGATGTCCCGCCCCTTAGTCTATTAAGTACAATGTGTTGAAGCGCCAGCCAATAGAAGTATGTTACATAGGGATGTCACTTTGTTATGGAAGAAAAAAACGAGATATGATCAATAACTTAAATATTGTAAATGTGTACTCCGTATTAAGAAAAGCAACGTTAATGTTTATTCTCCATGTTCTGTGACTTTCAGGATCATTTTGACGGAAAATGCGACAGGCCGCAGGAAAACTGCAAACTTGCTATTGTGTTCGCTGCGGACGTGGAGAAGTGTGTGAAGCTGAAGGGAGAGCTGTTTGGAAGTAACTCTATTGACCAAGTCGTGTTCAGACAGACCGCCAAAATCTGTGCCGAACCAGAAGAGAGTGAGTACGAACTAGAAATACCTGCAGTATACTGTTGTTCCCATTTACAAATATTAAATGGTGCGGCCAAATGGGAAATAAATTAATCAAGCAGGTTTTTCTAACATACAAATACACAGCATGGACACAGCCATCAACAGGAAGTGGAGGAAGAAGTACTCAGATGTTGTACTTTTGATCCTCCAGGTCTTACGATGGTTCTGACAACATTTGAAGTCGGTCGGATTAAAACATTTGGAGCAGTTTGTTAAAGTATGGCACGTGTAAAATACAAAATCAAGCCATAAAATGCACGTGATTCAAAATGGCAGACTTCCTGTTGGATTTACAATATGACGCCCTAAGGCTTTTTTGTGTGTCTCAACTTGCTACATATACTTAGGAAGTTTCAGACTCATAGGTGAAATGTCAACGATGAACAGCCTTTTAACAACTTTGTAGAAGCGGCTAAAGAGCATTTTGCCTCCACCAAAGAACAAGACCCCTGAAATACACATGTTTTCCCCAGTCCTGACAATCCTGCCCCAAAAAATCCACTGTCACAGCACGTTTAAGCCCAAAGAAACGTGAAACAAAAACGTTATAAGGATTTCAATAAGATAAGATTAACTTCCCAATTCTGGAAATGTTTTCGTTGCAGCAGCATAAAACAAAACAAGGCGAAGGTCCTTCCCTCTGACTTTGTCGATGTTCGGATCCTAATAATAATAATAAGCGAAATCAAAATATGTGTAAGGAGCCCTGGACCAGAAGCTGCGTGGCTTTCTGGGTCAGGAGGGGACGTATCCTCCTGATGTTGTAAAGAGTGTATCTGCAGCAGCGGGTTGTAGCAGCGATGTTTGCAGTGAAGGACAGTTTGTTATCTAGGGTCACACCCAGATTCCTTGCAGTCTGAGTCGGGGGAAACAACAGAGGGGCCGATGTTGATTGTTAGGTCAAGAGTGGGACAATCTTTTCCAGGAAGGAAAAGCAGTTCAGTCTTGTCAAGGTTGAGCTTGAGGTGGTGAGTAGACATCCACTGAGAGATGTCTGCTAGACAAGCAGAGATGCGTGCGACAACCTGCATTATACATTACGGGAAAATAAACATTTGAACGTCTCTGTAAAATAACACTGTAATATGAATGAACACTTTTGCTAAATCAGAACATGTCCAATCAATAAACAAAGTTCAATGTGTTTTTATTGCAGAGGATCTTACGGTGGCTCTGGTTGTATTGCTGTTCGTCCTCGGCATTGTAATCGTTGTGATTATAATTATCATCATCAAGGTGAAAGCCTGGACGATGGAGAGCCCCTGCACACCTCCTTCTCTGGTAAGAAGAAATGGAAGAACCCCAAACGTATTATGTGTAATTACGAGGGTTGGGTAGATGTGTATAACTTTTGATATCTTTTCAGTAATCCAAAAATAAATGTGTTTCTAATGCTTTGTTACTTATTTGAAAAGACTGTACTGTCATTTATATTAAAGAGGATATATTAATCTCATATTCAGGTTCATATCAGTATGTAGTGTCTCTACTTTAAAGAGTCCTCTCCTGCTGATGATCAGGTGTATATCAGTATGTAGTGTCTCTACTTTAAAGAGTCCTCTCCTGCTGGTGTTCAGGTGTATATCAGTATGTAGTGTCTCTACTTTAAAGAGTCCTCTCCTGCTGATGTTCAGGTGTATATCAGCATGTAGTGTCTCTACTTTAAAGAGTCCTCTCCTGCTGATGATCAGGTGTATATCAGTATGTAGTGTCTCTACTTTAAAGAGTTCTCTCCTGCTGATGTTCAGGTGTATATCAGTATGTAGTGTCTCTACTTTAAAGAGTCCTCTCCTGCTGATGTTCAGGTGTATATCAGTATGTAGTGTCTCTACTTTAAAGAGTTCTCTCCTGCTGATGATCAGGTGTATATCAGTATGTAGTGTCTCTACTTTAAAGAGTTCTCTCCTGCTGATGTTCAGGTGTATATCAGTATGTAGTGTCTCTACTTTAAAGAGTTCTCTCCTGCTGATGATCAGGTGTATATCAGTATGTAGTGTCTCTACTTTAAAGAGTTCTCTCCTGCTGATGTTCAGGTGAACAAACGAATTGTTCGGTACAGTCACATCATCGCAGAATATCACACATGATCGCAATTAAGTAGTAAGAAGTAACTGCAATTTGTTATTTTTTCCATATCATTCAGCACTACATCTGACCCAACCTTTCTTAATAATGTGCTTAAGTTGCAGAATCACAGAGAAGGAGAAGATGGACCTTTACTAATTAAAGAAGACTTGACTCACATCAGTGTTGTTACACTGTTCGACCAGCCCGTCAACCCTTCTTCAGTCGGGTCCGAGGAGGAAGAGGAGAACAGCAGAGACGACAACAGAGACGACAACAACAGAGACGACAACAACAGAGACGACGACAACAGAGAGGACAACAACAGAGAGGGTTTGCAGCCTCCTGATGCGGCGTACTCTGATGGAGGACTTCTGGAGGAAAACATTACATCACATGATGATGATGATTTGGCTGTCAGCTCCAAGGAGGAAGAGGAGGCCAGCAGAGACAGCAGCACAGACAGCAGCAGAGACAGCAGCGGATACCTAAGCAGAGAGGGTGTGCAGCCTCCTGATGCCGCGTACTCTGATGGAGGTATTCTGGAGGAAAACATGAAAGATGATGATGATGATTTGGCTGTGAGCTCCAAGGAAGAAGAGGAGGCCAGCACAGACAGCAGCAGAGACAGCAGCAGATACCTAAGCAGAGAGGGTGTGCAGCCTCTCGATGCGGCGCACTCTGATGGAGGACTTCTGGAGGAAAACATTAGTGATGATTCTGCGAAAACTCAGACTATTGAAACGGTGGAGTCGATACGATCACACTACGATCGCCCTCACGCTCCGTAGGTGGATATCGGTGACAGGGACTAAGCTTACCGCGAGAGGTGAAAAGAAACCTAAAAAGACGACTTTATTCTGGATTAAAAGTCATTTTCTCGTGGTTTGGACCTCTCTATACTTTGCATTACAAACAAGTGCACTCATGGAGGTGGTGCCTTTTCTCAAGAAGGGACAAAGACAGTTAAACCTTCTACTTTGTGATTGCACTGGTAAACATCTACCAATGTTTAAGTATATCTTTGGTTTGCCTTGTGGCTGTTTTTTAGAGGCAATTCGAGGGGAAAAGGCGGATTGTTTCAACGGCTGCAACACAAACAGGATGTGATTTAAGATTTGAGCCTGTTTACCGAACATGTGGAGAAACTTAACATGAAACCTCAGCCTCATGTATATCACTTTAACTATATTTATACAATAACACAGTAGTTAGCATTGCTGTTTGACTCTGTTGTACCCGGGAAACGAAGCGGTGATCTTCAAGTCTCCTGAAGTCTACTTTAACACAACGTACATTATTTTACCTCAAGGGAACACGCTCCATAAGAAGTATGATCGCTCTTATAGTCTCTAAGTGTCCACTCTTATATTCTCTAAGTATCGGCTAAAACTTGTGGATGTTTGTGCAGCTGTTATTCATGAAGGGAAAGGCTCCATGTCTTGTTTTTACATTTAGGGGTTTGGTTCTTAAAAAGGGACATTTTACATTTTTTTTTACATTTTATTTGTAATATATATATATATATATATACAGTGGCGGCCGGTCCATAGGGGCGCTAGGGGCGCCGCCCCACCTCTTCCCATATTGATAAAAATAAATAATAATTAAAATTAAAATAAAAAAAAAAAAATATGTTTAAAAAAATATATATGTTTTTATTTTTATTTTTAATGAACAAGGTAAATATTATATAATTGGTATCAGTAAAATGTATAATCTACAATAAAATCTCGTTTAAAATTGTGTTACGATGTCTAAAGTTACTGATAAGTCACATGTTTCCTGCCTGGCCTTGCCCATGCACCTTCTCTCGTCTGGGCGCTAAGAGAGGAGCCTTCAACCAGTGCAGCAGCAGCCACCAGCAGCTGACTGTTGCTATCTGTAACGTGTAAACTATGCCGCGAAAATATAATTTCAGCCAATTAGCGTCGTCAAAGATGACGGTCACCGGGCGCCAATGTCAGCGCCCAGTGCAGTCTGTGAGTAGTTTGGACAGTGACTCGTATCCGGTTGACGCAGTAGTTGATGAGGATGGCTTCGTGTGCAGGTGGAGTCTCCGGACCTCGGTCCGCGCCTAATTCTGTTCAAGAGCTAATCTCCAATCCTTTCGAAAGGAGAAGTTTGGCAGATAAATTGTTGCTTAAAGACCTTGCACCGGACCAACCCGATTTGAATATATCGCAGCAATCTCGTGAAAAAGACAACATTTATACACGAGGCTTCACAAGTAGCTGGTACACAAGAAAGGCTTGGCTAGCTGGATGCAAACAGGTAAATGCTGTCTTTTGTTTCCCATGCTTGGATATCACTTTATATGTAGAGAGGAGGTTTCCCATGGTTGTTAGAAGTTTATTAATAAGTGGGCATTTATCACAGAAGTGATTGTTCTGTCTCCACGTTTGTTGCATTGTCTGTGATGTATTTTCCAACGGTTATAGCTCCTGTTCTGTCCCAGCAACACTACACGGTTTGCAGCTCCACCACATTTTTGGTTTATCTTCGGTGTCGCTTAAAATCTGCTTCCCATCGGACTAAAACCTCCACGTAATCTGAAGACAGATACTTGAAGTTATTTAAAACCTTTTGCAAACTTTATGTTCTTTCTTGCTCTAGCCTTGCCAGATACATTGTACATAACACATATATTATCATTATGCTAACTGGTTGTTCGTGTTAGACGATGTAGCTTTTTCATTTCTGAGTTATTGATATATGTAAATAAGCCTGTTTGTAAATAATCCTCAGAGAAACAAAGAAAAAACACAATTTATGACATTTTGTGCTGTGGTTATTTTTTTAAATTGCATTTATTCACAGTTCAGTTTGAAATGCTGTAGTGACTTGTATTGAACCACTTAAATATTTATAATTAATGCTACTGAAAAGATGCTATTAATTTTATATCTCACATGCAGTTCACTGTAAAGCTACTTGGTGAAGGTGTTGGTTCATAAAACATGAACAGTTTTAAGAAAGAAAAAAACAGACCAGTTCTGAGAACACAAATTCCTGGTAAAGTAGTAGATGTTCAGGTTGATAAATAATATTTTCCACACTGAAGATTATGGAGGTATTGATCAGTCTTCTCATATTTTTAAGCCTCGATTTCTCCTTCCCCCCCCCCTCTAACATCACCAGAAGTCATCATTTAAGGGGTCATTTCTCGAAAAAAAAATTCGGGGGGAAACCCCCCGGGTAGGTCACTTGCGGTACGTCAAGAGCCCCACCAAAAAAAAAGACCACCGGCCGCCACTGTATATATATATATATATATATATATATATATATATATAAATAAAACAAACAGTTCTTACTTGCATCAAGTGGTATAAAGTTATGTAGATAGTTTTCAGTTTATTTGCCCAGGTTTAGAGGACGATTTGTCATCATCCAAATCAAATAAATGTAATCTCTTTTAAATATTAAGAGAGGGACTACTTCTTTGGTAGAAAGTAGTTCCAATGAAAAAGGCAAAGGTCAGCATTGTCAGCCAAAGAAAAAAACCTGGAAACTTGTTCAGATTTTAAAAGGAATTTGGCTTGCAGCTCCAAAAACCCCACCTTACTAAATTCGACTAGAGGTAAAATGTTTACCAACCGGATGAGATTGACTGTACCGGTTTTACTGTGTTTGAACACACCGTCAAATGTGGACTTTCTGCTCCAGGCAGCAGATAACGAGGCGTTCAAATGGATGCCACACCTGGAAATGTATTTGCAGGTCTCGCTGTGTGTTTCCTGTCCAACCGGCTTTGATGCGACGTGTTGGAGTTTTTCTTTTGTTCGCAAGAGGATTACGTTTTCCAAAGTACTTCAGGGTTGCTCATATTTTTTTATTGCTGTGATGAAATTACCTATTGCGTAAAAGTGCTTTTTAAACGGTTGCTTTGAATGCTACGGCAGAGGATAAGGGCCACACGTGAACAAAATGTTTGAGATCAGAGCATTTTGAAACGAAATTGTCAGAGAAAAAGTCGGAATTCTGACTTTTCTGAAAATTCAGAATTTTGCTGGAAAAATTATTTCGCCATCAACATTTTAAGATTACATTTATTTATTTTTCTTTGAATTCTGACTTAAATATCCAAATCTCTCAGAATTCTGACTTTAATTTCAGATTTTTTCTCAGAATTCTGAGATTCATGTCAGAATTTCCACTTTCCCTCAAAATTCGGAATTTTCTCAAAAGAAAATATTCTTTTTCTGAATTCTAGGATTAAATAACTTTTTTTCCCACTTTTTGTCAGACCTCAAGGTGGCCCTAATCCTCTTCCGTAGAATACTACCTTTCAATACCTCGTCTCAGGGTGAAACACTGAAGCCTAATACTTTTAACAGCATGGTAAGCTGATCACTGACAGAATGTTGTCTGTTGAAATAACATGTATTTGTTTATTTAATAAGGAACCGTCTTTCTACTTTTCCAATGACTTGTTTCCATGAGAGAGAAGGATTTAAATATTCACGTGTCAAAGATTTGCTGATATGATCTTTGAATAAACGGCAGTGTGAAAGTATCAGATCACATGTGGGGCAAAGTGCACTTTGATAAGATCAACAGGAAATCTCAGGTTGCTTTTGAATTTTTAATAAAGACACATGAACAATATTGATATCTTTTGCTAATTTCAAATATAAGGAAGTGTTGTGTATTGATATACAGCTTAATGAGTTTACAAAACGATATGTTGAGAAAATAAGCATTTTCAACAAAATCTTGTACCTTTTTCCATTTAATTAGAATAGTTTGTAATTTATTGGGATTATGCTTTCTGACAAATTGAGAAGACTGATACCACTCTAATAAATATGAAGCTATATCAGTGCCCTACGACTGTTAGCACAAAGAAACAGAGCTTAAATCTGCCCGACGCCTCTGAAGCTCAGTTTTAACATGATAAATGTCATTAGTTTATTTATGAAAAATACAACAAATAAATATTAGCAGTTTGACTGTTTTTTGTATCTTTCAGAGACAGGAGGTATTGTTTAATTTGTACATTGTTTTGCTTAATTAATAGCTAGGTTGTTTTTATTGTATGAAACGTAATGTATCTTAAAGGTCCCATGTCATGGCCATTTCTACTGATCATAATTCCATTGTTGAGGTCTACTAGAATAGATTTACATTGGTTTCTCATACAGCATCTCTGTATAGTATGTGTATTCACTCTCTGTCCTAAACGGCTTGTTGGAGCTCCTTCCCCCCCCCTCCCTGTGAGCTCAGTGTGCTCTGATTGGTCGGGACGTTGCGAGGCTCGCTGCTCAGTGAGCTGGCTTACTGGTGTGGTTTCCGGGTCGGCAATACAGCGAGACAGCGCGAAACTCATCCTGAGCACACACACACACACACTCAAAGCCGAAGTAAAAACAATAAGTGTGGCTTGATATTGAGTAACAGGTTTATAACGCTGTGAGAATGGGTCTGCGGAGAGCATTTCTCTGCGATCCCAACTCGTCTATTACCAACCAGGGAGCTCTATGCAAGTCAATGGGAGTTAGTTGAAAATGTACGCTAAAGGTCCTGGTGTGTGAGGAGCTCCTGGTCCATTTTGGTTCCGGGAACAAATGGAAAAAGATAAATCCCCAACGAGGCGTTCTGGGGCAGCATAGACAGGTCTTTTCTGTGTTAGGGTTTTACTCGCTACAGGGTGTACTTTGAGGGTTTGTGACTCTGCACACCGTTTACTTGCAGAAAAACCTTCATAACACACAAGGGGACGGGTAATAACCGGAAAAGCATGACATGGGACCTTTAAACAAAATCACTTTATAAAGTAACAGTCTTATTTACCCCTCTAACATGGCCATTGGTTGTTGTTGCATTCTGCACCTGTGCTTCTTACACACATGTATCAACTTCCAAGCTGCATGGAGAAGTCAAAACGCCAGCAACAGTTATGGAACAGCCAAAATGCATTTGTCTTACAATACAAACATCTATAAACTAAAAGGTACTAATGATACAAATAACATTAATTAGTGAGCTTCAGAATAGCCAGGCTTACTGTATACACTTGTTTCCAGTGTTTGTGCTAAGCTAAGTTAGCATTGGGCTGCTTCAGTACAGACATGAGTGGTATCAATCCTCTCATTTATCACCTGCAATAAAAGCCTTTTTCCCCAAAATATCCAAAAGCAAGATATGATCACAAAAACAAAATCAAATCAAACTTTTTAATAATCCTTCTACTCAACACCCAGCATGTATTAATCCTGAGCTGGTAAACTGTAGATAAAGTTCATTTCTTCCTCTTTTTAAAGTTGCATCTGGTGATGATTCGAGGAGATTGGAGCCTCTCCCCGTCAGTCGCCCTGTTCGGACTCGTTTCTCAGCTCCACTGAAGTTAAGAGTCCACTGATGGCGCCTCAAAGCGGGGTAAAAGAAAGTCAGTGTGGGCAGAGTTTGTTTATTAAAGCTTCATGCCTTGAACGTTGGCTCTCAGGCTCAACATCTGCTTCTCCTGCCGCACTTTCTCGTCCTTGAACGCCGTCTGGTTGGCTTTCTTCTCCACTCTCCGCTCCTGATCGAACACACAGAAGGAGAATTTAACACATTGTGAACTGATGAAATACTTGTCTGACTTATCGACCTTTTATAGACATCTTTTCCTCTATAGTTGGCATTGTTTTTCATTTCTTATCATAAAAAGGTCATTAAAAAGACAAATTGATGCCCTTATTTGAATCCAGGTCGTTCAAGATAAGAGCAAAATCAATTACATAATTCATTTCATTTATCTGACTACTGCTTTGTTTTGTAATGGGATAAGACTGGTGTTGTTTTATACTTGATTAATGCAGACATATCCCATGAAAAAAACAAAACCAACTAATTTGTTGCCAAAATCAACTGTTTCATTTCAATGAATGAAAAGATAATCTTAATAATTTTCTAAAACACCTACTTTCTTTCGTTTTTATCAAATAAGCAGGAGGAAATAGTGCATTAGTTGCAGTGTTAATTTCGTCATCGAAAACTATGACGAAAAATGTTCGTCAACGACCTTTTTTTACACGACTAAGACGAGACGATGACGAGCTAAAAATAGATTCTTGATAACGAAAATTTGACGAAATGTATATTTAGTTTTCGTTGACGAGACGAGACGGGACTAAGGTGTTAATGGTGGACTATCGGACATTCAAAATGCAGGGTATTTCCCCCCAAGACTAGTAGTACCGTAGAAAACCTTAACGATACCCATCCCTATATATTACACAAGTAAAGTGTTAAGAGAGTGAAATGTTGCTTTACGAATTTCAACACTTGATGCTGTCACCTTGATTACAATGTCAGATACCTGTATTTTCCTAACTGAATTGGTTTAAAGAGAGAAAACATTTTGACTAAAAGTTGACAAATGTAATTTTTCATCGACTAAAAGTAGACTAAAACGTTTTGAGTTTTCGTCGACTAAAACTAGACAAACTATGAAGGATAGAAATGACTAAAATGTGACTAAAACTAATAACCATTTTCGTCTAAAGACTAAGACTAACTCAAAAACAGCTGCCAAAATGAACACTGATTAGTTGGGATCTACTTTCAGCGGCGGATTGATCCATAGTTGGTGCTCTAGTGAGTATTTGTGGCAGCAGGACGGTGTGTGAGACGAAACAAACGTGTGTGTGTTTTTGGTGATGAAGGAAATGATCAGCTGCACAACAGTGATGCTCACTGGGGGGGGTTTTAAATAATATTTTGGACAAGATTGGAGCTCCATGGCACAGAGGAGGACGATGCATCAGGATCCTTGTTGTTTGAGTCGATGTGAGATGGGATTTGATGAAGAGAATATTACAGTCTAAAAAGACTGAACGCCTTTAAAATGTCACCATGTGTGATTTAAAACAAGTTGCTTGACCAAAGGACGTGTTCTCAACGCTCTCACCGTTATTGTTTACAAGACAAACTACTAAGGAAAGTGTATTTATATGAAAGGAATTCTGGGAAATAATAATAAAACGACATGTTTAGCAGATTACAGGTTTCTAAAAACAATGGAGCTCTATGGTTTGAGATGGAAGATTGATCAGGCTTCGATCTGAAACACGTTCATTGTTGGTTTTTATATATTCCTACAGCTTGTTCAACAGTGACACCTTCTGTTAACCTGTGGCGAGTGAGTGAGCACCGAGAAGGAAACTGAAGTACTCGAAGTGATTTCACTACTTTGAGCAGATTGTTAGCTCTGCGGGCTAAATTGCTAATTTGTTAAAGGTAGGGTAAGAATGGAGAAACCAGCTCGAGTGCGCTAGAATTTGAAAGTACGCAACCGGAAAAAATCTGCCCCTTCCTCCAGACGTCCTCACAGAGCCCCTCCTCCAACACACACGAACGCGCACATGACCAATGAGGGCACGAGATAAGTTTGTGCACAGATGGAAGGCTGACAGGCAGGTAGCAGGTGCTTTTTACAGTATTACAGCTTCCACAGATGACATTTTTTTTATGTATTTATTGTCAAAGCATTTAATATATTCATTGCTATCGGGATGTTAAGAACATTCCATGGAATATAACAAGTGTTTCTGAAGTGAATTACCTACCCCACCTTTAGGTGACCTTTGTTATGTGTACGTTGCTGCCTGAACTCCAGGCCTGTTTAAAGTTCTGTTTGCTATTTATACATTTAGGTGAGTGTGTTTTGAATGTACTTTTGTTATTTTAGATACCCACTAGGAGAACTTTGTTTATTAGAGAAATGCTGCTTATAGAATAGAATCCTTTATTCTCATTATACAGGAACAATGAGATGAGCAGAGGCCTGTACTACGAAGCTGGTTCAACCTAACCTGGATATGTTGGAGTTAGCCGGTTGGCCCAATCCAAAACATACGCGCTCTCGCTAAACTGTACTACGACGCTGGTTATCAAGTGGATCGCTCAAGCCAGCCGTGTCCTATCTAGTTAGGTGTGCGTTCACATGAAAGGGGTGGTATTTGGAGCATTCGACCAATCTCAAACACGGAGAAGCGTACTGACAGCGCAGAGTCATACTTCCTGAATGAAAAGTGAACTTTAATATTAGTCAAATATGAGGAAGTTAAACTTTAAACATCCATGACTTAAACACTTTATCCAGGATAAAAGCCACACAGCTGCACCTGCAAGGTGAATACAGCTGGTAAAAGAAAAAGTGTTTGAATGCGTACATTAACAGGTTTATGAAATCACTGCCCCGTCTAAGACACGAGTGGATCTGACTTTAATTACATTTGACTCGAGTGTTTCGTCAACTTAATGTGTTGCTTAAAATAATACTTCTGCATACAGTATGTGACACTGAGTGTTGCACGGCCAGATACGGCTCAGCTGACTCAGATAAGGAAATATATGATACATTATGATGTGATATGATATGAATGATAATGGGACACATCGACGTCTGCACTCACAGTGCCCGGACTGTACTTAATGTTACTCTGATCCGGTTACTTATGTTGTGGCAGATATTTAAGTAAGCTTTCTTAACGCTAATATTATAATAGTCAGATTGCTCTGAAGATGGGAGGGGATATTCTATTAATTTTCACGTTCACACAGTCAGTTGATTTTCACGGCCGTCTTTCCTGCAACGGCAGTTTTTCTGTATTTCCTCTATCCTGTAATATGACTTGATCGCTTTAAACTCTGCACACGGAGCTCTGATTGGTCAGCAGGCGGTGCTTTCACTGAGTTGATCTCTTAGCCTGCCACCTAACCTGCTCCGGAGGAGGTTAGCCGCTCAGCATAAGTTACCATGGAGATCTAGCCCGCTAAAAAGAGAACCAGCGTCGTAGGACCGGAAAGCCCGAGTTTTCCCTGAAGTCAGCCGGCTAAGCGAAAATCCAGCTTCGTAGTACAGGCCTCAGAGCTACTGCTTTTTTTTGTAAGGTGCCATCACAAATACAAAAAACAAACAAGAGACGTACAGCATTCAGGAGAAGACAACATACAAGCATTCATACTGCAATATGCAGAAAAAGTTAAAGTGCAGGAATATATCGGGTTAAGTACAAAGAAACATGTTTGAATGTGTATTAAAAAAATGTATATATATATAGCGCAATTATATGCCCTTAACTTGGAGTTTGACATTAAAACAAGTTTACTTTTACCATGTCTGGTTTTGTGTTTTGAGTTGATTCCCTTTCCCAACGAGCTTGGATTCACTTTATACATCTCCTCTGTGTTTAATCTCTCTCTCTCTCTCTCTCTCTTTTCTCTCCCTGCTATTCTTCTCCTCTTTCTCTTACCAACAACGCTTATCTCTCAAAAATCTCTCCCAACAACAAAAGTCTCTCCTCTAACCGTCCCTCTTCTCTAAACCCGCCAAAAATCTAGCCGAATCCCCTCTCTCTCTCTCTCTCTCTCCCCCTCCCTCCCTCCCTCCCTCCCTCTCCTCTCACCTTGCGTTCCTCCTTGATGGCGAGTTTCCTCTGCTTCCTCTGCTTCCTCTCCCTCTCTCTCTCCCTCTCTCTCTCCCTCCCCCTCTCTCTCTCTCACACTCCCTCTCCCCCTCTCTCTCATTCCCTCTCCCTCTCTTTCTCTCTCCCTCTCCCCCTCTCTCTCTCACCTTGCGTTCCTCCTTGATGGCGAGTTTCCTCTGCTTCCTCTCCTCTGTGCTCTCCTCCTTGCTGCGCTGCTGGGTGGAAACTCGAGGCAGGTCCGAGTCGTTGATCCTCGTCATGCGCTCCGCCTGCTTAGCGGTCAGGCCTTTGGTAGGAAGGACGTCCAGAGGGATGCCCGTCTTCTGGGACACTCGGATTGGCTTCGTCTGAGGACACGAGGAAGAAAAATAAACGTGTTGTGTGGACAGAGCTGAATCCAGATCAAACGCACGCTGGTTCTCTCAGTGATTGTGCTGTCATGTTAAATGTTTGTTTTCCATGTATTGTGTCTTGATATCTGTCTGTTGATGTTACACGTGGAGCTGCTGTGATGCAAGGAGCATTTGACCATTAAAGTGTTATGGTATCGTAAAACTCCCAATGAGTCGTGCCTCGAGAGGCTAGACTTTGCTCATCGCTGTGATGATGGAACCGTCTTTACTGTAGTCAGAGTTCAAGTATCTTTCATTAAGAAAACAAACAATTAACAAATACATAAAAGGTCACAGCAATTCACCCTCTTTGTTTTGGTGCAACAGGTGACCTAAATAACAATAAACAATATTTCCCCATGGGACAATTGCCGGACGTGATAATTACAATTAAACGTGGTGCGGACAAATACAGATAACAAGCAATGGCTAAAGAAGCATTTTGGTTCCTACACGTTTAATGCACCTCTGAGGGATTATTTTCTTGCACTTTTTTCTTTATACTGTAAATATTTGTAGAAAATGTTGTCAACACGTGATCGATTCCTTCCATCTTAAAACACTGCACATGTTTTCATATCAGATTGATGTTTAAAAGCTTAATTGGGTCCAGTTAGATTTAGTTATTTTTGAATTGTGTAGAAAGTCTTCTTTAGAAATATATATAAATATTATATTTTATATAAGTGTTTCTTCCATGGAGAACAAAAAGAATGCACCATAGTTCAACCAGACTGACAATGAGACACAAAGAGACCTAGAAACCTCTGAACTGTGGAATACAAATACAAATAAATCAGGGAAAATAAGCAAAATGCAGATAGGACAATATTCCTGATTTAGTGTCGAGTGCACAATAATTGCTCAAGCCACTATATTTTAGGGATGCCAGAAACTGACCATGATCAAAATCGGAAATCGGACAGCCCTGGCGAATATTAATCGATTATTCGACACTATTTACACTATCGAAATGTGATTCTACATATATATATATATCGCAAAAAAAGCAGGTACAAATGACACAAAATATGTTTTTCTCACCCTTTGTGGTTCCTGAATCAACTTGGGTCTGTTATAGATGGTGGAATATGTGCCTGGAGAAAAGAAATAAACGTAACACAGTTATAATAAGATTAGATATCTACAGAAAACAGATTCATATTAACGGTTAATGCCTCACTTTACTCACAATAACACCAGAGGATTAAACTACTGTAATTAAGTCATTCATATATATTCATATTCATTATCCAAGCTCATCCCATCTGGTAAAAAGTACCGTAGACAAACACATCACATCAAATCCTATTTTTTTTAAATGTTAATTGTTGATCAGAATTGAGACGGCATGACCAGTTCCTCTGCAAGCTAAAGAAACAGTACAGTATTATCTTCTGATTCCCTACATAGAGTTTAACCTTTCACATCAATAGTTCCTACTGGTTATGGTTTTATTTTCCCATCAACCATTTACAGAATGAGCGTAAAGAACAGATACGATTTTAACCTTTGACTTCCAAATCAAACACTTTGACAGCATCAGGAAACAGATGAAGACACACCTTATCTCTTGTTGTTCAGAAGATCAGAGTTAAAAGGCTAAGTAAACATTCGTCATGGTTACTATTAACTTATTAACTTTTCTGGGGTCATCTTTTGTGTCATGAGTTCAAATCAACTGTTATCCTTAAAGAAACATCCTTTAAAGAGTCCTCTCCTGCTGAAGTTCAGGTGTATATCAGTATGTAGTGTCTCTACTTTAAAGAGTCCTCTCCTGCTGATGTTCAGGTGTATATCAGTATGTAGTGTCTCTACTTTAAAGAGTCCTCTCCTGCTGATGTTCAGGTGTGTATCAGTATGTAGTGTCTCTACTTTAAAGAGTCCTCTCCTGCTGAAGTTCAGGTGTATATCAGTATGTAGTGTCTCTACTTTAAAGAGTCCTCTCCTGCTGATGTTCAGGTGTATATCAGTATGTAGTGTCTCTACTTTAAAGAGTCCTCTCCTGCTGATGTTCAGGTGTATATCAGTATGTAGTGTCTCTATTTAAAGAGTCCTCTCCTGCTGATGTTCAGGTGTATATCAGTATGTAGTGTCTCTACTTTAAAGAGTCCTCTTCTGCTGATGTTCAGGTGTATATCAGTATGTAGTGTCTCTATTTAAAGAGTCCTCTCCTGCTGATGTTCAGGTGTATATCAGTATGTAGTGTCTCTACTTTAAAGAGTCCTCTCCTGCTGATGTTCAGGTGTATATCAGTATGTAGTGTCTCTACTTTAAAGAGTCCTCTCCTGCTGATGTTCAGGTGTATATCAGTATGTAGTGTCTCTATTTAAAGAGTCCTCTCCTGCTGATGTTCAGGTGTATATCAGTATGTAGTGTCTCTACTTTAAAGAGTCCTCTCCTGCTGATGTTCAGGTGTATATCAGTATGTAGTGTCTCTACTTTAAAGAGTCCTCTCCTGCTGATGTTCAGGTGTATATCAGTATGTAGTGTCTCCACTTTAAAGAGTCCTCTCCCGCTGATGTTCAGGTGTATATCAGTATGTAGTGTCTCTACTTTAAAGAGTCCTCTCCTGCTGATGTTCAGGTGTATATCAGTATGTAGTGTCTCTACTTTAAAGAGTCCTCTCCTGCTGATGTTCAGGTGTATATCAGTATGTTGTGTCTCTACTTTAAAGAGTCCTCTCCTGCTGATGTTCAGGTGTATATCAGTATGTAGTGTCTCTATTTAAAGAGTCCTCTCCTGCTGATGTTCAGGTGTATATCAGTATGTAGTGTCTCTACTTTAAAGAGTCCTCTCCTGCTGATGTTCAGGTGTATATCAGTATGTAGTGTCTCTACTTTAAAGAGTCCTCTCCTGCTGATGTTCAGGTGTATATCAGTATGTAGTGTCTCCACTTTAAAGAGTCCTCTCCCGCTGATGTTCAGGTGTATATCAGTATGTAGTGTCTCTACTTTAAAGAGTCCTCTCCTGCTGATGTTCAGGTGTATATCAGTATGTAGTGTCTCTACTTTAAAGAGTCCTCTCCTGCTGACGTCAGGTGTATATCAGTATGTAGTGTCTCTACTTTAAAGAGTCCTCTCCTGCTGATGATCAGGTGTATATCAGTATGTAGTGTCTCTACTTTAAAGAGTCATCTCCTGCTGATGTTCAGGTGTATATCAGTATGTAGTGTCTCTACTTTAAAGAGTCCTCTCCTGCTGACGTTCAGGTGTATATCAGTATGTAGTGTCTCTACTTTAAAGAGTCCTCTCCTGCTGATGTTCAGGTGTATATCAGTATGTAGTGTCTCTACTTTAAAGAGTTCTCTCCTGCTGATGTTCAGGTGTATATCAGTATGTAGTGTCTCTACTTTAAAGAGTCCTCTCCTGCTGATGTTCAGGTGTATATCAGTATGTAGTGTCTCTACTTTAAAGAGTCCTCTCCTGCTGATGTTCAGGTGTATATCAGTATGTAGTGTCTCTACTTTAAAGAGTCCTCTCCTGCTGATGTTCAGGTGTATATCAGTATGTAGTGTCTCTACTTTAAAGAGTCCTCTCCTGCTGATGTTCAGGTGGTATATCAGTATGTAGTGTCTCTACTTTAAAGAGTCCTCTCCTGCTGATGTTCAGGTGTATATCAGTATGTAGTGTCTCTACTTTAAAGAGTCCTCTCCCTGCTGATGTTCAGGTGTATATCAGTATGTAGTGTCTCTACTTTAAAGAGTCCTCTCCTGCTGATGTTCAGGTGTATATCAGTATGTAGTGTCTCTACTTTAAAGAGTCCTCTCCTGCTGATGTTCAGGTGTATATCAGTATGTAGTGTCTCTACTTTAAAGAGTCCTCTCCTGCTGATGTTCAGGTGTATATCAGTATGTAGTGTCTCTACTTTAAAGAGTCCTCTCCTGCTGATGTTCAGGTGTATATCAGTATGTAGTGTCTCTACTTTAAAGAGTCCTCTCCTGCTGATGTTCAGGTGTATATCAGTATGTAGTGTCTCTACTTTAAAGAGTCCTCTCCTGCTGATGTTCAGGTGTATATCAGTATGTAGTGTCTCTATTTAAAGAGTCCTCTCCTGCTGATGTTCAGGTGTATATCAGTATGTAGTGTCTCTATTTAAAGAGTCCTCTCCTGCTGATGTTCAGGTGTATATCAGTATGTAGTGTCTCTATTTAAAGAGTCCTCTCCTGCTGATGTTCAGGTGTATATCAGTATGTTGTGTCTCTACTTTAAAGAGTCCTCTCCTGCTGATGTTCAGGTGTATATCAGTATGTAGTGTCTCTACTTTAAAGAGTCCTCTCCTGCTGATGTTCAGGTGTATATCAGTATGTAGTGTCTCTACTTTAAAGAGTCCTCTCCTGCTGATGTTCAGGTGTATATCAGTATGTAGTGTCTCTACTTTAAGAGTCCTCTCCTGCTGATGTTCAGGTGTATATCAGTATGTAGTGTCTCTACTTTAAAGAGTTTGTATTATTGAGCTCAGTTGCTCTCTATTCTAAACATTTGTATCGTGATGTAATCACATTACTCATTGATGGATGTTTGTCTGCAGATTAAAGCTGGAACACTTTTGACATTTTGCTTTCTTTATGAGTTAGAAGATTATTAAAGTTTAGTTTTGGTTTCGTTGTTGTGCCGTAATTCCAGGAGATTAGGGAAAACACTGGAAAGTTGTTTCCCTGTAAAATAACAGTTTGTTTTCGGCTGCTGAAAGCCGTCATGGCTTCAGAAATATAATTCAAATAAATGTACGCTGCACGTTTCTACGGTGACAGGAAACTGCAGACTGAACTCACTGATGATGGTTGCACAGTCCCACTTCTCCTCTGGACCCATGATAACAACGGTTTCCATCTCTTCCTCTTCATCATCATCATCATCGTCTTCATCCTCCTCCTTCACGGCAGGAAGTTCTTTAGGACCCAAGTCGTCAGGTCTCAAGTATCTAAACAAACAAAACAATAGATAGTCAGCTGAGTTCGCCATTACATTTTGCTTCGACTATACTGTGTTTTGTTTTGGTCATGCCAATTGAGAGGTGCAGGAATGAGTCTTACACCCAGGAATGAGTCAGCATTCCTGTTTCCTCCTCGCCTTGAAGTCAACATTTTTTAGATATAAAATACATCAGTAAATACCCCACTGGTGGATTTAAAAACGGTAGTTGCTATCAAGTGTCTAAATGAGACGACTAAACGTCATCACGCCCAACATTAGCCACCTTTAGCTTAGCGGTGGTGACGTGAAGTCATGTGACCGTGCTGTAGTTCCTTTATAGCCCAACATTAGCCACCTTTAGCTTAGCAGTGGTGACGTGAAGTCATGTGACCGTGCTGTAGTTCCTTTATAGCCCAACATTAGCCTCCTTTAACTTAGCGGTGATGTTGTGAAGTCATGTGACCGTGCTGTAGTTCCTTTATAGCCCAACATTAGCCACCTTTAACTTAGCGGTGATGTTGTGAAGTCATGTGCCCGTGCTGTAGTTCCTATATAGCCCAACGTTAGCTTTTTGCTTCTGGAGATTGCATTTACGTTTCAAAAACCATAAAGTGGTGTTAATATAATGGAGATTATCCTGCTGAACAGAGAATAATAAACATTTACTACACGGCTTGGTTGAATGCTCGATGCTGATTGGTCCATTCAGACATTTAGGAGGTTATTAATACTCGATAACAAACCGCTGGTAAACTAAGAGCTTATTTTCTGCAATATTAGAAAATCCAATGAAAAAATCCCATTGTTTTTTGTCAATGGAGTCCTTGCAAAGCTAACTTTCTGGACGACCTACAATAAAACATCCTCAGTGCACCACTCTATAAAGCCTCTTCGAATTTGATCTAAAGCAACATGTACTGGCAGAGAAAACAACTATCTGATGCAGAATCCATCGTCTATCATATCATGTTATCAATAAACTCAGAATGAAGGGACTCACTCTTTCCCTTTCTGTATGAAATAGTCTTTGATGACTTCCTCCAGGCGAGCGCTGTCCGGCTGGATGAAGCCCTCCAGCTCCGCGTTATCCAGCGCTCCGATCTCATCGTCATCAAACTGCTCGTAAAACTGAAACAAAAACAAAACACAGACTTTTTAACAAGTTTGCCAAGAAACTTCAACAGATTGAAGACCCTGTGTTTGCAGGATGCTGACCCAGATATTGCAGACGGTGTTACTATACCACTATCAAAGTTTCTGAGATAACGAAGTCTCTAGTTCTTTTAACTTCCTCTTCCTCTTTTACCCGTTATCTGAACTGTTTTGACATTTAATATATCCGTCTGTGCCGTTGGTTTACATTTCATTTAAGGGGAGGAGAGAGAAGAGAAAATATTTGTCATTGACTTTTTTAATTATTGTTATTATTAGGGATGCTCCGATCGCCAATTTTGGGGCCGATCCGATCGAGTGGGCAGGGCCTATGGGGATCTTCCATTTAAAGGTGGGGTAGGTAAGTTTGAGAAACCAGCTCCAGTGCGCTAGAATTTGAAAATACACAACCGGAGAAAATCTGCCACTTCCTTACAGAGCCCCTCCTCCAACACACACGAACGCGCACATGACCAATGAGGGCACGAGATAAGTTTGTGCACAGATGGAAGGCTGACAGGCAGGTAGGCCATCCAGTTATTTTAGCCGGGCCGGCTAAAATGATTGGTCGTGCTTTTTACAGTACCACGGCTTCCACAGATGACATTTTTTTATGGATTTTTTGTCAAAGCACTTCAGATATTCATTGCTATCGGGATGTTAAGAGCATTCCATGGAATATAACAAAAAGTGTATCTCGAGCCGGTTTCTCAAATTTACCTACCCCACCTTTAAAGTGATGTTTAAAACTCAGTTAATGGGGCTCATTCACTGGAGCTTCCACAAGCAACAACCAACATAATTATAACATTCAAATGAAGTACATTATTCAAGTTTACATTAACTTGGGAGAATAACACAGGAGAAATGAGCGGAAGCGCTCTCTTTTCCTCTCCCCCTCTCTCTCCCCCTCTCTCTCTCTCCTGACAGCAGGTCAGTATCGTCTCCTGCAGCTCACTGATCCAGTAATGAGCGACCCGACAGTGAAGAATAAATATATGTATAACTAGTTTAGCTAGTTCCAGAGGTAGATAAAATAGCTAAGTGTGTTAGGTCTAACTCTTAATGTGTGTTCTGCTCCGCTCACCGGTCCGTCACAGCGGGCGGAGCTGCAGGATTTCTGCTTCACACACACGTTGCATACCGCTATTTTACTGTCTGTTTCAGACACCTTCAAATACTGCCAGACCGGTGAAGCCATGTTGGCGAGCTTGTTTTGCCGCGCACAGAGAAAAGTGTCATGTATTTTACGTCATGTGATCGGGCTCTCCTGATCGGCCTTTATAGAGAGCACCCATATCGATGGGCGGCCGATCGATCGGAGCATCCCTAGTTATTATTATTATTATAAAGGGTATTTATGGAAATAAGTGAATGGCATCAGGAGGTGTTTAAGAATATGGGGTTGGGGTACAGTCTTCAATAATAAACAATATAAATTGTATTAATACAGGAAGGATTAAAAAGGCTGCATAAAAAAAGGAACTCTCCAAAATAATAAAATATGGCTTCTTAAAAATGAGGAATTGTTATTTTTGAAATATTCTGGTACATGGATATTTTTCCTAAGTATATTGGACTGTATCATTGTAATATGTAGGATGACCTTATACAGTATATAACCCATCTTTTATTTAATTTTTGTTATACCTGTTATTTACGTTCTCAGTGTTATTATTGATTTGATTTCTATACGTTTTATTTGTCATATTCTCATGTTGAACTTCTTGGATTTGAGACCTTCTACATGCTGTGACCCCTTCTTAACCCTTGTGTTGTGTTCGAAAGCCGTTACCGTTCATGGTGTACAGTTTGACCCATGATTTATCTCAGTCCAAAACACTATCATCCAATATTGTTTTAACTACATCATAACTAACTTATTATGCATTCATAACCGTACAATCCTGTTGTAATTTAATTGTATGGCCGAAACACATTACACCACATATTTAAGTAAAACATGTGATTGAATTCACTCATTATATTCCCTATAGTGAAGACAGTGGATCATTACGTTATCTGACTATAATAGACTAATATTAGAATACAATCTCCCCCAAAAAAGTTTTAAATTATTGTTACAGTGTATGAAGGGGGAGGGGTGTCTAAAGTCAGAGATGTATCTTGATTGGGCCAAATTTGACCCAGAGTGACCCACAACAGTTCTGCTGGGTCTCCCCAGACCCCAACACCAAATTATACACTTTTTTTTTTTAGAGACCTTCAGACTGGGCTAAAATGATCAAAATCAGTTTTGTAGAGTTTATATAGCTGCTGTGGAGGATATCATGAAGCCTTGTTCCGATACAAAAAACTAGAGTGTAGTTATTATATAATTTTAACTTGAATCATTAAATGGCGGTGTGTGGCGCAGTGGGTTGTGCGTATGTGTTGGGATCAGGGGGTCACAGGTTCAAACCCCACTGCAGTCAGCATGTCGTTGTGTCCCTGAAGACACTTCACCCCAAATTTCTCCTGTGGGGATTGCCCACAGTACTGAGTATGTAAGTCGCTTTGGATAAAAGCGTCTAACAAGTGACATGTAATGTAATGAAATGAATCGGGTCACGGGAGACCTGAACACAACATAAGGGTTAAAGAAGCTGTTCATCTAATTCGGAGTACTAATGGATGTAAAGGGGAATGTGAGAGAATAACTAATAAAGAATAAGTCAAAACCTTCTCGAAGCGGTCGTCCAGCAGGGTGAGCTGCTCGTTCCTCCTCATCACCGACGAGGACATGGAGTATTCTGTGAAGCGACTCTTCGTCTCCTCGTCCATGAAAAGAAACTCTTTAGCGCGTCTCTCTCCGTCCTCGTCAGAAAACTCTGAGTCAACGTCTCCTTCCTCGTCTGTGTCCTCCCACCCTTCACCATCTCCATCTTCATCTTCCTCATCGCCACCTCTGTCAAAGGCAAATATTTTAAAATCATCAAACAAATTGCAATTAAAAAAAGTTTTAGCCGACGCATTTATTCAGACAATAAGTTCATTCGTGTTGGAGGAGCACCAATGAGAAGAGATGCAATAAGTCGGTAAACAGAACAAGTATCAACTTAACCGTTGACTCCCAGTCATTTTTCAGGCAGAAATGCAGTTTTTGTCTCTCTTTTATATCATAATGAATATCTGAGACTGACACAATTTAAATACATCACTTTACGTTCAAGAAACTGGGTTGGACATTTTCACTATTTTCTGACTTTTTATAGAACAGACAGGCTACTGGATTAGTCGAGAAAATAATCATGAAATGAATTGATAATGAAAATAATTGCAGGTCCTTCCGACCCACTGAGGAGGACAGAGCACTGAGGAGGACAGAGCCTCAGTGGCTTCAAATGAGACACATTTCTTTTAAATGTTAGATTTGAAGCCAAGGTGCAGTCGAAACAGGGAAAATGTGTAGAGATTATTTATATTTGATCACTTACTCTACTTCCATTGCTCCACACATCACGTTTGCTTTCATGATGAAGTCGTCGTCCAGCTGGTTTTCGGGGTTGTCGTAATCGAAGTCTTCGTCCAGAGCGGCCACGATGTCGGGGTCCAAGTCCAGCCGCGGGCCTGAGGGAAACAAAACAATTTAGAAAGTGTTAAGACAAACTCACATATATAGTAAGTCTGCATTTTACACCATTAGGGAATTGTTTTTGGAATTTATAAAAAATGGGGACATTGCAGAAGCTGGAAGGTTAAAGTGAAAAGACTAAACGACTGTGAGGGAATGTTGAATATGAAAATTAATCTATTTGGAGAATTGTAAGCTGCTCTGTTTGTGGATGTGTCTTTATTGCATTTTTGTTGAATTTGTTAATTTGCAAATGTAATTATATTCTTGGTCTGTACTTTAAAGGGGACCTATCATGCAAAATGCACTTTTGTACGTCTTTTATACATGAATATGTGTCCCCGGTGTTCCAGGGAACTCACCAAGTGTCAGAAAACACAACCCTCTCTATTTTCCTCCATACCCAAATCTCTAAAAAAGGGGCTGCAACGGATCTGATAAAAACTGATCCAGATTTGAACACTGTCCTGACGTCAGGACGGTGGCGCTACGGCTATTGGGCCAACTCCACCAATCAGGAGGAGACAGCCACGGCCATTGCAGTTCGAAAGCGCTGGAGACGCTGTAGTACATATGCCAGGCCAGTAGATGGTGCTGTTCTCACTGAATCTGCCCTTGCTAAAACAGAGCTAGGAATTGTCAAATTGAGCAAAATGAGGCATGGCTAAAATGCATGATCTGTTTGGTATTTTGAAAAGAAAAAAGTATAAATATGCCTTAAGTATGGTCCTACACTATATTATTCAAATATAGCATGATAGGTCCACTTTAAGACTTTTTAAGGATTCGCCATGAACTCTGGATAATACAATTTCAAGGCTTTATTGTCATGTGCACATTAGCTACAGTAGATATGGCAATGAAAAACTGAAGTCACAGGCTCCTCCAACAGAGCAAGAGATATATATATATATATATATATATATATATATATATATATATATAGGATATAAAACAAATAAAACAGATAAAATAGTGCGAGAGAATGTTTTGAGATGTGCAAGTAAATACAAATAAAATAGAAATAGTGCAAAAAGAGTCTATATACAAGTAAATGGAATATGATATATTAGATAAATAATTAGCAAGATGCAAACAGATGAATGTTTATGGATGTTCTTTACAGAGTTCAGGTGTCTAACAGTCTGATGGCCTGTGGGAAGAAACTGTCCCTGTTGGTGGTTTTAGAAAAAGGTTAGAAAACTTCAAAAAATCCAGGCTGAAGACTTTTCTTTTTGCCGCTGCTTTTAATTTAACTATTCACATTTTAGAGCTGTAACTGTAACTTGTATTCATGTACCCGTGTTATTCATGTTTTACTATCTTCGCTTTTGAATGTTTCCAATGTGTTTTATGCTCTTAATGTCTTTCATATTGTAAAGCACTTTGAATTGCCTTGTTTTGAAAGTGCTATATAAATAAACTTGCCTTGCCTTTAGACCTGATACAGTTTGTGGCTGAGGTGATGGGGGTCTTTTATAATCCTGTGTGCTTTCTTCCTGGATAATAAAGTTCCCTTTGAACGCTGCATTGGCGGATGAAGCTGATCCACTAGTTATTGTCATTTTAAAGCAGAGGATGTTTACCTGAGATCGGAGCGGCTTTGTTCAGAAGACCCACCTCCTCTTCAAACTCTGAGGCGAACACCGAGGAGGGGAGGTTCAGCGTGGCCGCCTGTTCATCAGAGAAACAACAGGGAACAGTTTACAGAAGCTTTTCATTTGGGTTAAACCAATTGTCTGAATGTACACAAAGACTTCTACAGCTTACGTCCGATCAGCTGCATGAAGAACACATTAAACTGCAATATGGTGAGGTTAAGATATTTGGGATACGGTTTGTTGGAGCTATATATTACTTTATATTATTGAATAGTTAAACATGTATTAACTTGCTGTTTTCTCAGTGTTATTTAAGCAAGTCGTTTTTATGCTTTTGTTTTGAAGTCATGTGTGGGCATCTGGTGTTATTGTATATATTGGAGACAGGTGGTGGTGGGAGTAGAGCACCAGTATTGTTTTAGGAGATAGGAAAGGCTTAAGGAAAAGAATAGAGAGGTAACCTTTTCTTTTGTTAATGATAGTGGCTCATGGAAATAAATAAACAAACAGATATTATTGTCTGGACTCGGATCATTGCTCTGCGTACGATTCAATAACTGCTGCCTCAGCGACAGTATTAAGTTAATTATATGTTATATTTCTATATGATTTTGGCCGCTACACGGTTAGAATCATACTTAGACGGCAACATGTTGGACTAATGCATCTCGAAAACACATATCTGTGTCTATTCCTCTCAGTTCTGGGACTATAGGTGAAAACATATGTTGAGGTAAACTAATGTACATTAAAAAAAGTTCCTAATGAATGTCCACATGGTGTCGCCATCCACACAAAAACTAAAACTAGTTATTTATAGTTCAGCTACCTACAGTACTTCTCCACCAAACGTCACTAATAGCTTTTAAGTAATCTTGAAATCAAACCGATTGAAAAAAGGACCAACCTGGCAACATAATCTGAAATGTGACAGCTTTCTTAAGATGTCAAAAATATTTCAAAAAATGCTCAAACCCAATTCCAGCTCTTATGCTGCGTTCACACCGGACGCGATGCGAATATTTGCCACGGCTGTGAGCTGTGTTTACTCGCATCATTCAAACAAGACGCGCTGGCAAGGGGGCTACAACTACAACAAGATGGACATATTTGACCGTGATTTAATTGTAATACACGTTTCAAAATGATGCCGAAGTAACAACATACTGATACCGGTTAGTAAAAACCATGAATTAATGCTTTGTCAAGTCTGCAGACAGACGGCAGGCGAGAAACCTTTTAAAATGCGTGTTTTCTAAATGGAGATTGGCTAAGCTAACGCAGTATATGCTCCGACCGTCCACACTCACAACAACGGCCTATACAGACATAAATAAAGCAGCGACTGTATTCACCATGACACAGGCAGTCTGTGGTTTGTACTTGTTTAACTTTTGTCTAGTTTCTGAACAGACATGAGGAGCTGTGAGCTCTGAGGGCTAACAGCTAACGGCTGTGTTGTTTTTCTGGTTCAACGTCAGTGACGGCAGACGCAGAGCCTCACCGCTGATTGGCTACCGCGAGATCGGGTCACGGGAATTTCACGCTCGAGTTGAAAAATTTGAACTCGAGCGTTTGTCGTGGCCCCCTTCACTCGCGCCGCGACATTACCATCAACCGATTCATGCTCACTGTCGGAGCAAATTTGCGTCTGTCCGCATCTCTGCATTGACTTTACATGTGATCGCGCCGCCCCCAAACATCGCATCGCGTCCGGTGTGAACGCAGCGTTAGAGGGACGTTCCCAGGATTTGAATGTTTCTGAGTCAACTTACAGGCAGGACAATGACCTCCTCCTCTTCGTCCTCATCGTCTTCCTCATCATCATCTTTGTCTTCCTCTTCATCCTTGAGAGGGGTCTTGCCTGTTTTAGTGTGTGAGGTGCGGGCAGCCACCAGCTCAAAGGGGGTCGCCGGCTCCTTCAGGTGCTGCAGGTAGTTGTAGTTATCGTCAAAGAACACTCCAAACTCCCTCTGTTGCTCCAGCTGCTTATCCACGTCCACCTGAGGAACAACACATTTGTCTTTCATTATGTTGCTTTCATTTTGACTTTCAGCTTCAAGACCTCCCATCATGCTGCTTTTAGGGATATATTAAGGGTCTCAGTCCCTCATACCCCTCTGTTCCAGCCCTGTGAGAGAAACGCTGATCCTGGGTCGAGTGGTAGGATGACAGGAGACCTTTAATTAGTCTGTATTGTTTCTGTTGTGATTCTGCTCATACTGTACGTAGACATAAGAGTTAATAGTCTGAACAAAGTGCTGTTAAATGAAAAGTATAAAAACAAAAGAAGCAAAGTCATCAAGAGAGGCTTTTTAATAAAGACTATAGTTCGAGCTGGTTTCAGATTACATGACATGTCACTTGTTAGAAACTCTAATCCAAAGCAACTTAATTCAATACTTTGGGCGATTCCCTCAGGAGCCATTTGAGGTGAAGTGTCTTGCCCAAAGAGCCACATCCTCCTCTCAGATCATTCCCTATGTTTGCCTCCTGGGTCCGACATGTTATGGTATTTTTATTGTATTTGATCTCATTATATTTGTATGTTACACCATCTTGTCTTTTGATTATTATCCTGTAATTGTATTTATCTCTTGGGGGCTGTGGCTCAGTGGATATTGCGCTGAACTCAGTGCGCTGAACTTTGAATCAGGGGATAGCAAGTTCGAGTCCCACTGCAGTCAGCATGTCGTTGTGTCCCTGAGACACTTCACCCCAAATTGCTCCTGTGGGGATTGTCCACAGTATTGAGTATGTAAGACGCTTTAGATAAAAGCGTCTAACAAGGGACATGTAATGTAATGTAATCTCTTAGCTCTGTAATGAATGTTTGTTCATCTGTAAGGCCCACTGAGACCAACGTGTTTTGTATATAAATAAACTTTGAATTGATTTGATAAGACGTTTCCAACTCATGAGAAATCACATATATTGATATTGCAACATTATGTTAGGGCTGACTGTTTACAATGAAATGTTTATATATTACATTCATAGAAAAGCTAGAAAAGTATGGTTAGTTCAGAAAACGACATTATCTGATTGTTGTGTAGATTGTTAACCCAGGAAATGAGACTTTTGTAATATGACAATATCAGAAATTTGAGACTACAACTAGTTTCATGTCAAAATATTGATGTAATAACAATAAATGCTGTCTGTGTCAACTGTTCGCTCACATTTAAGTGGCTGCTAAATACATCTGAGCAGTCGCTTGATATTAACAAGACAGGAAACATAACAAAAAACAAGCAGAGTTTGAACTTCTTACAGCTTCTTAATAATCTTAAAGGGATGGCTGTGGCTCAGTGGATAGCGCGCTGAACTTGGAATCAGGGGGTAGCAAGTTCGAGTCCCACTCCCACTGCAGTCAGCATGTCGTTGTGTCCCTGGGCAAGACACTTCACCCCAAGTCGCTCACAGTACTGAATGTATGTAAGTCGCTTTGGATAAAAGTGTCTAACAAGTGACATGTGATGTAATGTAATGTAATGTTAAAACAGTGGTCTTAACTCAGACATTCCCAACCAGGGGCAGCACGCTCAATGCTTTTCTTACTGCGCCTGAAGTCAGAAAGCGAATGAACCCCTGAGGTTAATCTTCTCTTTTATATGACAGTTATGAACAGAGAGTAACATGACATTTAATAAAATAAAACACAGTTAAAGTTGCACTTTCTCAATGCATTTTAACCCGTCATCTGATTGTGTGTTGAATTTGCATTATCCCCCTTTTAATGCACAATTTCATCGTTGTACCTTTAATCTAAATGTATTTTTTATATGTCTAGTATTTGCTATTTTTAGTTTGTTCTTATGTATTTGACTGGTAACTGTATTCTGTGTGATATCAATGTTCTGTGAAATGTCTATGAGAAGCACTTTGCACTGCACTTGTTGTATGAAAGGTGCTATACAAATAAAGATTATTATTATGATTATTAAAGTGTACCTTGCCGGTCTGCAGCAGGACGTGCTGAGGGGCTTTTTCATCGGCAGCCAGCGGGTCTCTCTGACTCCTGTGCACGAGGTGAAAGGTCACCGCCTTCTTCTTCTCTATGAACGACTTCTTCTTTCGATGAGGCTGTGAGAGACAGATAGAGGAGGGATTAGGTGAGATCGCTGGTGATTATATATAACAGGAGTCTTAAATTAAACAGATAAAGGAGTCCGGACAGGAAAGGAGGATTTCCTCTGTAGAAATGCATCACTGAGGATTCTGCTGTTAAATATTCTGAAAGTGACTTTACCCGTTCACACTGTTGGCGAGAGGGCTGTCATTTTATACAATTTTCATGCAGAAATGATTGTTTTCTGACTCATAAATAGCCTCTCTTTCTCAGTTGTATTGTATATCTGTCTGAATATTTCAGGCTTTGACAAAACAAGACATTTTAACTGAACTTATTGAGACTGGGATGGACATTTTGGGATGGATTTCAAAGACCAAAAGAATGATTGAATAAGGGAAAAATAATCGTGACATTAATTGATAGATTGTCATTAGTTAGAGCCCTGTTTAATTGCAAAACAGCATGATCCTGACTGAAACCTGTATATATATATATATGTGATCCATGCCTTATACTATATATATATATATATATATATATATATATATATATATATATATATATATATATATATATATATATATATATATATATATATATATATATATATATATACACATTGTTTTTCTCGATCTAATATTTGCACCCTTTTCTACTTGGTAAAGCAATGATAAGTTTACTCTTACAAACATATTATGATCTTATTGAATATGATGCATTGCTATAGGTTAAACTAACAAACTGTATGCAAATAAGTAAACATTAGACAATCTCAATAGTGAAGGTACTTTATTACTATGTTTGTTTTTATAACAACTACCTAACATCCCACATATATGGGCTTCAGTGTACCTCAATATTCCAACTCTTTATCGAATAAACAACACACTTAAACATTAAAGGTACGTTCTATAAACTAACTGTAATAGGTCTCTTCTGTATCTTTGGTGGTACTTAAGTTAAATCATTTTCTACCAAGTTCCCTTAACTTTAAACACCTGAGTTAGCTTGCTACCAAAACAACAGGGGAGAATTCAACTTTATTCAAGCCTAGAACTTTCTTAATGTAGTTATGTAAGTACAATACGATAACATATATTTAGTTGACGGTGATATTTCCCATTATAACAGTGTTTTTCTCATGAACACACCACACATGGACAAGTGACGTTAGCCGAAGTTAGCTTACAGATTAGCTTAGGTTAGAAACGTCAGTTTACCATTGTGTAACGGAGTCTCAGCTGCTTTCCTTTGACTAATCGGGGTTAGAGATGATCAAATCTCAAACTACAGGTAGCTGTTATTACAACTAACAGTTTAAATCCACAAAGTGTCGTTGTTGTTGTTTATCCACGCTGGCTTCTCCTTCACCATGCTGCTGCTACCATTACTGGAAAGAACCATTGCGGAGACCAACGGGGGGGTTAAAAACTATATTAATATGATTTAAGATATAATACGCGATATTTCTTCGTTGTGTTTGAATATTGATCAATTGTGGATTGTGGGTGAATGATGCGTCGATTGTGTTTGTATTTATAATGTAATTCATTTCATTGTAGAGTGTGTTTGTATTCGATCTACACCGTGCATTTTTGGTATAGTCCATAGTAGTCTTTCTCTTTTCATGTACGGTAGGTTGAAAAAACGGCGTGTAAGCTCATTACCGCCACCTAGTGGATACACACAAAACATTAGTAAAAACAAAAAAACTGAAAATAATTAATATCCTTAATTTAAATAGCAAAAGTACTCATAGTAGAGTGTGAAAATACTCAACTCAAATCCTGCATTTAAAACGTTACTTGTTTAAAAGTATGTATGAGCAAAATGTACTCAATGTTTGAAAAGTATGTGTTTTGCTATTATATATGATTGCTCTTCGTGGATAAATATTACAGCTTCATTTATGAGTATGATGCATTTAATTGCTGTGGATAAATAGATAGAGTTATATATGAACATGTTGTGAGGCTCCCAATAACAATGCTCTTAAAAAATACAAAATCTCCTCATCATCTAGGATTTGAAATGTTCCAGCAGCTAAAGTATAGTAATTAATTGTAGGCTACGTGTACTATATGCATATATTGGTGTACTTTACATGCATGATCTTTTGTCTTCATTGTTGTCATTCCACTCCATGCAAGGGATTCCTTATAAGGTGAAGTTATTCAGTTAGAAATACTTTATAACCTGCAGAGTAAGGGTTTGAATGCTTGCTTTGTTTGGGTTCCTGCCCATGAAGTGAAGGTGTGGAGGAAAAAGAAGGTGTGGACGTACCTGCCAAACAGACACTGATCACACAGTGGCTTCAATGAGTAAAGCTGAGGTCAAATGATAAGTTTAGTGAGCTCATAAAAGTACTATTGTTATTAACATATTATGATCTTATTGAATATGATGTGTTGCTGTAGATTTAACTACCTAACTGTATATACAGAGGTTAACATTAGGCAGAAGTGGGAAGTAACTAATTACTCAAGTACTGTACTTAAGAAAATTGTTTAGTTACTGACTTGCGTATTTACATGTTATGCTACTGTGTACTTCTACTCCACTCCAGTTCAGAGGTAAATGGTGTACTTTTACTCCACTACATGTATTTAATATCTTTAGTTACTTCACAGATGTGGATGAATGATGTGAAATATAATCAAGTGTTAAATCAGACTTTAGTTCCACCTGGAGTAAATTCACAAGCTACCCTGCAGTATACAAAGTCATTCAAACTAGCTGCACCTTTACCAGCTTTGAGAACACTTTAATGATCAATCATTATAAAACATATCATATATATTATTCTGAAATGGACCAATCTGCACAATCACTACTTTTACTGTCGCTACTTTAACTATATTTTGATGAGAATACTTTTCTACTTTTACTTGAGGAACATTTTGAATGCAGGACTTTTACTGTAACAGAGTATTCCTACACTCTGGTACTTCTACTTTTACTCAAGTACAACATCTGAGTACTTCTACTTTTACTCAAGTACAAGATCTGAGTACTTCTACTTTGACTCAAGTACAAGATCTGAGTACTTCTACTTTTACTCAAGAACAAGATCTGAGTACTTCTACTTTGACTCAAGTACAAGATCTGAGTACTTCTACTTTGACTCAAGTACAAGATCTGAGTACTTCTTCCACCTCTGACATTAGGACAACCCCAATAGTAAAGTACTTGAGTAAAGGTGCAACCAAGAGACGGTCACTATGTCGATTAAACTGGAAGAACTGGAAACATTTCACAACCTGATGTTAGAGTGAGGTGAAAACACCCGCGTGAACGTATGATGTTGGACGGAGAATACGTTTCTCAGCAGTAGATTCATAACCTTAACAATTGAACTTTACTCAGACATTAATAATACATTTTCCTACTGTGACGTGTCCACATTTCTTCTAAGAAAAGTCCTGCAGTGTATCGTACCGCATCACCTCCAAGTATTTACAGAAAACATATGAACTTCACATGAACTTTGGCTCCTCTCCAACTCTGCATTTTTTTCAGTGTTTGTTTACATTTCGGTGTGTGCTTTTAACTTTGTACTATTCTATTTCATTTCATTTTTATAAAAGTGTATGTCTTGTAATTGCACTGTTGAGGAACCTGTGACCTAAGTTTTTCATCCATTGCATAACTACACTGTAGTTGTGTTTATGACGTGACAATAAGTCTGTGAATCTTGAATCTAAAAGCTTCATTGTGTTTTGATTAAACCTCAATTGTAAGTTCTTTATTAAGCATCATTTGGAGGTATTTGTACTTTATTCAAAGTGTGTACAACTTTAAGTTCTTTAAAGTACTTCTTGCTTCCGTGCAAATCGATGGGGACTGCTTAAAGTAAATGTACAATATATTAAACATTTGGAAATGTGTTGTTGTTCAGCTCTTGTAAATAAAACAAATGGAGGGTCGGAGTTTCCTTAAGGGGTCCAAGACAGATCCATCAACTGAGAATAACTGTAAACATCTGGAAGGTCGACTTTGAGTTAAAAATGTTGTCAAATGTAATATTTTGTAACGTGAAATCCACAGTATGTACAATACGTTATGTGAATCTCAATATATCACAACTCCATATATGAACAAGACACGTCCTCTGCAATAAAACCATTAAAAATGTTATGGAACTGACTATCTCAATTTTTATTTAGTCCTGCTTAGACAATAAGTCATGATCCAACTCAGTAGCATATTTGCACATTCAAGCCTTGCGTTTTATTCAATATTTATTTCCATTCGCGCAGAGAGAAAATAAAACATGTTTTAAGTCAAAAACTATGACTCTGCAAATGTTAACATTTTGATCCCAAAGTCCCCCCCCCCCCCCCCCCTGCAGACGGATTCTCACATTAAAAAACAGAAACAGAAAGATGCACCGTTACAGAGAATATTCAACACACACTTTGTTCTTGTGGCTTCTGTTTCCTCCTCAGACGTTCATCGACAACATCAGGAACTGTGAGGACAATAAAAACGAAATACAATCAGATCCCATGTTACAAACAAACAAATCAAAATGTAAAGTCAAGTCAAAGTCAACTTTATTGTCAATCTCAAGATACACAGTCAAATCTGGAGTGTTAATTTAACACTCTGAGATAAGGACCATATGTTCACTGGCTCAGTGTTCAAATTGACTCTTTAAAGGTAAGGTAGGTAAGTTTGAGAAACCGGCTCGAGATACACTTTTTGTTATATTCCATGGAATGCTCTTAACATCCCGATAGCAATGAATATCTGAAGTGCTTTGACAAAAAATCGATAAAAAAATGTCATCTGTGGAAGCCGTAGAACTGTAAAAAGCACGACCAATCATCTGAGCCGGCCCGGCTAAAATAACTGGATGGCCTACCTGCCTGTCAGCCTTCCATCTGTGCACAAACTTATCTCGTGCCCTCATTGGTCATGTGCGCGTTCGTGTGTGTTGGAGGAGGGGCTCTGTAAGGAAGTGGCAGATTTTCTCCGGTTGTGTATTTTCAAATTCTAGCGCACTGGAGCTGGTTTCTCAAACTTACCTACCCTACTTTTAAGTGTTAAATTAACACGGTCAGGAAGTGAGAGATATTCAGCTATGTTGGCTCTTTGCTGTAACACTTGTGAGAGAGGCCAACGAAATGTCCTTATACGTTTGTTTGATAAACAACAAAGCTATTCTGATGTTTGTTGTTGTTTACCTGCATGATGTTCATCTTCACCCGGCCGCTCTTCCTTTGGTCCATAGCCTGGAACGCTCCTGGAGAAGGGGGAGAGCAAAGAGTGGGAAATAGTTATGTAAGAGTAGATTTTAACATGAATAAATCTGCACTTTGATGAGTTAAAGGCAATAGTGATGTTACTGTGGACCTAGTGGAGGATTGTATTCTTCTTTATGTGTACTAAACATGCTCATTTGAGTTTAACTGTTAATGAATATATATTAAAAACAACTATTTTGGTTAAAAGCAACATTGAAAGCCTAAATAAATTAAAAACATTAAGTTTAACACCAATAAATGTTAATTATAATAAACCATTAGCCATACTGTAGATACCATTTGCAGCATTAATATAATTATTAATATTATGACACTATTGTATTTGTTTATTTGAATATATTTACAAGCACATTTTTTGTTTTACTACTCTCTTTTTATATATACATATTTATATATATTAAAACTAATTATTTATATTTTTAATTTGATATTTAATTCTTTTACTTTTGATCATTTTATTTAGATTTGAATTTTTTTTTAATTTGTATTTAATGTTATTTTTAATTGACAATTTATTTTAATATCCATTTAAATTTAAATTAAATTCAAAAAGGAGCGACTGTAACTAAATGTGATTTCATAAAGTGTTTCTGCTTCTTATTTGTTGAGGCATTACTCCCTGTAAACCCAGCGTAGGATAGTATTCAACGTACTGAACATGTTCTCCAGACGCACGATGCAGGTCAGGTAGTCGTCGAAGTCGATGTCGTAGTTTTCGTCAGCGAACCTCAAACCGATGAGCTGCAGCAGTTTGTTGTTCAGCTGCATGCCTGCAGGACAACACACACACAAAACATCACAACATATTCACAAAAACACTAAAAGCTTTTCTTTGTATCAGCTGCTTCTACCTGTATCACCTGTTCAATCACACTTACTTACCTAATCTACTACTTTTGCTAATATTATTTCAAGTAATAACAAGAGGAAATGTAGATGCTCTGCTGTCAAATGTAAATCATTTCAAACACACATATATTGACATAAAAAATATGATCTAAAATCTTTAAAAACACATAAATAAATGTTTACTTAAAGGTCACCTATCATGCTATTTTTAGGCAATAGCATAGGTCTCAGATATATACAAATATATAAAAAACATGTCTATGAAGTGATTTGCTCAAAATACCAAACAGATCACCCATTCTAGCCATGCCTCATATCCCTCTATTTCACTTCCTGTTTCAAAAGTGCTGATTTGGGGTATAAAGCTTTAAAATGAGGGGTCTGAGCTTATGCGGGACCCGGCAGCTACTGTCTAAACTAAATACTGCCGTGATGAAACGCCATATCATGGATTATCAAGGATTCTTTCTGAAACAGTATGGAGCTCAAAGGCTTTCTCTCTTGCCGGTTATACCACAAGGTGAGTTCCTTTTTATTTCCTGCTTCTTCACACACATGCTCTCCAGTACAGGTTAGCTCTGAGTGTTAGAGATGCTAATGTAAACACCGACCATATTACGTCCAAAACAGTCGGGCATTGTTTCTGATAGCAACGTTTCTGATTGGGCCGTGGGTCCACATTTCAGATATTACGTCATATCGGACGCAAATCTGGATCAGCTCCGTTGTAGCCCCGTTTTTAGAGATTTGGGTACGGAGGAAAAGAGAGAGGGTTTTATTTTCTGACGCTGCATGAGTTCCCCGACACACCGGGGACACATACTTATGTATAAAAGACATCAAAAAGTGCATTTTGCATGGTCCCCTTAATATCACAGAATATATTATGATTTTAGTTTTAGATAGATGACATGTTTAATATTATTAAACTGATACTGATAAATATATCAGAAATATGGGTTTTACCTAATGTTTTTAACCTGGTATATATCTATAGTATTTCACTAAGTATACCATGTTTTACGGTAGAATACATTAGCCTACATTATAATAAACAATATTGAATTTTCAGCACTTTCTCCTACATCTCCTCGTCTTCCTCAGTTGATGGAGTTGCCTTAAGGCAGGGGTGTCCAACTCAATTTCATCACGGGCCACATCAGCATCATGGTTGCACTCAAGGGCCAGTTTTATATATAAGACTATATAAAAGTACATATATAAATATTTAATGTATTTAATGTATTATATTACATTATTGCCTCTGCATTGGATTATTATCGGATAGGGTAATAACTTCATAATTAACTACATCTGAAAGCAGAAGTCTAGGGCAAATAATTGCAAGTCTCTTCAGTAAGAATGTCACAAAATGATTTAAATAGAAAAGCCAAATTCTGGAAACAAGATTCGAAATAAAAAAAGAGACATTTTGAAAACAAAGTCAGATTCTGAGAAAAAAGTCAAATTCTGAGAAAAAAGTCACATTTGAGATGCATTGTGGGACATGTAGTTTATGGGCAACGTGCTTCTGTAAATCAGCACGTAACCGTATAATAAACATATTATATTCTTTGCAAGCTCTTGTGGGGCCACATGAAATGAAGTCGCGGGTCGGATTTGGCCCCCGGGCCTTGAGTTTGACACATGTGCCTTAAGGGGTCCAAGATAGATGAGGAAAATCCATCAACTGAGAATAACTGTAAACATCTGGAAGGTCGACCTTGAGTTAAACATTTTTGCCAAATGTAATATTTTGTAACGTGAAATCCACAGTATGTACAATACGTTATGTGAATCTCAATATATCACAACTACATGTAGGGTTAGAAGAAGACATGTCCTTTACAATAAAACCATTAAAACGGTCTAATAAGAAAATGTCTGCCAAGTTTTATAAAATGAATATTTCAATGATAATATAATAAGTGAATTTAGTTAATAATCGACTCTCACCTGCAGCTTTGAGAGCGATGCGCAGCTCGTAGGACGACATCTTCCCGGAGCGGTCGGTGTCGAAGGAGAGGAAGAGCATCTGCAGAAACAGAAATTCAGATTGTAAATATTTATATCTCTTTACAGTTTTAATAAGAAACACAAAGAACAGTTCCAGCACAGGAACTGATTTACAGCAATACATAAAGGAAAGTAACTGTAACTCTATTAGATTATTCTTCTACATTTCAGAGGTTAATATTGTACTCTGCATTCCCATTACATTTGATAGTAGTTTCAATGCATACATTATTACATTAAAATATAAATAATGTATCATATTAATACCCAACAATAATCTAAATTACATATTCAATCAAACGACAGCCGTTATTTAAATACAATTAAATTAGCTCGATATTTACAGCTGTCAAATAAGGCACGCACTAATACTAATAATTATATTGAAGTAGTTTAAGATATGTTATAACGAAAAGGACCATCCTGTTAAACTGAGTGCACACTTTTTACCTGTATGGTATCTGGCATGTGGATATTCTTAAAATGTAGTATTATTACTTTTGAGTGAGTGGATTATTGAAAAACTTCTACTAACTCTCAGTTTTAAAGCCATGAATCACAAACACTCACAATCCACTTCTTCATCTTCTCCCAGAAGACCTTGAACTCCTGGAACTCCAGCTGCCCGGTGTTATCCACCTGATCTCTGTCAAGGAAACACTTTGTGCTCAAAATCATCCATCGGTTCAACATTTAAAACACTCCTTTCTAACTACTGGGAAACAAGTCAAGTCTTTTATGGAAAATATACTTAAAGTGATTCCATTTAACTTTGAGACACTACCTGGAACTGAGACCAACAAAAACACGTTCAATATCTTATTAATAGCAAGTCAAAAAGCCCTGACTAGGAAATGGTTGACGACAGATGCACCTCAGGTTGAGGACTGTTCTGATGTTATTTATGATATTTATGTAATAGAGAAACTGACATCTATTATGAGACTTGAACATAACAAGATTAAAGGTCACCTATTATGCAAAATCCACTTCTTCCTGTCTCTTCTACATCAACATGTGTCCCCTCTTCTTCATGTCTCTTCTACATCAACATGTGTCCCCTCTTCTTCATGTCTCTTCTACATCAACATGTGTCCCCTCTTCTTCATGTCTCTTCTACATCAACATGTGTCCCCTCTTCTTCATGTCTCTTCTACATCAACATGTGTCCCCTCTTCTTCATGTCTCTTCTACATCAACATGTGTCCCCTCTTCTTCATGTCTCTTCTACATCAACATGTGTCCCCTCTTCTTCATGTCTCTTCTACATCAACATGTGTCCCTCTTCTTCATGTCTCTTCTACATCAACATGTCAGCAACATGTGTCCCCTCTTCTTCATGTCTTTTCTACATCAACATGTGTCCCCTCTTCTTCATGTCTCTTCTACATCAACATGTGTCCCCTCTTCTTCATGTCTCTTCTTCATCAACATGTGTCCTCTCTTCTTCATGTCTCTTCTACATCAACATGTGTCCCCTCTTCTTCATGTCTCTTCTACATCAACATGTGTCCTCTCTTCTTCATGTCTCTTCTACATCAACATGTGTCCCCTCTTGTTCATGTCTCTTCTACATCACCATGTGTCCCCTCTTCTTCATGTCTCTTCTACATCAACATGTGTCCCCTCTTCTTCATGTCTCTTCTACATCAACATGTGTCCCCTCTTCTTCATGTCTCTTCTACATCAACATATGTCCCCTCTTCTTCATATCTCTTCTACATCAACATGTGTCCCCTCTTCTTCATGTCTCTTCTACATCAACATGTGTCCCCTCTTCTTCATGTCTCTTCTACATCAACATGTGTCCCCTCTTCTTCATGTCTCTTCTACATCAACATGTGTCCCCTCTTCTCTTCATGTCTCTTCTACATCAACATATGTCCCCTCTTCTTCATATCTCTTCTACATCAACATGTGTCCCCTCTTCTTCATGTCTCTTCTACATCAACATATGTCCCCTCTTCTTCATGTCTCTTCTACAATCAACATATGTCCCCTCTTCTTCATATCTCTTCTACATCAACATGTGTCCCCTCTTCTTCATGTCTCTTCTACATCAACATGTGTCCCCTCTTCTTCATGTCTCTTCTACATCAACATGTGTCCCCTCTTCTTCATGTCTCTTCTACATCAACATGTGTCCCCTCTTCTTCATGTCTCTTCTACATCAACATATGTCCCCTCTTCTTCATATCTCTTCTACATCAACATGTGTCCCCTCTTCTTCATGTCTCTTCTACATCAACATATGTCCCCTCTTCTTCATGTCTCTTCTACATCAACATGTGTCCCCTCTTCTTCATGTCTCTTCTACATCAACATATGTCCCCTCTTCTTCATATCTCTTCTACATCAACATGTGTCCCCTCTTCTTCATGTCTCTTCTACATCAACATATGTCCCCTCTTCTTCATGTCTCTTCTACATCAACATGTGTCCCCTCTTCTTCATGTCTCTTCTACATCAACATGTGTCCCCTCTTCTTCATGTCTCTTCTACATCAACATGTGTCCCCTCTTCTTCATGTCTCTTCTACATCAACATATGTCCCCTCTTCTTCATGTCTCTTCTACATCAACATGTGTCCCCTCTTCTTCATGTCTCTTCTACATCAACATGTGTCCCCTCTTCTTCATTCTTTTTAACCAAATCTCTCTCAGAGGGGCGTGGGGAGGGGCTCCTTATTTTCATCTAAAGTAACAGACAGAGAATCAGCACTTTGGAAACAGGGCTGAAACAGAGGGGATTATGGGATGCTGCAATGATCTGTTTGGTGTTTCAGCCAATCAGAGACAGGTTCTGTATATATCTGAGACCTATATTGATGAAGAAGAGGATAATAGGGGACCTTTAAGAGTTGTTGGGCTTCATTGGTTGAAGACATATCTAAGCGCTTTGAGCACGTGAAAAAGCGCTCTAATAAAAAATGTAATGAATTATTGTTATTATTATATCTACAGTTAGATCGGACTTTACCTGAATTATTATTAGCTAATGTTTACATCACTCCCACCCCCCCAAAGATGTATGTTAAACTACTTGGACATTACCTGATTATCTTAAGAAATATGTTTTATTTAAATGTATTTGTCTATTATCCCTGCAAATATTACGCTATTGTGGAATTTTCTTTTATTGACAGATTATTATTATTTGAATACTATTTCAACCCTTTGTAAACAGATCAAGTGGAAAGCATGTCATGCTGTTCATGACCTGGGTTCCTAATACACGACTCCTTTCGTTCTCTTTCTAATCTCCAACATCACAAACACATGATTTGACAGGATGAATGTAGTCTGACGCTAACGCAGTGCAAGGATACGTCCATCAGGTTGATGATGCTGTGGCAGGTGCTGAGACTCAGGCCGTCAAACTTGATCTCTTTTCCTGAAAACACAATGCATTCAAACCGTTTTTAACTTAATGATAAAACATGCAATCAAATGTTAAGAGAATGCAGTACATACATATATATATACAGTATACACAAATAGTTGGCCATCCCTTTCATGAAGCCAAATTGTCTGACTAAACTCAAACCAGAAAGAGAGACGAATGGTGAGATAATTGACAAAAAGCTGCAAATATATATTTTGTATTCACTTACTTCTGCTGAGAACGCCGTCGAGCATCTCCTTGAGCTCTCTGACGGAGATCGCCTCGTCCTGGGGGGGAAACACAACTTTAAAGTCTCATAGTCATCTACAAATACATCTTTAAAACCTATATATAATATAGTATAATAATAAAGCAGAGGTCAAATGTCACTGTGTGACACATGTGTGTGTGATGATTAAAGAGGGTTGCATCCTCCAATGATATAATACTGTATTAGTTGTACTTCACAATTCACAGTATAAGATCCCTATCCTATCCCTAACAGTATTATCCTTATTCTCCTTGTCTATGTTGAAACTGTTTTTTAAACTTTTTGGTTTCATAAGATCATTAGAAACTAAATCGGCTCCACTAATAAAGTCTTTTAGAATATCTTTACAATAAGCTGATGTGTAAACAATCCCGCTGCTCCTTAACACAATCACTTCCCAATTAAGGATCAATGAATTAGAATCAGAGGATGAAACCCTCACACGTGCACACAGAACAGCACACAGTGACTTCTGCGCTGAACCCATCCTAGTGCTGGGTCTGGACCTCTCCAAATACTAGTACACACTCCATATTTAAAGTCTGTTTGGGGACTTGAACCGGCGACCCTACGATTCCCACCAGAGATGGCAAAAGTACACACATCCTTTACTCAAGTAGAAGTAAAGATACTCATGTTTAAAAATACTCTGGTGAAAGTAGAAGTACTGACTAAACTTCTTTACTCAAGTAAAAGTAAAGAGGCTTTGAAATGTACTTCAGTAAAAAGTACCCATAACTAGCAGCTGTTTTAAAGAGTACCTGACCTCCCTTTATATTAATAGAACAATAATGTCATTGTTAGCTAATGAATGTTTCCATGCTGAACAACGGCAACATGACAACGTTTTCATTGGTCCCTCTTCTTTAGAGAAGACCAGGAAATGATGGATACACGGATCGTGTTCAAATCAATAGGCACGCAATGACTCTAAATAATAATGATCACGCCACCAAACACACATTCAAACTAAAGGAACCAGCCTGTTTGGAAAATGTAAGAAGTAGAAAGTACAGGTATTAGTGTTCAAAATGTAAGAAGTAGAAAGTACAGGTATTTGTGTTCAAAATGTAAGAAGTAGAAAGTACAGGTATTTGTGTTCAACATGTAAGAAGTAGAAAGTACAGGTATTTGTGTTCAACATGTAAGAAGTAGAAAGTACAGGTATTTGGGTTCAAAATGTAAGAAGTAGAAAGTACAGGTATTTGTGTTCAACATGTAAGAAGTAGAAAGTACAGGTATTTGTGTTCAACATGTAAGAAGTAGAAAGTACAGGTATTTGTGTTCAACATGTAAGAAGTAGAAAGTACAGGTATTTGTGTTCAACATGTAAGAAGTAGAAAGTACAGGTATTTGGGTTCAAAATGTAAGAAGTAGAAAGTACAGGTATTTGTGTTCAACATGTAAGAAGTAGAAAGTACAGGTATTTGTGTTCAACATGTAAGAAGTAGAAAGTACAGGTATTTGGGTTCAAAATGTAAGAAGTAGAAAGTACAGGTATTTGTGTTCAAAATGTAAGAAGTAGAAAGTACAGGTATTGGTGTTCAAAATGAGAGAAGTAGAAAGTACAGGTATTTGTGTTCAAAATGTAAGAAGTAGAAAGTACAGGTATTTGTGTTCAACATGTAAGAAGTAGAAAGTACAGGTATTTGTGTTCAAAATGTAAGAAGTAGAAAGTACAGGTATTGGTGTTCAAAATGTAAGAAGTAGAAAGTACAGGTATTTGGGTTCAAAATGTGAGAAGTAGAAAGTACAGGTATTTGAGTTCAACATGTAAGAAGTAGAAAGTACAGGTATTTGTGTTCAAAATGTAAGAAGTAGAAAGTACAGGTATTTGTGTTCAACATGTAAGAAGTAGAAAGTACAGGTATTTGTGTTCAAAATGTAAGAAGTAGAAAGTACAGGTATTTGTGTTCAAAATGTAAGAAGTAGAAAGTACAGGTATTTGTGTTCAAAATGTAAGAAGTAGAAAGTACAGGTATTTGTGTTCAAAATGTAAGAAGTAGAAAGTACAGGTATTTGTGTTCAAAATGTAAGAAGTAGAAAGTACAGGTATTTGTGTTCAACATGTAAGAAGTAGAAAGTACAGGTATTTGTGTTCAACATGTAAGAAGTAGAAAGTACAGGTATTTGTGTTCAACATGTAAGAAGTAGAAAGTACAGGTATTTGTTATTCAAAATGTAAGAAGTAGAAAGTACAGGTATTTGTGTTCAAAATGTAAGAAGTAGAAAGTACAGGTATTTGTGTTCAAAATGTAAGAAGTAGAAAGTACAGGTATTTGTGTTCAACATGTAAGAAGTAGAAAGTACAGGTATTTGTGTTCAACATGTAAGAAGTAGAAAGTACAGGTATTTGTGTTCAACATGTAAGAAGTAGAAAGTACAGGTATTTGTGTTCAAAATGTAAGAAGTCAAAGTCAAAAGTCGTCTAAGTAGTGGAGTAAAGTACTGATACCAGAAAAATGTGCTTAACTACAGTAACGAAGTATTTGTACTCCACTACTTCCCACCTCTGGTTGGGGTATATATATATAAAATGGTGTCTAACGCTCATGTTTCCTCACATCTCCAGCCAGCGCTTCGAACAGACGTCTCAGACCTTTCTCCTCGTCCGTCTCCTCGTCAGGTTCAGAGGGCATGGGCGGCTGGAGGATAAACAACAACAACACTGCATCAGAACAACAACACAGGATGATGAGGTAATAGATAACGATTAATATTGAATCCTGGGTGAAACACTCACATCTGGCAGGTCAGCATCGACGTTGCTCCCCATCTCCCTGCAGGACAGAAACAGGATGTCAAGTTTGATGTCAGTATATGTATATGTATTTGATAATACACATTATAGTGTGGTATGTTTCATATTATGCCTTTAGGGGCCATAATTTGAACTCTTTACAAAAAATAGTGTCCAAATGTTGCATAAAATGTCTTAAAGGGTCAATTATCTTAGATCCTCTGTGTGATATTACACATTATAGTGTGGTATGTTTCATATACATCAAGTCAAATTCCTCGTACGTGTCAACCTACCTGCTGATAAACCTGTTTCTGATTCTGATAACTTGAACTCTTTTTGCATTTTACACATTGTAAAGTAAACAGCATTGACTCCTTTACTGATGCAACACTCACAGAGCCCCGGCCTTCTTCTCGGAGAAGATCCTGATGATGAAGTCGGCCTCGTGGTGCGGCTGGAAGGTCGTAGGAACCAGCAGATATTTCCCCGGAGGCAGAGTGAAGCGCTCGGAGATCTCCCGCATGTTGACGTAGGTCCTGCTGCGAGCCTTGGAGGGGTGGTAGCGGAAGAAGTCTTTCCCCGCCTGGTCCTGGTCGTCTGGAGCCTGAGCGCAGATAGAGAGAAGAGTCAATATCTGCTTTAAACTGGACTGAATGAGCTGGGTGACACTTAAGTTCAGATATTAGTACACAAAATATGATTTATATGATATTTGCACACTTAACTCAAACTGTGATGTTTACAAGTAAGTTAAGTTGTTCAAAGACACATTTTAGGCTACAGGTGAATTATATTTGTGCTAATTTAGGTTATGTCTATCTATCTATCCATCCATCCATCCATCCATCCATCCATCCATCCATCCATCCATCCATCCATCCATCCATCCATCCATCCATCTATCCATCCATCCATCCATCCATCCATCCATCCATCCATCCATCCATCCATCCATCCATCCATCCATCCATCCATCTATCTATCTCTCTATCTATCTATCTATCTATCTATCTCTCTTCCTCTCTGACCTCGTATACAGCGAATCCGATGGTCTCCAGGTCCATGCCCTCCTTCCTCAGCTTCCTCCTGTTCTTCTGCATCAGAGCGATCATCACGCTGCAGACGTCATCGTCATCATCAGCGTCTTCCAGCTCCAGCTTGAACTGCGGGTTGGTCCAAAACGTGTCTGAGGGTTCAGGATGAAGAGCTTTAGATAAGTGCTTCACAACCTTATTTCTTAAAGGAGCCCCTATTCTGTCATTAAATACTAAACTATAAGTGATATTTTAAGGGTTTTTCACAATACTAACATGCAGAACAACTAATAAACTGTACAATGAACCCAAATAGCGACGGCAATAACAGGAATTTTATGAAAACAATACAATATGGTTAATTTTCTATAAAATGGTCTCATATATTTCAGTACATCCAGAGCTGATTTCTCCCAAACCAATATAATAACTTTTGTTATATTAAAAAAGTATGTGTTAGTATTACCTATTTTTGTTGTAAATACTATTTGGCATCACCTATGTTAAGTAATAATAAACATAAAGAAAAGTTTATCTTAAAAATAGGCGCTTTAGAAAGTTTAGATACATTTCGAGCAAAAATAATCGTGTAAAAATTGCATTAGAGATCAGTTTTCCTCTTATATTATTTGACAAATAGGCTCTGAAGTTTGTGTTCAGGTCTTCATGTTGAGGTTTTAAAAATAATGTTATATTTTGAATAGTAAAACACATTTAAAACAAACAAGTTTTCTTCAAAGGAAAGAAGGATATCCTCACATATGGGACAACCTTCTATATTGTTTTAAAGGTTTCTTACACCCCTTCAAATCAAGTAGGCTTCATGAACCCCCCATGAAACCATTATTTATTTTATTTTATTTAATTATCATACATTTTACCTCCTTGTGTCTATCTGATCAAATGTTATATTTTGCTGCATGTACCTTTTAAAGTTCTTAACAAATAATCTGAGGGGAATTTCTTGTGATGTGTCATTTTGTAAAGCACTCTGAGCTGCATGTGTTATATGAAAAGTGCTACATAAAGCTTTATTATTATTATTATTATGAAGTTTTGGCGACCCCAGGATGGGAACCAACGATTTGGAGGGTAATTTAGGACATAAACACCAATCCTTTAATGCCAATAGCTCGAATACTAATCGCCTAAACGCCCTCCTGTTAACCCATCGTGTTGAAACTTCTCTAAAGTGTCTTGTGGGGTCCTTCTTCCTCACCGATGAAGTTCCTGCAGCCCCCTGCGGTGGAGCCTCTGATCCAGTTCCCCTCCAGCATGTTGACCTCCCAGTGGCGCTTGGTGTCGTCCGTCAGAGAGTCGGGGGTCATGTTGCAGATCTCCGCCTTATCGTAGTTCTTCTTGAAGTCTTCAAACTCCATCCTGGAAGAAAATCAATATCAACGTCATGTACAGGGAATCTAAGATAGACAGAGGTGGGAAGTAGTGGAGTACAAATACTTTGTTACTGTACTTAAGTACATGTTTCTGGTATCAGTACTTTACTCCACTACTTAGACAACTTTTGACTTTGTCTCCTTACATTTTTAACTCAAATACCTGTACTTTCTACTTCTTACATGTTGAACACAAATACCTGTACTTTCTACTTCTTACATTTTGAACCCAAATACCTGTACTTTCTACTTCTTACATGTTGAACACAAATACCTGTACTTTCTACTTCTTACATGTTGAACACAAATACCTGTACTTTCTACTTCTTACATGTTGAACACAAATACCTGTACTTTCTACTTCTTACATTTTGAACACAAATACCTGTACTTTCTACTTCTTACATGTTGAACACAAATACCTGTACTTTCTACTTCTTACATTTTGAACCCAAATACCTGTACTTTCTACTTCTTACATGTTGAACACAAATACCTGTACTTTCTACTTCTTACATGTTGAACCCAAATACCTGTACTTTCTACTTCTTACATGTTGAACACAAATACCTGTACTTTCTACTTCTTACATGTTGAACACAAATACCTGTACTTTCTACTTCTTACATTTTGAACCCAAATACCTGTACTTTCTACTTCTTACATGTTGAACACAAATACCTGTACTTTCTACTTCTTACATTTTGAACACAAATACCTGTACTTTCTACTTCTTACATTTTGAACACAAATACCTGTACTTTCTACTTCTTACATGTTGAACACAAATACCTGTACTTTCTACTTCTTACATTTTGAACACAAATACCTGTACTTTCTACCTCTTACATGTTGAACACAAATACCTGTACTTTCTACTTCTCACATGTTGAACCCAAATACCTGTACTTTCTACTTCTCACATTTTCCAAACAGGCTGGTTCCTTTAGTTTGAATGTGTGTTTGGTGGCGTGATCATTATTATTTAGAGTCATTGCGTGCCTATTGATTTGAACACGATCCGTGTATCCATCATTTCCTGGTCTTCTCTAAAGAAGAGGGACCAATGAAAACGTTGTCATGTTGCCGTTGTTCAGCATGGAAACATTCATTAGCTAACAATGACATTATTGTTCTATTAATATAAAGGGAGGTCAGGTACTCTTTAAAACAGCTGCTAGATATGGGTACTTTTTACTGAAGTACATTTCAAAGCCCTCTTTACTTTTACTTGAGTAAAGAAGTTTAGTCAGTACTTCTACTTTCACCAGAGTATTTTTAAACACGAGTATCTGTACTTCTACTTGAGTAAAGGATGTGTGAACTTTTGCCCTCTCTGGAGATAGACCATTTATCTGATCCTTTTCACAGTGATGATTCTGTCCACTACATCCCTGCATACATACAACATACTTAATGTGCAGCCCCTAATGATATAACAAAGTTCTAAATACTTCAATTGATAGTTTGACATATAGTTCGGATCACATTTATCTCGTGGACTCACCAGAATTCACCGTTATCTGAATTCTGCAGGAGGCGATTTTTGTCCGCTGCGCTCACATAGCCCCACTCTCTGGAGCTGAAACACGAGAGAGAACAACCTGTTAATGTTTACATGCAGGAATATTCAGTAAAGTTACTAAAACAGAGACACAAAAAGGCAAACAGAGAGATAAACAACCACAGAATACATGGTTTTTGTTTGTCTGGATGACTTTATTGTTTGTTAACATTGTATGTGTTTCTATTTCTGTATTATGTAACGCACTTTCTCTGTGAAAGGTGCTATAAACACATTATAAGTACTTACTTCCTTACATATCAGGGGACTGATATCAGGTCTGGGTCCAGTTTCTCATAATCCATCCATATGTATACCCTTATTTTTTCACATACTGTTTGTTGTATATTATGAAAGTTATGATAATGCTTACCTATCACTCCAGGGGCCGTTCCACTCGACCTGACCCCAGGGGTTTCTGATCCGGATCAGCTGGACCTTCTGACCTCTGACAGTCACCTGAAACCAGACGAAAAATGGTGAATAATTTCCCTCATACTGCACCTGTCTCCCATATATACCAAATCACCTAGTGCCCAAAGCTGCCTTCAATATAAAAGCACAATAAACTACTTCAATTAACTTAAAGGTCTCCTATTATACTATTTTTCTGACCAAACAGACCAAACAGATCACCCATTCTGAAAATAATTCTAAATAACAAGAGAGGAGAACTTATGCAGGAGAATTCTACAGAGAGTAATGAAACGTCATATTATGAAACCACATCAAGGATTATTTCTGAAACAGTATGGAGCTCAAAGGCTTTCTCTCTTGCCGGTTATACCACAAGGTGAGTTCCTTTTTATTTCCTGCTTCTTCACACACATGCTCTCCAGTACAGGTTAGCTCTGAGTGTTAGCGATGCTAATGTAAACAAAGACCATATTACGTCCAAAACAGTCGGGCATTGTTTCTGATAGCGACGTTTCTAATAGGGGACGATAGGTTGGGCGGGACGTTGCCAGGAGTTCAACGTAACGGCCGCCGACATTTTAGTAATGTCTCATGACCGCAGCAAATCTGGATCAGCTCCGTTGTTCCCCCGTTTTTAGAGATGTGGGTACGGAGGAAAAGAGAGGGTTGTATTTCTGACACTTTGTGAGTTCCCTGACACACCGGGGACACATGTTTATGTATAAAAGTGCATTTTGCATAATATATGACCTTTAAATGACAACACTATAATAAAAAGTTACATTTACGATAAACAGATACTGCAAGGAGATAAAGGTTTAACTATTAAATAATGAAAGCAGTCGTACCTCCTCCAGGCCGGTGATGGAGTAGGCGTGTCCCTTCACCAGGCCGGTGCTCGTCTTCGCCTCGGACTCTGCAGAGCTGGTGATCTGGAGAAAGAGGAGGTTGAGTTAAGAGACATGCTGCAGAGATGCAACATCACTGAAGAGACGGATTAAGGTTCTACAAAGAGAAGCAGAACAACAAAGAGAGACACAAAACGACCACTGAGTTGCAAAACTACACAAAAAAGGACTAAATAAGTTTGCAAAGCTACTAAAAATGATGTGAAACAACTACCGAGATGCAAAATGACTGAGAAGACAGTCTGCAAAGAGAAGCAAAATTGACTATAAGGATGTAAAAACAACTAGAAAAACCTGTAGAACAACTGAAAACAGAAAGAAACCGTGCACAAGAAGATGCTACAGAGACACATAATACAACCTTTTCAAACTAAGAATATGAAAAACTACTATAAAAATGCAAATCAAAGAGACTACAAGAACCTAAAGAGACACACATGACTAAGGTAATACATGAAGCTACTACAAAGAAGTCAGAAAACATCTACAAGTAGTCGAAGAACTTCTTCAAGGAAATGCAATTTAGCATCAGGCTGCAAAACAACAAGGACAAACACAAAATGCACAACAACAAGGAGATGCGGTATGAAACAAAAAGGCAGAGAAAGAGACTACAAGAGACACAAAGGGACTACAGAAAGGCATGGAACAACAGAAAGAGACAAAAAACGGGACCAAAATGATGATTTGTGGTCATTTTGTTGTCATTCTGTGTCTTAGTGGAGACTTTGAGAGGTGTAAATAACAATAATTAATAATCAAGAGTCCTTACATCGATGGAGCATCCCATCATGGATCCCCGGTCCATCGCCTTCTTCATGATGTGGAACAGGTTGTCGGGAGATTTCTTGGTTTCGTAGACTTCCCCGACGCCTCCGGTGAAATCCTCCATGGCCTCCATGGTGCTGCCGCCCTTCAGGGACTCGTAGCTGCCGTGAAGTCTGAATAAAACACAGAAATGATGAGCAGGGATTAAACAAAGTGATGAAGTTTAATACCAGACTTTACTTGTATTTGAACAATTACAGTTTTTCAATGGAGTCTCATTTTGGGGCATGATTTCACCCTAAGTAGTACATTCATCAATTTGTGTATCGACGGAAAATGAGTTATATATTGGATTAAAAAGGTTTGTATTTAATCTAATTAAAACTGAATTGTAATGGTCCATTCATTGAGGTAAGGTAAGGTAAGGTACGTTTATTTATATAGCACCTTTTCACACACAGAGGCAATTCAAAGTGCTTTACATCAACATTAACACTTAACAAGAAGACAACAGAAAGGAACACAGTAAATAAACTCAATGGAATAACAGGTTCATAAAAACCACGCATAAAAGAGATACAGAAACTGTTAAACAATTGAACTGCTGAAACTATTTCAAAACATTCATCTTCGACTTAGTAATATATATCTACTATCTAATATATATCATTCCAATAACTTGTATATAGACTCGTACTGCACTATTCCACATCATCACTTTATTTTAGAACTATTTTTCTTTTTGTATTACCTTTACTATCTGTATTGTTATTATGTTGCATTGTTGGAGAAGCCTGTGACATAAGATTTTCAACGACATAATTACTCTGTAGCTATGTCAGTTTGACAATAAAGAACCTTGAACCTTGAACCTTGAACCTTGAACCTTGAGAATAGTTTAAAAACAACATTGTAAATACGGTAGATGCTAAAACAAGACTTCTGGGTAAGCAGCTGAAAAAAGTAATGTTTTTAGCCTCGACTTAAAAGAACTCAGCGTTGGTGAAGACTTCAGGGTTTCTGGAAGTTTGTTCCATTGTTGGGGTGCATAGAAACTAAAGGCAGCTTCGGCGTGTTTGTCACGTTAAAGCAGATACGATGAAACCACAGGCGCCTCGTTCAATATGGTTTGGAGGACACAAAGAGGATGCCAGGTGTTTCATGATATTTAGGATGTATGAAAGTATTTACTTGGCGTAGGCTTTTTAAAGTCACAACATCTCACACAAATTGAAATTGCAATAAAAAAACAATACAATCATTAATCAATAATACTTGAATAGTATTATTGATTAATAATGAGAAAGGTTTCTGGTTTCTCCTTTATATAAAGAAGTGATTTTGAAAATATTTTAAGTGTGTTCTTCCATCCCGTGAAGTGGGGCTTAACCTTTAGATATTGGCAGTTATGTATGAAGTGCTTGCTCAACCAGATCACATTATTAGCAGGGATTACGCAAAGTGATCAAATCGAATGGTAGACTTGAAGATTCACTTGTATTTGAATAATTACAACTTTGCTGAGCATGCTTTTTAATAGTGTTAATAGTGTTTATTGACCGAAAATTGATTTAAAATTGTAATAATTATTTAAACTAATTAAAGCTGAACTGTAATGGTCCATTCCTTGAGTAACACTATTGATAAAGTGCTTTAAAAAGCCAAAATAAGACGGGTTTTTCATGTAAAACTTGATTGTTGTGGTTGATCAGAACTTTACATTATTGTCACGTTAAAGCAGGTACGATAAAACAACAGACGTCTCTTTCAATATGATTTGGAGTTTGGAGGACACAAAGAGGATGTCAGGTGTTTCATGATATTTGGGATGTATGAATGTATTTACTTGGCGTAGGCTTTCTCCAGCAAGGCGCTCCAGAACTCGTTGTTGGAGGCCGAGTGGACCATGATGAGTTTGTTCCTGACTGCCGGCAGCCGGTCGTCCACCACCACGTCCAGCCATTGGTTATGATTCCAGAACTGAGAGAACAAAAGAGATTTATTTATTATGAAATGATTCACCCACTGCAGATAACACAAATCTCACTAATTAAAAGTTCTCAAAGAAATTCCAGGTGTTTTTGAAACCAGGATCTAACAGTTATCAGAGCGAGTGAAGTAGAAGGAGCCGCAGAGTATGAATACATATATTTTGAATTCACAGCGTACCTGGAAGTGAAAGATGCCGGCGTATCTGTTGTCAAAGTCCTGGTTGGGGGGCACGACTCGGGCCATGGCATCTTTTTTGAGGGTCAAGGACGCGATGGCTGCCAGGAGCCAGCAGTCACCTGTGGAGAGCAAACAGGTGCATCATTTAGTATTATTGTTTATTGATGTATGTTCATATATTTTATATATGTTGCATATGGGGCGAAGCCTGCGAGCTAGTTCAGGCAGTCAACTCAAGCACCAATCATACATTAACACGTGACGCACCTCGTCCCTCTTACAACCAACCAAACACATTCTCCTAAACATGCCGCTCTATTTAAGCTGCCAGGTCTCCCTGCCTCTGCCTTGCTCATGCTGCTGCTGCCACTGCTGTGTTCACTTGCTATTGCTACGTTCATGTTCATGTTCCTGCTGCTGTGTTTCATGTTGCTGCTGCTCGCCTGCTCCACCACCACCCCAGCTTCCACCCCAGCTTCCACCCCAGCTTCCACCCCAGCTTCCACCCCAGCTTCCACCCCAGCTTCCACCCCAGCTTCCACCCCAGCTTCCACCCCAGCTTCCACCTGTAGGCTCGGGGGATAGTTATCTAATCATCAATCAATGTTCTTTGTATATCTGTGGAGTGATGAGGCCCGAGCCTAGACGCCAAACTCAAACTATATGCTGCTTCTAAAAAACATATTAAGAAACACGTGAGTTGTCTGACTGAAATATATTTATGCAACTATATGATTCACACATCCCCATATGTGTTATATATCAATGGATATTAATGAGAGATGCAATTGATTAATTTTGCAGCTGGTAAAGATGGTGCTAATTTTAATTCCTTTTTATACTGCCAGGTATCTTTATCCATAAAAGTACATGTAAAGTAAAAGTACAGTACTTGATAACGTTTAATTTTCATCATTGCTTGTTGCATGTTTAGAAGAGCCGGGGAATTTGATGGGTAACACTTTATTTTGATAGTCCATAGTTAACACTCTATAAGTCATCAGTTGACATTTAGTAGCATGTCAACAGTGCATCAGTTGACATGTATCAGTTGACATTCAACAACACCGTTCAAACCGACAAGTAACTAACCATTAGTTGATGATCAACAGATAAGCAACTTTAGAGTTTAGTTGACTATTACATTACGCATTAGTTAATGATCAACAGATAAGCAACTTTAGAGTTCAGTTGACTATTACATTAACCATTAGTTGATGATCAACAGATAAGCAACTTTAGAGTTTAGTTGACTATCTGTTGATTGTCAACTAAACTAGAGTTGACTATCAGTATACTTTTAGTAGGTTCTCCACTAAGCGTTTGTAGGCATGTGTTAGGACTATCCAATTAAAGTGAAAAACAGTTCAGAACAGTAGAAAGTCTATAACCTATCAACAGAACACATACATTCATCCACTAATTATATGCAACAGACATGGGAATAAAGCGAAATCTTTTGCACAACTGATCAGAAACACTGGATAACTGAAGTCAATGCCAGGCTATAAAGCACAGTAGAACAAACACTATATGCAGCATATCAGAGAAAGAAAGCTTTTTTATTTTAAGAATATACTACAAGTAAAAACACTGAACAGTTGTGAACCACATTCAATCCTACTAAAGGACTACTAAGTGACTACTACTACTTCTACTGTTCTCAACTGTTTTTCACTTTAATTGGATAGTCCTAACACATGCCTACAAACGCTTAGTGGAGAATGCCTACTAAAAGTATACTGATAGTCAACTCTAGATTAGTTGACAATCAACAGATAGTCAACTAAACTCTAGTTGCTTATCTGTTGATCATTAACTAATGCTTAATGTAATAATCAACTAAACTCTAGTTGCTTATCTGTTGATCATCAACTAATGGTTAATGTAATAATCAACTAAACTCTAGTTGCTTATCTGTTGATCATCAACTAATGGTTAATGTAATAATCAACTAAACTCTAGTTGCTTATCTGTTGATCATTAACTAATGCTTAATGACTTAGTAATGTAATCTTTAGTTGACATCTTGACTCTCAACAGATTATCAACAGATAGTTGACATGACCCTGTTGATTTTCAACTGACAGATTGATTTTGAGTAGTTGATTGTCAATTTTGAAGATGTTGACACAATCTACAGATAGTAAGGTTGAATATCGGTTAATAACCTGTTGCAAAAAACATGTTGACAGTCGACAGAGACTTTTTGTAAAATCTATAGATCAACACTTGAGATGTACCTTATATTCTACTGGCAGTTAGTTGAATGCATGTTACTTGTCTGTTGAAACAGTGTTGTTGAATGTCAACTGATGACTTATAGAGTGTTAACTATGGACTATCAAAATAAAGTGTTACCATTTTATGAGATTTTAAAAGATTCTTTACTTTCCTATACGCTGTATTTGTTGTGCAAATGACAATAAAGCCTTTAAATCTTTCCATCTTGAATCTTGAACTGTGTGTATGAACTGATTCTCACAGAAAGCACCCACCCAGCTGTCCTTGGCAGATGTCCGTCCTGTCTGCACCCCCCACGATGAACTTTGGGTTTTCACAGATCTCCTGCAGAAAGACGAGAGAATAACAGGTTGCTTTATTTAACAGTGAATCAACACATCTGACAGTTGAGAGGAGACACAGGTTCCTTTAGTGGGTGCGTTCACATTCCTGGCATAATAATCAGTGGCAAATCCCAACCACTGAAACACACACACACACACACACACACACACACACACACACGCACACACAGACACACAGACACACAGACACACCAGGTGAAGCATTTACTCTGGAGAAACGCCCAACAGAGAAATGTGTCACTGTGACAAACGTGAGTGGCGAGTTTTCTAAAGTTTACTCAGCTCAGTGAATGCTAACAGGTATTACGTGAGTTTAAATAATGATTAACTGTCATATTATTGTGTGAAATTACATAAGAGGCCATGCTAAAATAATGATACTGTTAATCTAAGATCTGTTGTGCCGTTACGGACACTTTTATATACTTTAGATCACTCTCCAGCCCTCCTGTGAAGTAATGGCAAAGGGATATAGGACATTGGAATAATAAAATTGCCATTACAAATTGTATTATATCTATTATTTGTATCCATCTATTATTATGAGAGAGACAATCTGTTATATTTATTTAATTCGTTTTTGGAAGATTGTCAAGAATTTAATGTTTTATGTCTTTTTTTATGTGGAACCTACGAAGAATAAGGCAATGTAATAATAATAATACTAAAAATCATATTCATACAGTGTCAAACACTTGATAATCGTAGGTCCCATGTCATGGCCATTTCCACTGATCTTAATTCCATTGTTGAGGTCTACTAGAATAGATTTATATTGTGCAATGTTCCAAACTCACATTGGTTTCTCATACAGCATCTCTGTATAGTATGTGTATTCACTCTCTGTCCTAAACGGCTTGTTGGAGCTCCTGCCCCCCCCCCCCTCCCTGTGAGCCCAGTGGCCGTCTGCGAGACAGTGAGACGCAGCGAAACCCAGCCCGAACACACACACACACCCGCAGCCTGGCTGGGAGTTTGTGTGTGTGCCCGGGCTGAGTTCCGCGGTGTCTCGCTGTCTCGCCGACCCCGCACCAATGAGCCAGCTCACAGTGTCACAGCAGCGAGCCTCGCAACGTCCCGCCGTGTGTGTGTGTGAGTGTGTGTGTGTGTGAGGAAGTCCGCGGATTGGTCCTAACGTAACGTCACTATACCCGAAATACGTCACTATACCCAAGAAGTAAACAATGGAAAAAGAGAAATCTCCAACGAGGCGTTCTGGGGCAGCATAGACAGGTCTTTTCTGTGTTAGAGTTTTACTCACTACAGGGTGTACTTTGAGGGTTTGTGACCCTGCAGAGCGTTTACATGCATAACAAGCTACATAACACACAAGGGGACGGGTGATAACCAGAAAAGCATGACATGGGACCTTTAATAAACAAAACAACTTTAATTAGATATTTAAAAAAAATTACTGATGGGGATCCTTAATCAAAGTAAAGCAAAGTAAAGTAAGTTACTGTAAAGTAAGATAAAGTAAAGTAAGATAAGTGTCACTGCAGATAGCGCTGAGGTGTGTAAGGATAAAGTCTGACTCTCAGAATGAGGAAACTGCACTCTGCTCTATTTACTCTGATTTACTGGCAGAACTGGTTTTGCAGCTACGCGTTGATAAATACCTAATTTCTCTCTTTGTATTAAACGTTAATTAAATGTTCACTTTATTCATCCGACAACACTATCCCATCAATTAAAGACTCTCCGCTATATAATACCAACACTCATTAAGTAAACTGCCATTGACGTCTCATTTATTCAGGTGCTTGACCAGTTTTATTCCACATATTTATGACTATGTAAAGCCTCTTAGTTACAATATTAGACCCATTAACAGCATATCAGTCATTACAGACTCTCCGCCTTTTAAAGCTGTCAATACTTGTTTAGCCAACTCCCAAAGAAGCTCTATTCATTCAGGTAATTCCAGTTTTATCCCATATATGTATGACTGTCGTATGCGCTATTAGAATAGTAAATATGACAAGTTGTACAGGTAAATATTAAACCCATCATAAAAGATGACATGACACTCATATCTTTCACAACATTTCATTCATTCAACACTTAGAAAACCAGATTCAAGACACATTTGTTGACTTTCTCAGATGTCTCCTTGCTATTTCGACCCGGAGCATCACTCTTCAATCTTAAAATCTACAAATATCAAGTCATACTTCATACCTTTGGTCTCTTCCATTCGATGTTGACAGGCACGCTCTGGCTGTAGTAGAGCGAGGAGTCTTCAGCGGGGAAGTCTTGGTCCTCAAACAGGACTCCCTTTAGCAGACACTCGTGCCTCAGCTCCTCAAAAGTCTTCCCGTCCGACTGTGTGTCCACGGGCTTTTTGGGGTCGGTGCCCCGGCCCGAAAGTCTGGACTGGAGAGGCATCTTCCTCTTCCAGAAAAAGCCAGAAAAAGGTATGAAACAGAAGACGTTAGACGGTGTTTGATGGAGTGATTCTCCTGCTGTGTGTTCGGTTTGAAGGAGTGATTCTCCTGCTGAGTGTGTGTGTGTGATGCAGCCTGTCAGGTGGGTAGGGCTGACAGGTACACACACCCTCCGTTCAGAAACAGGTTTGCCCTCCTGTGAGCCTCGCCCGCTCGGTCACCGTCTCTTATCTCTGCCTCTCTTTGGGCTCGGCCGGCGAGAAAAAATGTAAGAATGAATTCCTGAGGATTCGCCAACAAACACAGTAAATAGCTCACATTGGTGTGTCCGCTCACAAACTGCTGGGACACTTTGGGTGGCTGTATTTCAAGTCTGTAGGGACTAGGTTTGGGAACCATATGGTCACTGGTTCAAGTCCCAGAACAGACCAAGTATGGTGGGGCCAAATGTCCCCTTGAGCAAGGCATCAGACCCCAACAGCTCTCCCTGAGCGCTGTAAAATAGCTGCTTCCATATCATTCAGGACAATTCTCAAGTACATTTCAAAAGGTTGCTTAACAATGATCTCAGTATAATAAAGTAAAATTGAACTGTGGGTGAAATATGAATGTATTATTATTTACAATTTATTTTTATTTTTTTCTTATGATGGCTAAAATTGGATGACCATTTTGGTTTTCATTTCATATAGTATTGTAAATTGCATGAAATTATGAGCTGTTTTGTTTTGTTGTATGTATGTTTATGTATGTGTTGTGTGTGTGAGGACCCCAGGAAGAATAGCCAATGCTCATGCTAGTGCTAATGGGGATCCTAATAAAGAATAACATTAAGTTAAATGTCTTGATTTCACTGTTTCTTGCCTCTTTGTAGTTTATTTTTGTTTGTTTTTTATTAGTTTTTTCTGGTACTTTTTCAGTTTTTTGTACACATTATGTCGCTCCTCTTTCTGTCTCCTTTGTTCGGGGTGTGTCCCCATCTCCTCAGCTGCACCCTGCATCCTCCCACATCCGACTCAACTACTATGACATTCCTGCTGCACACTCACTGGATTCTTCACATTACTCCACATGAAAGCATTGACAAAAGTAAATGTTGCAGAACGAGACGACCATTCAGAAGCTTGTGCTTTACTGTTAATATCTGATACAAGCATACACCAAATAGGGTGTTAAAGTACCGATACCTGGGCTTTGGGTTTGGTTCGAACCCAGTCTTTAGTCAATCAGCTGCATCATATTTATCTGTAACAACAACAGACTTGACTTTAACGTTGCTTTCCTAACTTTGTAATGCCCCATGTGACATATAATTACATAAATGAATATATACTGAACGGTTATTAACACAAATATTGCCACAACTACAAAAAAGTAACATAGACAGAAAAGGACTACTAGACACACTAGGCATATTGCGCGCGCACACACACACACACACACACACACACACACACACACACACACACACACACACACACACACACACACACACACACACACACACACACACACACACAGTATACATCACTTCAGGGGACATTACATTGACTTACATGCATTTCCTGGAGACTAACCCTAACCTTAACCATAACCGACACATGCCTAACCCTTACCCTAACCCTAACCAAGTCTTCACCCTAAAATTAATGATTCCCCTTATGGGGACCTCCATTTTGTACTTGTACTCCCTCTGTGAACGTCTCTCTGTAAAATGCAGAACATGCCAAGCGTTACTTGTTGATCCTGCAGGGAGCGAAGCTTTAATGTTTGTTTTGTTCAACCAGATCTGTATCAATAGTTCCCTCCCATCTGTGTTCTTCAACATCCGGCTCAAACATCATCTTTATATATAAATAAAATTATAATTTAAAAAGGGTGATTGGGTTTTTCGTCATCCTGATAATATATAAAACCTATAAACTTTAAGATAAGGATCAGATCACTTTAACCAGGTGATGTATATTTAAGGTGAAGCCGTCTCTCCAGACTGGTCGTTCAGGTTTAACCACATACAGTTCGTATCAGAGTTTCTTTTATCAAGCTGAATAACAAGATGAGTCTCCGCTCAACAAGAGACTCAAACAAGTTCATCAGAAGTAACAAAAAAAACAAGAAGGACAAGTGAAGAGCGCAGACCTCCCTTAAAGCCAAATATCTTATCTTGAGATGATTAAGAAAGTGGAAAATCATTTGTATATCCACCCCAAACATCTGCTCCAAACATGTTGGGGGGGATTCCCTTTTTTGTTGTAGTGTGTTATATAGGTTTTTGTGCATGTAAATGGTCTGTTCCCTCAGAGGGAGTTTCTCTGCGCGTCCATTGGACTCCTTTGTTTACTTCTGTAACATAGTGACATCACTGTGTAACACTCACGCTTCTATTGGCTAGCGCTATATGAGAAAAATAAAGAGCATGGAGACATGTCCCAGTAGAGACAGGAAATACTGATATACACCTGAACATCAGCAGGAGAGGACTCTTTAAAGTAGAGACACTACATACTGATATACACCTGAACATCAACAGGAGAGGACTCTTTAAAGTAGAGACACTACATACTGATATACACCTGAACATCAGCAGGAGAGGACTCTTTAAAGTAGAGACACTACATACTGATATACACCTGAACATCAGCAGGAGAGGACTCTTTAAAGTAGAGACACTACATACTGATATACACCTGAACATCAGCAGGAGAGGACTCTTTAAAGTAGAGACACTACATACTGATATACACCTGAACATCAGCAGGAGAGGACTCTTTAAAGTAGAGACACTACATACTGATATACACCTGAACATCAGCAGGAGAGGACTCTTTAAAGTAGAGACACTACATACTGATATACACCTGAACATCAGCAGGAGAGGACTCTTTAAAGTAGAGACACTACATACTGATATACACCTGAACATCAGCAGGAGAGGACTCTTTAAAGTAGAGACACTACATACTGATATACACCTGAACATCAGCAGGAGAGGACTCTTTAAAGTAGAGACACTACATACTGATATACACCTGAACATCAGCAGGAGAGGACTCTTTAAAGTAGAGACACTACATACTGATATACACCTGAACATCAGCAGGAGAGGACTCTTTAAAGTAGAGACACTACATACTGATATACACCTGAACATCAGCAGGAGAGGACTCTTTAAAGTAGAGACACTACATACTGATATACACCTGAACATCAGCAGGAGAGGACTCTTTAAAGTAGAGACACTACATACTGATATACACCTGAACATCAGCAGGAGAGGACTCTTTAAAGTAGAGACACTACATACTGATATACACCTGAACATCAACAGGAGAGGACTCTTTAAAGTAGAGACACTACATACTGATATACACCTGAACATCAGCAGGAGAGGACTCTTTAAAGTAGAGACACTACATACTGATATACACCTGAACATCAGCAGGAGAGGACTCTTTAAAGTAGAGACACTACATACTGATATACACCTGAACATCAGCAGGAGAGGACTCTTTAAAGTAGAGACACTACATACTGATATACACCTGAACATCAGCAGGAGAGGACTCTTTAAAGTAGAGACACTACATACTGATATACACCTGAACATCAGCAGAATATGGACCCCTTTAAAGAAAGCACATATGCTCCAAATTTTAAACAGTTCTTCCTTGGCGCCTGCTTCACCTTTCCGGCAAATTTCATGAAAATCATAACAGCGTTTTTTTTCTGTAAACCTGTGGACAAACAAAAATCTCCTTTGTAAAGTTATGAACAAAAGAATCTGACAGAAGCATTTTTCAAATAAATTCTGTTATTTATTCCTTGTTTTTAGGGCTACAGGAGGGAACAAAAGTTTCCTGACAAACATAAAACACGTCTTCCAGGTTGAACCCATGAATATTCAAAACAACCATATATATATATATATATATATATATATATAAAAGAAATACAATCACACTTTCAACGTGTGATATCTGAATCAATGTGTTTAAGCCCTCTGTAAGCACAACCTGGATGGCGACACTTGGTAGCCAAAATATTACAAAAATACAGTTTATTTACACTTTTTAAACATTGCAGTTTGTGCCACTCGCAGAATAATGCGAAAAATACAGCCTTTGATTCTTAGAGATTTCCTCAACAAGGCTATTTACAATTTTGTTTTACTTCGAGACAAACCTAGAGAAAAAGCAACCACTTCCTGTTCTGGTGTTTCTTTAAGTTCCCATGGTCTTTAGTGTTTGTATGTGACCTTTTGAGACCCTTAAAAACATCCTAATACAGTCTCTGAACTCCATGAACGTCAATGCAACACATGTTCTCCTTTCCTGAAAATGTTCTTCCTGTAGATATCGATTTGTATAACAACATAAACTGATATCGAATTGGGATGATATCCTCTCTGTATCTAATGGATAGACCTTATGATAGCTGTGGTATCAGATGATAAATGCATTTTTAACATATAGGAGAGGGGGCAGCAGATGGAAAGTACTTGCAGGTAAAACAAATAGAGATCTTTGAAGGAGTAGTTCGACATTTAGATAATATTCATTGTTTGCTGTGTTACCCAGAGTCATCATACGTCTGTTTTCGCTGCTTAAAGAAAAGACAAACCTCATTTACATTCACATTCATTCCTACTTTAGTACCCAAAAGGATAGCCTGAGGATAGAAACAAAGGGTATCCATGACATAAGCCTTTTCCAATAAGCCATAGACCACCTGAGGAGTGTCTGTAGCACCAAGAATCAAAAACTGTCAAGTGCCGAAAGCCAAAAATACATTTCTGGTCAGATTGATCATCTTGTCCTTTACAGATCCTTCCTGATTCAAAATTAAAATGTTTTAGACACCTCCTTGCACCTGGGCTTGTGTTTTTCTTATATGAAAAAACAAAAAATGTTTGTAGTAAAGCATATTTAAATTCCTCAAAGCAATGTATTAAATTAAGGTTTGTTTTGACCTCAGCAAACGAGATGAACACTTTCAGACGATACTCAGCCCTACCCACAGGATCAGCCTAGCTTCACCTGTAGGTTCATAAGAGGTTTCAGAATTCTTTGAAGGTGTTTTTGCTTTGTTTGTTTGACAAAGCTGGGCTAGCAGTTTCCCCCCCGTTTCCATTATGTATGCTAAGCTAGGCTAACACCTCCTTGATCTCTGTTTTGGACGCTCGGGTATTAAAACAGCTCAACAAGTTTCTCTAAATGTCATTTGCACATCGTGTTAAACAGGTGGAAGTGTCTGTCACTGCAGAAGGTGCTGATCATATTCTGTACAGCACATCTAACAGCTCATCCCATAATACTAATTGGTGCAATCTGTTTTGGCGTTTACCTTTTTAAGATATACAGTCTATGGTATTTTCTCAGGTCAGCATTTTCATTTTTTTTTTGGGGTAAAACTATTTTTTTGCAGATTGGGTTTTTGTTTTATTCCACAGGAAGAATATTTCCAACAGTCACATTTGATATGCTGTGATCATAAGACTCGTGCACGACAGCTATTAACCACCAAGGCACCAGACCTTCAGACTGAGGAATTATTTAATACTGACATCTAGTGGAGACGCTTTGGTAATTAGACAATAACACAGAAGAAAAGTTATAATTGGTCTGGAAGTGAGTATCCAAGCCAGTTTTGAAAAGAGGGAGGAAATCTCACTGTTGTGCAGGTGTTGCCATTAATCCGTAGGAGTCTCAGTGAAGAAAACTGGTATAAACTGGTGAATACAAACAAAACTGTGGCTACTGTTCTGTTTTCTCCTGAGCTGTTCCGCTCACCAGCAGCAGGTTGCAGGCCATAAACTGGACGTTCAGCACGTTGCTGGTGTTCCCTGTGTAAAGTCCCACCATTTCATTAGACGACCCGTCGGCTGGCGCCACGCCGTGGGAGTTTCTGATGTCCCACACCCGCACAGAGTTGTCTATAGAGGACGAGGCCACCAGGCTGCTGTCGGGGCTGAAGGACAGGCTGGTGACGCTGTCCGTGTGTCCCCTCAGGTCTTTAAACAACGACCCTGAAGCTAAGTCCCACAGCTTCACCCTCTGGTCCTCTCCGGCGGACGCCAAGTACTTCCCGTTGGGGGAGAAGGCGAGAGACAGCACGGGGCCTCTGTGTCCGGTGAACAGGCGGACAGAGGCCCCCTGCTGGGTGCTCCACAGACGCACCGTTTTATCCGTGGATCCGGTGGCCAGGTAGCTTGAGTTCGGGTGGAATTTGACGCAGTCGACGTCCGCCAGGTGCCCGGCGTAGATCCGCAGCGGATACGTGCGGGAGAACGTCCAGAGGCGTGCGGTGCGGTCTTGGGACCCGCTGGCGAAGTAGAGGCTGCAGGGGCTAAGGTCCACGTCCCACACCGGGTAGGCGTGTCCGCGGTACAGCGCCGTGTTGGTGAAGCTGCCCAGGTCCCAGTAGCGCACCGTGGTGTCCTCGGAGCAGGAGAGCAGGCCGGAGCTGTCTGTCAGGAAGGCCGTGCGAAACACCGGGCCGCTGTGACCTCGCAGCGTCTTGACCTCGCTGCCGGAGCCGTCCTCCTCCTCCTCCTGGGGAGAAACAACGAGACATGTGGCGTTACCCGTCTATTTCCCTTTTGAAATTGTTTGACAGGGAGTTGGAATTGTGTGAAAATAAACATCTGTTGAATAAACTACCATTTCAAATGTATCAATTGTAAAACATTTTGTTTAATATGGACAGTTTTCATAATACCATCTTTAATTTTAAGAAATTAAGATCAAACATCTAGAAAAAGCACTGTTTATTTGCAACAGCAAGCAAATATAAGATATAGAAATATTGTGTCTGTCATAAGGATCTGCTTCTATTTGTTGATTCATATCCCTGTTCAACTTTTACCCAGATAAAGTTGGCCTATTGACTCTGGAAAATTGTGATAAATATTTTTCTACATTCTGATGCCCATGTATTTTTTAAAACCAGAAGATGTATTGGTCAAGTGAAAAGTAGAGACAGATAGTGAATAGTCATGAGGTGCAGCCCCATATTGCAAAAACAATGTCATCTACACAGTAAACCTGCTGTAAACACAATGAAGCCATTTCAAACCAGAAGATATTTGTCCTTAAAAGCTGACTCACCTCCTCCTCCAGTACGTCACAGGCCAGGTGAATGTGCGACACGTCGACCTGATGCGGTTTGGCTTTCAGTTTCCTGGCTCTCAGGCTCCACAGCTTCACGGTGGAGCTGTCGAATCCGGCGGAGAGTAGCCGGCTGTCGGCAGAAACCTCCGCCGTGTTCAGCATCTGCTCCGTGTTGTGGAAGGCATAGAAACACACGGTGGTGAGCGTGGGCGGGCCTTCGCGGACTTTCTTGATGCAGTCCTGAAGAGCCTCGAGGGCCACTTCGCTCTGAGGGATCCCTGCAGGAACCTCCACCCCGTCCCCACCCTCCACTCCGTCTACTCCTGCCCAGGAGGAGGTGGGGTTTGGGGCAGCAGTCGCCCCACTGGCAGCTCCATAAAGCTGGTAGTCTGTGCGCACGGACGCGGTGACCTAGGATAGGATAGGATAGGATAGGATAATACTTTATTGGTCAGATCAAGTCTGAAATTTGACTTGCATCACAGCAGCTCCATGTGTCAAGACCATACATCAAGTTTCAAGGCTTTTATTGTCATGTGTGCATAGCTACAGTGCAGTTATGACAATGACAATCTTAGGTCCCAGGCTCCTCCAACAGTGCAACACAATAAAACAGATAAAATAGTACAAGTAAATAAAATAAAATAGAATATAATAGAAACAGAATATGATAGAAACTGTGCAGAATAGTCTATATACAGTAATTGGTATATTGATATATGTGAGTTGCAAAAACAAACAACAAACATTTAACATAACATCACAATCACTGAGAGAAAACATGCTCAAAGACCCTTTAGCGTGCATTTGATCTGGGATTCAGCTCTCACCTCCACCTGCAGGTGTGTGTTCAGCGCCCTGCAGATGGCGCTGTTGTCCTCACTCTGCAGGTATCGCAGCAGGTAGCTGTACGCCGGCTCCGTCAGGTGCACCACGTACTTGTGCTCCAGGAAAGCGCTCAGTTTGGGGTTGGCTGCGACGTCCTGAGAAGTGAGGACATGACGGAGCTGCTCTATGGTGGCGCGCTGCTCGCTGTCCTGGAGGAAGAGGGTGTGGAAACGGCTGTAAAAACCATCCACTGCCCCCTTCAGGCCGCAGTGCACCAAGTCCAGGTGGAGGTAGACGAACAGCGGGTAGAGGAGGCCGCTCACCTCCTTCGCCCAGGATATTTCTGTTTCTGATTATTGGGAAATAAACATAGTGTTCAAGGCTTTTATTGTCATGTGTACATAGCTACAGTGTCTATCAAAATTAGATATACTACTAATGAGATATTCATAAATAATCAATCAATCCAACAATCAAAGGCAAACAATAAAAAGAAAATACCAAAAATCTATCTCAAGATCTGGCAATGACAATATCATACCATATTTTCCAGACGTGTGATTTGGTGGATTTTTGGATTTGATACCTGAGAGGAAGGAGCGCAGCCTGGAGAACTGAGCCTCGTACTGCTGCGGGTCGGACTGGCACGGCGCCGCAGAGACGATGTTGGCACAACCCGACTCCGTCTGCACTGCTCAGAGAGAGAGGTTCAGGAGAGAGTACAAATAAATATGTTAGTTGTTAGAAAAATCTCCCTGGTCCCCGGCTTGAGCTTCAATCTCAGGATCCATGTATTTCTGATCCTCTCAAGAATGGAAGTAGTCATCACATACAGAGCATCAACTAGTTCCTGAACAGTGTCCTTCACATGCTGATATACAAGAGAGGGAGTTACACAGTCACAAGATGGAGGAATATAAAGCAGTATTCAATGTTTACTTCAGATTCAAATTGCAAACCTAAGAAGTCCATGTTTTGTATGTAAAAAAAACTAGCTACTGAATAAAGGTTTTGAAGAAGAAATATAGTTCTCTTTGACCTGTTGTGGTGACATATATCTGATGTGAAAGACAAATGGTATTACTATCATCTTCATCTTCTTTGTTTAGTTATTCACCTGTGAGGCTGGCAGCCATCTCCTCCGCTGACTGGAAGAGCTTGGCACCTTTCAGAGAACCGTCAGTTTCCACATACTGCCGCCGCTTCAGGTACTGAGTCACGGCACACTGGATCTGCTCAGTGCGAACCCGCTTCATGGCCTGGAAAATACATAAATACATTTGTTTTTGTACCAGTGTTGGGAATGTAATTTTCTCAAGTAAAGTACTTAAGTACAATGTTGACCTACTCAGAATCAGAATACCTTTATTAGTCCCATAGAGGGGACATTTACGTTGTTACAGCAGAAAAGAGGCAGCTTAATGTTACCTAAGAAGCATGCATAAAAAAGTTCTAATAACGGATACAATATAATACTTTTACCTTACTTGTATTTCCTACTTCTACTCCACTTCATTGGGAAATATTGTACAGCTCTCTCCTTTACTTTTGTCTGACAGCTTATGTTACTGTACATATTCAGAATATTAAAAAGGAAATAATTATAATCAATAAATACATATTTTGTTATATCATGCTACCGATGTGGATATCAAATCAATTCCACATTTGCCAGCTACAACAATGAAGTAATATATGTATCTAGAGCTGCAAGGATTATTATTAACCAACTAATCAATGAGTCTAGTTTTTGTCAACTGTTCTGATAGTTAAATTAATTTTGTATGCAAATAATATCAGAAGATTTAATTTGCCCTATATTTTGATAATAGTGGAATAAAGTATAAACCATAGACTTTATATATAAAATGTATAAACATATTTCAAATAAAAACATCTACAGTAGAAAAGACATTTATCACAAGTAATACACAATAAAATAAATATTCAAGATACATTCAAATGTTCTCTAAAAGACCTAAATATTGCAGCATCAGACATAGATGTATACTACAGTACACTAGACTACTACTTACTATAAACGAGCTAATGTGTTTACAAAAGGCATTACACATGAAATACACCTTTTGTGACTATCTACATATATGCGTTAGAATGAAAACGAGTGTGGAAACTTGAAATATCACAGTATTAACGCTTAAATCTAGTCTAAAAGCCGGCATGTTTCCACATTAGAGGAAGATGTTTGAGCTGAGCTAACAGCTAAGCTAACCAGCTAAGCTAACAGGCCTCCAGACTTTACGCGGGATTTGATCCGGTTCCGTTAGCACCGCCGTTTGGATCTCGGTACTCACTGCATATCGTGGAGTTCCTCTCCGTGCTCAGGTACTGTGTGAGAGATGGTGGAGTTTTAACTCTGTTCCCGGGTGAAACTACGCCAGTCGCTGCCACTCCATCGTGTGTTCCGCCCCCCGGTCAGGCTCCATTAAGACATGCTAAGTTAGCTAGCCGCTCTCATCTCTGTTGTGGCTAACCGCTACCGGTGATCGACCCGCACGCCTGGCTTTCCCTTATCAACACCTCTTGAGGGTCTACTACCTATGCCTGGACGTTATTGAACAATTATTCTAATACATCAGAAAAAGGCACATATACATCAGAGTTCATTAATTCAAAACTAAGGGCATAATGAATAGAAAACAAAAAACAGAAACAACATACTTACTTACTTACTTAAACGTATTTAAATGCATTATTGATTTCCCCTCAAGGGATTAAAAGAGCATGTGTTCTTCTCCTAACGTTTTCAATGTATGACTTTTACTTACAGTGGTGTATTTTTCACATTGGTATTAGTAACACTACTTTATGGGTCTCTTTTAAAAGATCAATACAAAAGAAAGGGATGCTTGTTAGCACCAAAAGCCTATTAAAACTACTTGTCTAGTGTAGTATAATACAATGCTTAATTGATTTCAAATTATTGGGTCACAGGACATAGAAACGATTGAAAAGCAAATCAAGACTTTTCAATTGTAAAACTGCTGATTTTCTGTATTGAAATATTCATGTAACAAAGAAAATAACACTAAGGTCATGTGGTTAAATTAGGCTGCCCATATCTAGATCACTGTGTGGCCGTGGGTCCGAATCCCGAGCAAGGTACAACATTTCAGGCTGTAGATTAAACAAATAAATGTGACTGGCAAAAAAACACAATGTTCACTGAAATTAAACAAATGCAATAAAATAAAATAAAATCCTGGATGCAAACGCCTTTATACCTTAAACAGATGTTATATGTAGTAAAAGGAGATGTATGAAGTGATTGTGGTAGAACTTGACTTTATGAAAGGGACGTTATTTAATATTGCATTGCAGTCTGCTTAAAGAAAGACAACAAATGAAACGAAGCTACAAGGACTTGAGTCATACAAGATTTAATGGTGTTGAAATAGATATAGGAGGTTTATTTGTGTTATCCTCAGAACTGTTACAGGATGTGTATTTTGTAAATAGTGTCACTTTTTTCTTATAATTTTGTTATCTTTAATACTTTTTTATGCATGCTTCTTAGTTAACATTAAGCTTTCTTTGGCTCTTTTCTGCTGTAACAATGTACATTTCCTCTCTGTGGGACTAATAAAGGTATTCAGATTCTGATTCTGATTCTGATTCTATAAAAAATATATAATAAAAAAAAAGAATAGATAGTGGGCGGGGTTTTCCGTTGAACCGGTAATGACGCATATTTCAAGCGACTGCACCGCGCGCTGTTTTCGGATTGTACAGCGAGGTTTAGCGGTGTGTTTATATTGTTTTTTACGGTACATTTGTTGTACAGTTGTCTCCTGTTGACCGGTGAAAGGGCGCCACAGCAGCATGTTTACCCCCCGCTCCGCACCGAGCCCCGGCCGCCGGCAGCAGGGCAGGAGCTCCGGGAGGAAGAGCGGGACCAGCCTACTGTTCTCCCCGAGGAGAGCGACTCTATCCGGGAGGTGAGGGACACACACTGACCGGTAACATCTAACATGTAGTGGAAGAAGTAACTTAGTGCATGTACTCTCTCTTTATTCTTCATTGTTCTGTGGTTACCATGGTTTTTACTAATAACTGTTAGTTAACGGCTGTGTCAGTTTGCTGCTAACGGTTGCTAGCCTCTGTCAGTGTTGTAACTAAGATTTACTCAAGTACTTATGTACAATTTTTGAGGTACTTTTACTTTACTTGAGTATTTTCTTTTTACTTTGTACTTCCACCTTCTAAAATTCAGAAGTATACGGTGTACTTTTACTCCACTACATGTATTTATTACCTTTAGTTACTTTACAGATGTGGATGAATGATGTGAAATATAATCAAGTGTTAAATCAGACTTTAGTTCCACCTGGAGTAAATTCACAAGCTACCCTGCAGTATACAAAGTCATTCAAACTAGCTGCACCTTTACCAGCTTTGAGAACACTTTCATGATCAATCATTATAAAACATATCATATATATTATTCTGAAATGGACCAATCTGCACAATGACTACTTTTACTGTCGCTACTTTAACTATATTTTGATGCTAATACTTTTCTACTTTTACTTGAGGAACATTTTGAATGCATGACTTTTACTGTAACAGAGACAGAGTATTCCTACACTCAGGTACTTCTACTTTTACTCAAGTACAAGATCTGAGTACTTCTTCCACCTCTGTTTGTGTCTAAACATATTTTGTTCTAACTTTATTTGAAACATCGTGATATAAATATATTTAAACTATATTATACTAGTGTCCATATCTCTACAACCTCATGAACAATTTGCACAGTACAGTACTCTACATATACATTGAAGCCCACTCACACTACCTCACAGGATATAGTTGACTTTTAATTAAAAGCTACTGTGTGTGCACACATCTTTAATGTATATAGTACACTATGTTTATATGTGTCTGTCCCTTTTAATAGATTGGTTTATTATAGAGTATTCTGTATATTCACTCTAAATCTCTCTCCATCAGGGGAACACCCACCAGAGCGCAGAGCCATGCCGCTGCAGATTTATTTAACTACGATGTGCAAACCTTCGGCTCCTCGCTGCCCGTCAAAGTGATGGAGGCCCTGACCATGGCTGAGGGTAAAGAAAACCTCATCTCTGTTACTGTTTGTTAGGAAAATATCACTCGTCGTCACCGGCTTGAGCTTCAATCTCAGGATCCATGTATCTCTGATCCTCTCCAGAATGGAAGTAGTCATCACATACAGAGCATCAACTAGTTCCTGAACAGTGTCCTTCACATGCTGATATCCAAGAGAGGGAGTTACACAGTCACAAGATGGAGGAATATAAAGCAGTATTCAATGTTTACTTCAGATTAGCTCCACGTCAGAAATGATCATGCTTGTCATATGTCTATCTCCATAGAGGCTGAATCATCATGTTAATCACATAGCTATCATATGCCTCAAACAGTCCTGATGCTCTTCTAGGTAATCATACACCCTGTCATGTTCACAGCTACAGTTGGGATACCTTTGTTATCATGTTACTCTGATATTGGAAGAGTACATTCAGTATTTTTCCAACACTGTTGATGTCACTTTTCTGTTTGACAGGGTTTGTTAAAAGTATGGCGTCCTGCTGCAGAATTGCCACTAAACCTTTCTGTATGTGTCGGTTCTTTTTAGAGATTGACCAGATCTCAGTGAAGGTGGATGAGAGCGGCTGGGCCTGGATGATCTGTGGAGAGAAACTGATCATCTGGAAGATCTGCCAGACTGCTGTGGCAAAGGTACACTTTAAGATTCAGACACTAAAGCAGCAAACAGACTGTGAGTACAGAAGAAATGTTCCTATATTTATTCATCTTTGCAGAGTTGGGGAGAGAAAAGGGATCTGGTCTGCAATGTGTTGGGTTCTGGGACACCTTGATGCACATTTTTCAGTATTTTCTGATTTAAAAAGCAAAGTAATTCCCAGCCTATTCCATTGAAATGAATGATCAGCAATCAGCAGTCCTTTATTTGTCCCACAGCGGGTACATGTACAGTTTTACAGCAACGAAGAACAGTGCAAATGAAATGCAGCTATAAAATGATTGGGCTGACAAAATAAAAAAGAGCAAAGTGTAATAAAATCAGATGTGTACAAATCCAGGGTAAAAATAAGTACCAGCATTATAAAAATAAGTAAACAAAAAGCCACTAATACAAAATGATAAACACTATTTATTTGTAAACTATATTTTTCTGTAAGCCTAAAATATGAGGACACATTTTTGATCCTAAATATCTTGGTTTCTTCTTTTCTTAGTTCACATTGTTCTCTTGTCTTACATAATAAACGTAATTAAAAAAAAAACATCTTATTGATATTTTCAGTAATCAGGTTACATTACGTGAATATTGTGATGCTAGGATTGCGTTAATGATGACTTTCTTTTGCCGCTAACTAGTCATTTGAACGGAAAACATTTTTAAAGGTCCCCTATTATACTGATTTTCATCAATATATTACAGGTCTCAGATATATACAGAGCCTGTCTCTGATTGGCTGAAACACCAAACAGATCATTGCAGCATCTCATAATCCCCTCTGTTTCAGCCCTGTTTCAAAGTGCTGATTCTCTGTCTGTTACTTTAGATGAAAATAAGGAGCCCCTCCCCACGCCCCTCTGAGAGAGATTTGGTTACAAAGAACACAATGGTGCTCTAGGAGGAGATTCAGGTGATAAGGTGGGTGGGGGGTTACCTTGGTTGGTGATTGGCTAATGGTTACACAAGACAAAACATCGTTATGACATCACAAAGTGGCCAAAATCTGATCAGCTCATTTTCAGACAGGTTTTTATAAAAATGGATCAGGACAAAAAGAGAGAGAATCTTTGTTCCTGAAACTTTCAGAGTCTCTTTACACAGAGGGGACACATGTTGATGTAGAAGAGACATGAAGAAGAGGGGACACATGTTGATGTAGAAGAGACATGAAGAAGAGGGGACACATGTTGATGTAGAAGAGACATGAAGAAGAGGGGACACATGTTGATGTAGAAGAGACATGAAGAAGAGGGGACACATGTTGATGTAGAAGGAGACATGAAGAAGAGGGGACACATGTTGATGTAGAGGAGACATGAAGAAGAGGGGACACATGTTGATGTAGAGGAGACATGAAGAAGAGGGGACACATGTTGATGTAGAAGAGACATGAAGAAGAGGGGACACATGTTGATGTAGAAGAGACATGAAGAAGAGGGGACACATGTTGATGTAGAAGAGACATGAAGAAGAGGGGACACATGTTGATGTAGAAGAGACATGAAGAAGAGGGGACACATGTTGATGTAGAAGAGACATGAAGAAGAGGGGACACATGTTGATGTAGAGAGACATGAAGAAGAGGGGACACATTGTGATGTAGAAGAGACATGAAGAGAGGGACACGTGCTGATGTAGAAGAGACATGAAGAAGAGGGGACACATGTTGATGTAGAAGAGACATGAAGAAGAGGGGACACATGTTGATGTAGAAGAGACATGAAGAAGAGGGGACACATGTTGATGAAGAAGAGACATGAAGAAGAGGGGACACATGGTGATGTAGAAGAGACATGAAGAAGAGGGGACACATGTTGATGTAGAAGAGACATGAAGAAGAGGGGACACATGTTGATGTAGAAGGAGACATGAAGAAGAGGGGACACATGTTGATGTAGAAGAGACATGAAGAAGAGGGAACACATGTTGATGTAGAAGAGACATGAAGAAGAGGGGACACATGTTGATGAAGAAGAGACATGAAGAAGAGGGGACACATGTTGATGTAGAAGAGACATGAAGAAGAGGGGACACATGTTGATGTAGAAGAGACATGAAGAAGAGGGGACACATGTTGATGTAGAAGAGACATGAAGAAGAGGGGACACATGCTGATGTAGAAGAGACATGAAGAAGAGGGGACACATGTTGATGTAGAAGAGACATGAAGAAGAGGGGACACATGCTGATGTAGAAGAAACATGAAGAAGAGGGGACACATGTTGATGTAGAAGAGACATGAAGAAGAGGGGACACATGTTGATGTAGAAGAGACATGAAGAAGAGGGGACACATGCTGATGTAGAAGAGACATGAAGAAGAGGGGACACATGTTGATGTAGAAGAGACATGAAGAAGAGGGGACACATGCTGATGTAGAAGAGACATGAAGAAGAGGGGACACATGTTAATGTAGAGGAGACATGAAGAAGAGGGGACACATGTTGATGTAGAAGAGACCATTAAAGTAACCCTCCCAACCCAGGAGGAAACCCTCACAGATTAATAATATAATTCCACGTCTTCTCCCTCTGTTGTCCTGCAGCTGTCGGTGTGTAAGGAGCTGCAGCTTCCCGACAGTGAGTACAACTACACGGCCGACCTGGTGGCCCTTTCCTCCGCCGCTCCTCTGGAGACGGCCGGCGTTCAGTCCATCTCCGTGCTGGTTCTGTCTGTGGAGGGAACGGCCCGTCTGTGGCCCAGTCTGTCTCAGGAGGGGAACTTCACTGAGACAGACGTGGACCTGGGGGACCTCTGCAACTTTGTGCTTGCTGTCAAAGTAAGTGTAGGAGCAATTCTGCTATTCAGCCTGAGTATATTAATGCATTCATATGATTTGTTTACATCACTTTCATTTGTAATTGTTGAGCACTTCCCGGTTGACAGAGGGAGAGATTGTGCTGATATTTATTCTGTTGACTGTGTGGTCTGACTCCTACCTAAGTTATCATGTGTTTCATTTTGTTAATTAAACATCATTAACACTTTCAACATCAGTACGGACTTTCTTATCGAACACGTGTCACAGCCTTAAGCCAAGTTTAGCCTCGTAGGGACTCAATTTAGGTATACATTGTTTCCCAGTGGTGGAATTTTACCTGGTACATTTATTTAAGTACTATATACTTTGTTTTGGGGACCCGGGTTTGACTCCGGCTATCTTTTCTTAACTCTCCTGTCCTCTTTTAGGGCGGGAGCTTCATCTTGACCTCAGAGAAGAACCATCTCATGAGAGCGAGTGTAGACTCTTCTGGAAAGCTTCAGTACCGGGAGCTGCAGCGAGGGCAGGGCGTTCTCTCTGGGATCGGACGCAGAGTCTCCAGTCTGTTCGGCATCCTCTCCCCGCCGGCCAACGACACAGTGAGTCTCACTAACATATCATAATAATAATAATTGTAGTGACCACGATATCCATTTGTTTTAGTCTTTTGTCTGTGATTCACTCGTGGGCTGACCGATGAGTAGACGCTTGTTGTTGAGAGAACAAATTTAAGAAATGTCCAGATGCGATTGAAAAGTAAAATCTGCTTGTTTATTCCAAAAAGGCAGTGGAACATTTTTATAAATGTTTTCAAACACACTAATTCTCATATAATCTGATACTTCAAATATTAAAGGTAAAATAAGGAACCAAGCTGTCACGCTCCCAACCAGCAAGGTCTAAAGACTCTCCTTTATTCTGCAAAACCCGACCTGCAGGAGTAACACACTCAAATGAAATAAATAATATACACAACACAATCTCATGCTATACATGTACTCTAAAATGATACATTAATATAAACTAAGAAAATGGCTCCTACAATAATAATAATAATAATAATACGTTGGATTTTTATCGCGCTTTTCCTAATGGTTTATAAAGCTTTGAATGGTTTAGGCCCAAAATACATGTCTGACCTACTGCTAAATTATGAACCATCCAGATCTCTCAGGTCTTCAGGGACTGGTCAGCTTTCTGTCCCCAGAGTCAGAACTAAACATGGAGAAGCAGCATTCAGTTATTATGCTCCAAATATCTGGAACAAACTCCCAGAAACCTGCAGGTCCGCTGCAACTCTTACTACTTTTAAATCCAGGCTGAAGACTTTTCTTTTTGTCGCTGCTTTTAATTGAACTATTCACATCTTAAACTGCACTGTAACTTTTAACTTTTATCCATGTATTCTTTCTTTTAATGTTTATTTTATTATCTTTTCTTTTTAATGACTGATTTTAAATGCCATTTTTAAAATGTCTTCCATTTTTGTAAAGCACTTTGAATTGCCTTGTGTTGAAAGGTGCTATATAAATAAACTTGCCTTGCCTTGCCTTGCCTAATGCTCAAAGACGCTTTACATAAAATCAGAACAGAAACAGTACAACTGTTACTTGTATATAGACTTGCACTATTTAAACTATTGTATCTGTTGTATTGTGTTGCTCTGTTGGAGGAGCCTGTCACCTCAGATTTTCATTGATATATCTACACTTTAGCTAATGTACAAATGACAATAAAAGCCTCGAATCTTGAATCTACAAAGAAAACTAAAAAACATTAACGGTAGTCCTAATCCAAGTGCGAGTAAAGTGTGTGTGGGGGGGTAATAATATGTAAAGTAAATAAATAGGTTTCCGTCTAGGGGTGGGGGAAATAATCGATATAGCAGAGTATTGCGATACTTTGCGTGGCGATATTGTATCGATACAAGGACGCCAAGTATCGATATTTTATTATAGAAACTATTCATATTGCAAATCCAAATGAAAGTTTTTGGTTACAATTGCTTTTTCAATCCACTAGATGGTGCTGAGCCTTTTCTTGTGCGGTCATGGCCATTGGGTAAAGTCAGAGTATAAAGAGATTTATATACGGCTCTGGGTAAAGTCAGTTGTCAAAAACAAAGATTGATTCAGCGGAGAAAGAAATCAGAAATGCAATATATCGTATCGCAATACTTAGCATATTGTAGAATCGCAATACTATCTGATATCGTGGTTTAAGTATCGCATTAGTATCGTATTGTATCGCGGGGAGCCTGGTGAGTCCCACCCCTAGTAAATATGTAAAGTAAGTCAATATGTTACCGTCTAGTGTTCAGATGGTGTTTGTCTCCACTCTAACTTCCTGTGTTTCCCTGCAGCTCCACAGTGTGATGTTGGTGGGGGGGGTCCAGCTCTCTGTACACACTGAGCAGCTCCAGCCTCAGTAAGTGGGAGCTGGGGGACAGCTGGGAGCACCAGGTCCTCAACTGGGACGCCCAGAAGGCTCTGACTGAGAGCATCGCCGATGCCATCTGGGTCAGTACCAGCATGCATCAGAACATACATAGTGTGATTGAGTCTCATACAGAGCTGGAGGAGGCATTCAGATCCTTGCTGTTAGAAAAATATCACTGGTCACCGGCTTGAGCTTCAATCTCAGGATCCATGTATTCCTGATCCGCTCAAGAATGGAAGTAGTCATCACATACAGAGCATCAACTAGTTCCTGAACAGTGTCCTTCACATGCTGATATCCAAGAGAGGGAGTTACACAGTCCCAAGATGGAGGAATAGAAAGCAGTATTCAATGTTTACTTCAGATTAGCTCCACGTCAGGAATGATCATGCTTGTCATATGTCTATCTCCATAGAGGCTGAATCATCATGTTAATCACATAGCTATCATATGCCTCAAACAGTCCTGATGCTCTTCTAGGTAATCATACATCCTGTCATGTTCACAGCTACAGTTGGGATACCTTTGTGTACTACTGATATTGATATAGCGCCTTTCATATACCAATGGACGCTTTTACAAAGGGGGGGGACCCTAAAAACACTCTAGGACAGAACACTTGGGACTTCAAAGAAAACATACGAGGCATTTGCATTGAAAAATACACTAAATGTACTTAACGTTTTAAAAGTAGAAAATCCTCCCCCGTTACTGTTTTGCTATTATATATATATATATATCTATATATATATTATTTTCTCCATCCAACATTTTACTGTTATTTAAATGAGGATCTGCAGCAAATTGTCATATCTAAGGCATCTTTGTGTGAAGAGTAGCCTAAAAGAGTAACCTGTTAATTCATTTTTAAATAACAGGCTGCTTGTTGAGGATCAAATCTTATACACTGTTTGGTAGTAAACATTTTTACAATGTTTTGATTGTTTAATTGAAAGCTGTGAGAGAAATATGGACAAAAACTACAATATTTGTCTCTAAAATGTAGTCGAGTAGATAGCACTTAAATAAATGTACTAAGTCAAAATCCATCACTGGGAGACAATGTAAACCTATATATATTCTAACAGAAGGTAAATAATTCAGAAAATACACTTCAAGCTCTTTTTATTGAATCAAATAATAATGGTGGTAGTTTAAAAAAGAAATCCAAAATGTTCTCCCACCAGGGGTCAGAGAGCAACTACGAGGAGCTGAAGGAGGGAGCCAACGTGACGTACCTGGACATGAAGCTCAGCCAGTGAGTGTGTTCTTCTGTGTGTGTGTGTGTGTGTGTGTGTGTGTGTGTGTTCCTGTGTGTGTGTGTGTGTGTGTGTGTGTGTGTTCCTGTGTGTGTGTGTGTGTGTGTGTGTGTGTGTGTGTTCCTGTGTGTGTGTGTTTCTGTGTGTGTGTGTTCCTGTATGAATGCATGACTTCCTGCTTATTTGACTGATTATTTACACAATGTAGGTCTTTGTTTGTGAGCTTCATGTTACAGGATTTCTCTGTGCTGGTATTGAGTATTATTTCAGATCAATCAGTGTAGTATGAGTAAAGTATATCTGAGGTGTGTGCTGTGTTACTACAGTACTGCAATACTACCTGGTACAAGTGTTTGTCAACAGCTTTAAAATCTGCTCAAAGATTGTTGTCAGAGACGTTCTGACTCAGCATCCCATAATAACCAGTGAGGCTGTCCAACAGCATCATCTGGGACCCAAAGCATGCTCTGAACAGAGAATATGAAGTGCTACCATCTAATGGAGATCACTCAAGTCAGACTGAAGCATCCTTTGTGCTCCAGTCCATCCTCTCAGTAAACACAGAGCTGATCAAATGCACGCTGAAGGCTCTTTGAGCAGGTTTTCTCTCACTGATTGTGCTGTCATGTTAAATGTTTGTTGTTTGTTCTTCATGTATTGTGTCTTGATATTTGTCTGTTGATGTTACACATGAAGCTGCTGGGATGCAAGGAGCATTTCAGACTTGATCTGACCATTAAAGTGTGATCGTATCGTGTTCAGATCCGGTCTGGTGGTCCTGGCTGCAGCCTGGCACCTGTCAGACTCTCCCTGCCTGGTGTACTTCTGCCTCGTCACGCTGCAGGACACCGGAGCCGCCATCGCAGACAACTTCATCGTGGAGGTCACCAAACACAACCCCCCCTTCCAGGTCAGTCCTCATCAGAAGATTTCGCTGGATATATTCAAGGGTTAGTTAACACAAGTTCCAAAATATATATTTGACCACGGATCGTTACTGTCGTCTATTTATGCCGTTAGGTTTAGTTTTTTTTGTGAGGAGGCTTTTATGATGTCTTAGTTTTCTACCTATACTGCAGTGCATTGGAGTCAATGGTTAGTAGATTTTATTAAATAAATGTTTGTTTTACACGTGTAATAAGCACATTTTAAGATTACACTATGCCATCCAGGCTTGCAGAGATGTATACTTCCTTGGGAGGGTGATGTTTTGTTTAGGCAAGGCAAGTTTATTTATATAGCACTTTTCAAAAAGGCAATTAAGAGAAACATTAAACAGCAAAGATAATAAAACATGAATAACAGGTACATGAATAAAAGTTAGAGTGCCGTGTAAGATGTGAATAGTTCAATTAAAAGCAGCGGCAAAAAGGAAAGTCTTCAACCTGGATTTAAAAGTAGTCAGAGTTGCAGCGGACCTGCAGGTTTCTGGGAGTTTGGTAATATCCCTCACCAAATTCTCACATTCCTCGACCCCTAGTCTTCCTGTGAAATCATAGTTCTTTTGACAGTTTTCTAACCTTTTTTATATTAATTTCATCAATCACTTTGCATCCCCAGACAACACAGTGTCCTGTTTTACTGTTACCTGAGCCCATCTTTGACCTTTAAACCACTTTTCTTTTCAATTCCCAGAATTAGGATATTTAAACCATGTTTTAAGAAACGTTACGGTTTCCTTCAGTGTTATTTCAGAAGATGCACTCTTCATGCTGTATCTTGTCTCCTCAGAGTGAGGAGGCGCTGCAGGAGACTCGGCTGGTGTTGCCTCTCTCGCCCGGCGGCACCGCCTTCCTCTACAACCAGGAGCTGGTGTTCGCCTGCTCCACAGGAACCAGCCGGGGGGGGCCGCCTGACGAGAAGATCAGCTTCACCACGTCCGGTGAGAAAAATACATTCTATACGATCATTCTCTCCATCGTTGGCCCTACATTTACAAACGTTTTTTTTATGAAATATTATTGTCATAGAAAGGAGTTATAGTATATTTAGCACTTTATTATCCTAATGAGATCAGTTATTACATATTTTATAAGTTACTACAACCAGGGAACATAGAGTTTTTGGTCTAAAAACAACGAGTAATTATCACAAAAAAGAAATAATTCAAATATTTGTAGCATTTTCACCTGCAGATTTACATTTTAGAAAGGGTGTTTTTTCATCTGATCCTTAAAGTGCATCAAGAAATGTAAGCTTTGTCATTTTTTACATACATTTATTTTTGTTTGGGTTTTAAAAAGTAAGATAAACATAGTGGAGGAAATGTTGCACGTTTCAACGGTGGAATCGCAGTCTTTCCGAAACACATTTCCCGCCATCAGACAGGAACACTTTTGCAAGCTACCTGGACCAGTGTGATGCCGCGATGCAAACTGAGCTAAAGAAACACGGCTGATGTTCAAACTAGGGATGCCAGAAACTGACCATGATCAAATTCGAAAATCGGACAGCCCTGGCGAATATTAATCGATTATTCGCCGCCGAATCGAATTTTAAAAATAATTTTCGATTATGGAGACTGTAACGAATATTCAAAAAATCGAATAATCGCTGGCATCCCTAGTTCAAACAAAGAGCAGCAAGCAGAGGCCTTGTGTACAGTATTGTCCTTATTAGATGAAGTAATGTAACTAGTAGATGAACTAGTAACTTCCAGCAGTGAGTCATTTAGTAAAGTAAGGCATTACCCATGATCGAAATTCCTAATGTTTCCTATCAATAAAAGTCTTCCCCTCTCTGTTTCAGGTGATGGTGTTCGTGGAGGCGGCTGCTGCGCCAACCTGCCCGTGTTTTTCTCCCAGAACAGCGGCCTGGTGGCGGTCGTGGCTCGAGAGAGCGTCTCCATCCTGCCGGAGACCATGGAGGACTCGCTGTGCTCCTCGCTGGCTGCAGCTCCAGAGGTACTGAGGCTGAGAGGCGTGTGGCGCAGTGGGTAGAGCCTTGGTGTTGGGATCAGGGGAGCACAGGTTCAAACCCCACTGCAGTCAGCATGTCGTTCTGTCCCTGAGACACTTCACCCCAAATTGCTCCTGTGGCGATTGCCCACAGTATTGAGTATGGAAGTCGCTGTGGATAAAAGCGTCTAACAAGTGACATGTCATGTAATGTAATGTAATGAGAGGGGATCTACTGACAAGATTAATATCAACTAATGCTATATCTGCAGGCAGCTGATCATTCACTTTGTACCAGACTCTGGTATAGGGCTGCCATCTTTATTAATCTATTCATTTATTAGGCTTTTTTAATGCTAAATGACTTATTTTCAGGAAACCTATTAGCAAATGATACTATAATGACAGACTGTGTGTGAATGTGTGTGTATCTGAGTTTTGATTATTTCGCCAACCATTGGACTGATCTACTTCATGTTTGGAGTGTGTGTTACTGAGACCCTGAGGCATTGCAGAGCCCTATGTGAAGTTATTTGGATCTCTAGAAAACCATAGACATGCATCAAAATCCACACTGCATCACAGACACAGCTGCTAACGAACATTAAGGGACATCTCTGTATGTTTATCACAGAATAGCACGACTGAATGTGCAATTATATAACCATGGTAGAACTGAGGATGTGTGTTTGCCTCAAACAGGTTTTATGTTTATGGATACCGTTACAGTACAGGAACCCGGAGTGGCCAAATAAATACGGTGCACTTTCAATAAAGTCGTCTCCTTGTGTGTCGGCCAGTCTAACTTCCAAAGTGTTCATCAAACCTGGAGCAGACAAATTGAATGCGAGCTTTTGCACTAATGACCCGTCTACTGTCTACTGTGATTGAACCTAAAGTGTTTTTTCTATTTTCTGTATTTGTGTTTAAAGAGTTCAGCCATGGAGACTTCGAGCAGAGCGGAGCCGGTAGCTCATGAGGACAAAACCAAACTGCTGAAGGCGGCGTTCCTGCAGTTCTGCCGGTACGTCATAAACACGTCAGAAATCTGTTAATTAGAGAATCAAAAGCTTTTATTAAAAGTTTTATTTAAAGGGGAGCTATCATGCAAAATGCACTTTTGTACGTCTTTTATACATGAATATGTGTCCCCGGTGTTCCAGGGAACTCACCAAGTGTCAGAAAACACAACCCTCTCTATTTTCCTCCATACCCAAATCTCTAAAAAAGGGGCTGCAACGGATCTGATAAAAACTGATCCAGATTTGAACACTGTCCTGACGTCAGGACGGTGGCGCTACGGCTATTGGGCCAACTCTCCACCTATCAGGGGAATGTGGGGTTGGGCCACGGCCGGCCATTGCCGCTCGAAAGCGCTGGAGACGCTGTAGTACATATGCCAGGCCTGTAAGTGGCGCTGTAGTCTGCCACAAAAGCAGTGAAGAAGACTTACCGCCCATAGTTACCATGGTTACCCTTCTGTTTATTCTCCGCTGTGGCTTTCTTTCTCCCTCTCCGAGGCAAGTGTTTGCTCCCGCTGCTTTAATTCAATGCAATCCCTCCCCGTCGAGGCAAGCACTGTAATTCTCTCCGGTTAGTCCACCAGCAGATGACAAACACCCACCTCTCCGCCTCTTCCAAGGAACGAGGGGACCGTGCGGCAGAGTTTCAGTTTCAGTTTGTTTCGCCGGTCAAGATGTCCGTTAAAGTTTAAATCTTCCGGACAAAATTTGAAAAGTGCCGGTCAAAGGTCTTCTTTGTTATTTATTGAGCTTTAAAACAAATGAATAACGACTCTATATAATAAAACACGGAGATCTCTTTTTCTCCCCCTCTTCTGACAGCCCAGCAGCTGATCAGAGCACGTCTCCCCTCTCCTGCAGGGGGGCGTGGTCAGCAGAATCAGACCCGTAGACAGCAAACAGCACATAGAGCGAAATGAGGCATGGCTAAAATGCATGATCTGTTTGGTATTTTGAAAACAGAAACGTATAAATATACCTTATATAGGTATGGCCCTACAATATATCATTTACATATAGCATGATAGGTCCCCTTTAAGTTAGTTTAGTCTTCTCAGTAGTAAATGTTGGCTGCTCTCAAACGGTATGGACTAAACCTGCATGATTTAGGATTGTTTTAATCCTTGTAAATACATGTGCTTCTTCTCCCTCTGTCAGTAACGACCTGGTGGGCGCTCAGACGGTCACAGACGAGATCTTCCCCCCCGATGGAGACGGGGAGGAGGGGTCGGAGCTGGACAGCGTGGTGACTCGGATCGACCTGGACCTCGTGGACGATTACCCTGCCTCGGACCCCCGCTGGGCCGAGTCCGTGCCCGACGGTGAGGAGAGAGAGAGAGACTTTTATATTGTTCCTGGTGTAGCATTTATTTACTGTGTTACTATGAGACATATAGTGATTATATTCATCATAAACTAAATTAGTCAGATTCTAATCTTGATTTCATTAGGATGTTCCCAATTAAAAAACACTTAGGATTTCTTATAGTTTTTACAGTAAGCACATTCATCAAGCTAATTCTGAGATATTTGTGTACATATGTGACATGAAGAAGAACAAGAGGTTATATTTAGTGTATTACATATTTTAATTTATTCAGTATGTAGTCCCAGGATTCTTTGTTCTGCACGTCCAGTAACTTTAATGATGCAGAGTTATTACAACTTTCGTAATGTGTGTTTTTTGAATGGTTATTCTTTTAGGGATGTATTTGTCATCATGTCCCTCAGATAAAAAAATATTGTCCGTCCTCTATCTTACTCGTCATGTCTTTTTTTACATCTATTATATTAAATAACCCAACAAATGTTTTCTTACTTTTGACATGTTTATTTCATATAAAAAATATTTTTTTATCCAGAGAGCGCTGGGTTCCCTCTCACCTCCCTCATCATCCTCCATCAGCTGGAGGACAAGATGAAGGCCCACGGCTGCTTCATGGAATTCCTGCTGCAGGTACACACACACACACACACACACACACACACACACACACACACACACACACACACACACACACACACACACACACACACAGCAGGGTGTCCGCGGGGTCTTAAAAAGTATTAAAAGTTGATCAATCAATTTAGCGAAAATTAAGGCTATTAAAAAGTATTAAACAGCATTTTCCAAGGTATTACATTTTGTAGCTAGTTTTCAATAAGTATATAAAAGGTCCAAAGAGGTTGTATTCTACAGTCTGCCTGAATGTAATCATTGCGTAGGTGTGTAGTGTGATTCTGTGTAGTTTATTTATGCCATCCCGTTGGGTTTGACGTCATCTGAACAGGACATCGCACGCTCACTGCTTGATAGCGCGCGAAGGTCCGTTTACGCCGGTTGTTAAACAACATCGTTATGGGGAAATGCAATTTGCGTCCAAATGGTTGGAAGATAAGGAGGAAGGACAATCAATACTGTATATAGTAAATGTGAGGTCAAGTGTGTCGCCAAGGTAACCGGTTAAAACTCAAAGTGGCGATGAGGTCTTAAAATGTATGGAAAGGGTCTTAAAAAAGGTCTTAAAATGTATTACATTTGACTTCAGGATTCCTGCATATACCCTGACACACACACACACACACACACACACACACACACATACACGTACACGTACACGTACACATACACATACACATACACATACACACATATAACATAATAAATAATGCTGTACATAACTGGTATAGTGCCTTACAACAACAAATATAAACCTATTTTGTTGGAAATAGATGCATCCTGGAACACAAAAGTAGACTTAATATAACGTGTAGTAATCGCCCCCTCCTCCTCCGTCAGGTGGGTCTGCTGGATCGCCTCGGCCAGGTGACGGTGCGCTCGTCTCCCATGGCGACGCGCCTGCTGCTATGCGAACACGCCGAGAAGCTGCAGGCGGCCATGGTGCTGAAGAACCTGCACTCCAAACACGCCGAGCTGGTGAACCGGGCCATCAGCGCCGCGCTGGAGAGGGGCAGCGCCGCCGTGCCGCCCAGCCTCACCTCCGCAGACGTCTTCTTCAGAGAGGTGGGTCCAAGTTTCAAGGCTTTATAGAGTGGTGCAGGAACGAGTCCTAAAACCCGGAAGTGAGTTAGCATTGTACCACTTCCGGTTCCCTCGTCTCAGAGTCAACGGGTTTTATGAATTTGTTTTTGGAGAATATCTGGAAATAAGGTCTGTGGTTGAGACACATTGAAGAGACGGATCACGTTTTGTTTTACGACATTAAATCCATCAGCAGTGACCCCACTGGGGATTTCTGAAGAGTTGACGTGTCTGAAAACGATGGTTGTTACCAAGTGGCTGAATAGGACTACAGAAGTTGTCGAGGACGTTGTACGTCATTACGCCGAACACGTAAACACTCCTATAAGTTTGTTTGCCCTGTTCTGCTTGAAAGCAAGTACCTGCCTCCTGCAGACTGTTCAAACAAACGCTTCAACTTGTAACATTTAGAATCTGTAAGTTTGAATATGGATCTTAAGTTGGCGTGACGTTGAAGTCGTGCGACCCGGCTGTAGTTCGTTTAGCATAACGTTAGCATTTTGCTTCTGGCGACTAGATTTATGATTTGAAAATTATACAAGTAGGGTAGACATGTGGAGATTATCCGACTGAACAAAACGTGCATTTATCAAACAGGTTTGTTTTCCAGAGACCTTATTTTTTACAATATTCCAAAATCCTATGGAGAAATCCCATTGCTTTTCTGTCGAGGGAACCAGCAGCTTACTTCAGGGTCGAACTACAAAAATACGTCATCACTGCACCGCTCTATAGCCATGTGCACATTAGCTACAGTGTAGATATGGCAATGAAAAACTTAAGTCACAGCTCCTCCAACAGGGCACAGTGAAATTCTTCAGTTGTTCTTTACATCTGATAGATGTTGTCTATTCTACAGCACTGCAATACTACCCGGTACAAGTGTTTGTCGACAGCTTTAAAATCAAAACTGCTCCATCTGTTAAAAATCTGCTCAGAGACGTTCTGACTCAGCAGACCATCATAACCTGAGAGGCTCCAACAGCATCATCTGAGACCCAAAGCATGTTCTGAACAGAGAATATGAAGTGCTACCATCTAATGGAGATCACTAAAGTGAGACTGAAGCATCCTTTGTGCTCCAGTCCATCCTCTCAGTAAACACAGAGCTGATCAAACGCACGCTGAAGGCTCTTTGAGCAGCTTTTCTCTCACTGATCCTGCTGTCATGTTAAATGTTTGTTGTTTGTGTTTCATGTATTGTGTCTTCTTGATATTTGTCTGTTGATGTTACACATGGAGCTGCTGGGATGCAAGGAGCATTTCAGACTTGATCTGACCATTAAAGTGTTATCGTATCGTATGGAGACGCTGAGTGACACGTTGTGTTTCTGCTGCAGGTTTCTCAGATCTCCTCGGTGTTCGACTGCCTGCTGGACGAGGAGGATCGCAGTCTGAAGGAGAACCCGGTGGACTCGGTGCAGTGGGCCGAGGTCATCCTCACCGTCAACAACATCATCAAGGTAAACACTTTCTGCATTTCATGAAAAGCAAATATTAACTGAGTTAGTTAGTAAGGGTACAAAATGGTACTCTGCATATTTCTTCAAATGAATGGAAATGGAGGGAATTCTCCTGGAAAACAATCTTTTCTTTTTTTACATTTCTTTTTTGTGTGTTTAGAGTTTTTTATCTCTGTAATTCCTCTGAAGAAACTTTGATGGATGTGATGGATATTTGAATAAAAGAAAGCTAGTATCAAGAATTGAGAAAAGCCGGTCATCCCAGAAAAAGGACCATTGGCTAAAAGAATGAATAGAAAAACAGACTTACTTAGGCTGCATCCACACGGAGACGAAACGGAGAACGAACCGAATTCCATATCAAAAAAGTCTTCCGTCCACACGGTATCGGCTCAATAAACGTGTCCGTCCGCACGAGACCGCTGGAGACGCTGTAGTACATATGCCGGGCCTGTAAGTGGCGCTCTACTTCCTCCACAAAATACACCAAAAGCAGCGAAGAAGACCCCCCCGAGCATGGTTGCCTGGTTGCCCTTCTGTTTATTCTCCGCGGTGGATTTAGCAACATGTAGTTCATGTAGTTCTCCATGTCCACTTGTTGCTGATGGCTGAACTCAGGCAACTGTTCATGAACGGTAAGGCAAGCATATTATGCTTTTCTGAGACCAAATTGGACAATTCCATTACAGATTCAGAGATTGAAATTGAAGATTATCTTGTAGTGAGAAGGGACAGGAACGTGAATGGAGGTGGTGTCTGCATGTACATACATAAAGACACCAATTTCAAAAACCGTACTGACCTGCATCATGAAAATATTGAATCTGTGTGGGTTGAAATTCTTTTTGACAATGCTAAATCTGTAATAGTCGGGACAATCTATAGACCACCGGAACAGAGTGACTTTTATGATACATTAGATGGGTGTTTGGCTGATGTGGGGGATGTAGAGACAATTATTATTGGAGACTGGAACACGGATATGCAACGTAAAGACACGTCCGTCTTCAAGTCCTTCAGTAGGATTTGTGATCTGCACGGCTTCAGCCAGCTAATCACCCAACCCACCCGGGTATGTGAAACAACACAAACTACCATTGATCTCATTCTGACCTCTGACAGGTCCAGGATCTCCAGTAAAGGGGTTATAGCATGCGGTTTAAGTGATCATTATATGATATTCTGTACCCGCAAAAAGCTAAAACAAAAGGCCGGCTGTCACAAAACAGTCATATCTAGAGACCTCAAAAACTACTCTAGCGAGGCCTTTAACCTAGAACTGGAGAGCCTGGACTGGTCAGATGAGCTCAGTGGTACACAAGTTGAAGAAACATGGCTTGGTTTCAAAAACAAATTCTCTGCAATACTCAATGATTTGGCCCCCCTAAGAACAACCAGGGTAAAAAATCGCGCTGAGCCGTGGATGCACTCCGGCATACTGACCGCCATGAAAACCAGAGACAAAAAATGCTCTGAGTTTCATAAAAGTCAGTCAATGCTTTCCAAAAGCACGAGCAGTGAACTCCAGGCCCACGTGACTGAACTAAAAATTGAAAGAAACAGACTAAGAAATGACGTAAGCTCCATGATCAAAACTGCCAAAAAGAATTTCATCAATGACAAAACTGAGGAAAACAAAAATAAACCCCGTGAACTTTGGAAATTACTCAATAACCAGCTTGGCTGCAGTAAAAAACTCAAAACGAGATTTTCAAACGTAAACATAAAGACAGATAACAGGCTCATCACAGACAAACTGGATGTGGCCAAGTACTTGAACATTTTTTTCACAAACATAGCCACAACTCTTGTAAATAAATTACCCTCCCACTCAGGGCTTTTTGGAGTAGATCACATCATGACCTACTACAAAAACCTAGGGGTACGCAAAGATGATTTCAGTCTAGCAAGGGTAACAACAGCAGAGGTACTCATTAAACTGAGCGCCCTCAAACCTAACAAGGCCACTGGCCACGACAATATCCCCTCCAAATTCCTCAGAGACACAGCAAACCGCCATCTCACCAGTCATAGCTCACATAATTAACCTCTCCATAAAACAGGGAAAAGTACCCAAAGACTTCAAAATTGCAAGAGTAACCCCCCTGCACAAAAAGGGCAGCAAATTGGACCCAGGCAACTACCGCCCTGTTTCTATACTTACCTCCATCTCGAAAGTCATGGAAAAAATAGTATATGAACAGGTCGAAAAGTACCTCGCAGAAAAGAAACTAATCTATGAATTTCAATCTGGCTTTAGAACATCCCACTCCACTGACACATGCCTTCTTTATTTGAACGACCACATCAAACAAGAGGTGGACGAGGGTAAATACTGCGGCATGGTGATGCTGGACCTACAAAAGGCTTTCGACACTGTCAATCACCCCATTCTGATTGACAAGCTAAAAGCAATTGGTTTTGATAAACTATCGGTGAGCTGGATGCAATCCTACCTGGAGGGGAGAGAACAGATGGTGGAGGTAAACGGTACTCTGTCCCCCCCCCTCCCAGTGAGCTGTGGTGTTCCACAAGGAAGCATATTAGGTCCGTTACTGTTCCTAATTTATGCAAATGACATGTCATCAGCATGTGACTGCAACTTGTTCCTGTTCGCGGACGACTCAGCCCTGCTGGTCTCTGACAGGAGCAGATTGCAGGTTGAAAAAACCCTCAGCTCCGAGCTCGGCAGAATCTGCACCTGGCTCGCCGATAATAAATTATCATTACACCTGGGTAAAACAGAGTCCATTCTCTTCGGTTCGAAACATAATCTCAGCAAATCCGACGACTTCTCAGTTGCAGTGGGTGACATTATTGTCACAAGTAAGAAGGAAATTACATACCTAGGATCTATTCTTGAGGCAAACCTCTCCTGTGACAAAATGGCATCCAATGTAATAAAAAAAGTCAATCAAAGAACTAGATTCCTATACCGGATCTCCTCTCTGGTAAACAAAAACACCCTGAAAACTCTGGCAGGAGCACTCATTCAAGGGTACTATGACTATGCTTGCACGTCATGGTACCATAGCACCTCCAAGGCGCTAAAAATAAAACTTCAAACATCGCAAAATAAACTGGTCAGACTACTGCTTGACCTTTCATCTAGAACCCACCTCACCTCTGCCCACTTTGACAACCTAGGATGGCTTAGAGTAGACGACAGAGTACAGCTACTTGCAATGGGCCTGGTCTACAAGATCCACTACACCTCTATGGTACCCATGTACATGTCAAAATTCTTCCCAAAGGTCAAGGAATACCATGATCATAACACCAGAGGGAGCTCCACAAATCATGTAAAACCCAGATTTGGCACAAAAAAAGGGGAATACACGTTTCGCAATTATGCCACATCAAGGTGGAACGCTCTTCCCACAACTGTAAAGGAAAGTAAAACTATACTTACCTTCAAAACCTCTCTTAAAGAGCACCTTCGGGGGAAAGCATTGCAAAACTGGCCCCGGTAATGGTACAAATCTCAACCTGTCGTACAATGGACAGCTTCCCCCCCCCCATCTATGTATATACTCGCATTTTAGACTCTGTTACTAACTGTATATCTGTAGACTTGGTATGTCTTAAATGTCCGGTTAGGATGTATTAGAACGAAATCTAAAATGAAAATTGTAAATAAGCCATCTGTATGTAAAAAACCACCTGTATGTAAATTGTAAATAAGCCATCTGTATGTCAAATATGTCTTATATGTCTTAAATGATATGATGAATTGGAAATGGGGGACCCTGATGTAAACAAGACGAAAGTCTTTCTCTGGTCTGCATCCCCTTAACAATTGTATGTTTTGAGCTGTACTGTACTGTACCCAATATACAAGCTGTTAATAAACTTTTCAATCAATCAATGGTAGAGGAGCTGTAGCATGGTCAGTAGCAGTAGCAGTAGCTACTGACAGTAGCTACTGACCATGCTACAGCAGTGAGCAGCAGAGGTGGGGAGAGGCGGGGCTATGGCTTCATCATCGTTATCAGGAAATGATCGTATAGGACGTACACACGGAGCCGTTTGGCCCCCCAGAGCGTTTCGTCCGCAGATTTACCCACCTTGGGACCCGTTACCGTTTCCGCGGTTCCGTTACGGCCTCGTGTGAACGAACCGTCCATACGATAGAGAACTGTAGCGGATACAACCCGTTTCGTGTCCGTGTGGACGGGGCCTTACTGTACATCTTATACACATATGAGAAGTATAACTGAAAGACAAACGGTTGAGGACTGACTGTATACAAGAACAAAAGTCCATTGTAAAGCAGCTGTGGATACAACTATATAAAAGTGAATGCACTTGCATCGATCAATTTTTGTTTTAAAGTTAAAACAAAACGTTTAAAGTGGGAAAAATAAAGATGTGTGTATATGTGTGTGTGTGTGTGTGTGTGTGTGTGTGCAGGACATGCTTCAGGCTGCCGGACATTACAGAGAGACGAAGGCCTTCATGTACAGAGCCTCTGAACACTCTGCTGCAGAGCCAGAATACATCCCATGGACAGGTACCTTTTTGATTCTTCTTTTTAACCAGCAGCACCAACCTGTATGCGTATGATCATCAGAAAGCAATGATAACATCTAGATATAATGTCTTGTCTTATCTTTATCTTATCTTATGATTATTGATCTGTACAAACTCTAAATCCCACTGAGACAAAAGTGTTTAGTTAAATTGTTGCTGTATAAATATAATGTGTTTAATCTGAACGTCCTCTCTCCTCCAGCGTCCGGAGGTGTTGGCGGCGCTCGCTCCGTCATCTCTCGGCAGCACGAGATCATCCTGCGCTCCGTGTATCCGAACGCAGACTCGGAGCTGCGCAGCGCCCTGTGTGAGCAGCTGGTGGCGCTGCTGGACATCCACCTGGGCGGGTACGTGGCCCAGCTGACCTCCCTGACCTCCCTGCAGCAGGAGCGCTACAACAGCCTGGAGATGGAGTACAGCCAGCGCCGCTCAGAGCTGCTGGCGCCGCTGTGTGAGTGGACCATTCAACCTAAAGCTGTCACTGAAAGGAGGGTTTTCCACATGTTGACTATGTTCAGTAGGGTTGTGTGATCTCACTGTGAGTTTCCTCTGTGTTCCAGTGGAGCTGGGTCAGTACCAGTGGGTGGCGGCGCTGGCGGAGAAATACTGCGACTTCGACATCCTGGTGCAGATGTGCGAGCAGACGGACAACCAGAGCCGCCTGCAGCACTACATGAGCAAGTTCGCTGACCAGGTACACTGAGGAACACTCTGAGAAATAATCTGTAACACTTTTAAACGTGCTTTGATTTCAAAGACAGTTCTCCTACGTCTTAAGATCAATACACTTCTGAAGAACGTTCTGTCAGCTGGAAAACGCATTGCTTCATTTCATGAAATCCTGTTTCCTGAGATGTGTCTTTACGTTGACTTCTCAAAGTCTCAGTTTTACTTTCGTTTGATCACGCCGGGCTCTTTCTCATGCAGCTGTTTAACCCACTTCCTCTTTCTCTCTCGTGTCACTTCCTGCCGCAGAACTTTGCTGACTTCCTGTTCCGATGGTACATGGAGAAAGGGAAGAGAGGGAAGCTGCTCTCTCAGCCGGCGGCGCAGCACCAGCAGCTCGCCAGCTTCCTGCAGTCTCACCAGCACCTCAGCTGGCTGCACCACATCCACGTGCACGACTACCGCAGCGTACGACACACACACACACACACACACGCACACACACACACACGCACACGCACATACACACTCACACACAGACACACACAGACACACACACTCACACACACACAGACACGCATACACGCACGCACACACTCACACACACACAGACACACACACACACACACACACAGACGCACACACACACACACACACAGAAACACACTCACACGCACACTACCGCACACACACGCAAGCACACACACACACACACACATACACACACTCTCACTCACTCGCACTCACACGCACACACACACTCACACGCACGCACACACATGCACATACACACTCACACGCACACACACACACAGACACACACACTCACACACACACAGACACACATACACGCACACACTCAGACACACACAGACACACATACACACACACGCACACACACACACAGACGCACACACACACACGCACACAGACACACACTCTCACTCACTCACACTCGCACACACACACACACACGCGCACACACTCTCACTCACACTACCGCGCACACACGCAAGCACACACACACACACACACACATACACACACTCTCACTCACTCACACGCACACACACTCACGCACACGCACACACACGCACATACACACTCACACGCACACACACACACACAGACACACACACTCACACACACAGACACGCACACACTCACAGACACACATACACGCACACACTCACACACACACAGACACACATACACACACACACGCACACACACAGACACACACACACACACACAGACGCACACACACACACACACACGCACACAGACACACACTCTCACTCACTCACACTCACACACACACACACGCGCACACACTCTCACTCACACTACCGCACACACACGCAAACACACACACACACACACACACACACACACACACACCCCTTCCTTCCTTCCTTCCTTCCTTCCTTCCTTCCTTCCTTCCGTCCTTCCTTCCTTCCTTCCTTCCTGTTTTATACTTCCTGAATAACTGATGACTTCATATCAGCTTTATTTGTATATTCGTGCATCAAACCTCTTTTCTTTTTTTCCTCTTCTCTTGTATTCCTTCCGTCCAATATGTCCTATTTTTAACACTTAAAAAAGATGCATTATATCCAGAAATATGTAGACCTACCTTCCTTTCCTTCCACTTTCACACTTTACGTCCACTCCAGTGTAAAACAGAAGTAACACGGACTCAGTTTCCTTCCTGTCTCTGCAGCTTTAAAGTTCACATCAACCAGCAGCAAACCATTCTGCCTCGGCATTAAATACACACACACACACACATACACACAGCTTCCTTCCTTCCAGTTTGCTGTTAAGAGACACACATCTATTCTCTGGTTAACACACACACACACACACATACACATACACACACAGCTACAGACACACACACACACACACACACACAGCTACAGAGACACACACATACACACACATACACATACACACACAGCTACAGAGACACACACACACACACAGCTACACACACACACACACAGCCACACACACACACACACACACACACACACACACACACACACACACACACTCGAGCAAGAGGAAGTATTTATATCCCCATCAGTCTTCCTGTTTTTATACACAGACTTTGTTTTTCACTTTCTTTGCTCAATGAGTGAGTGTTTATTTCTGTGGGCTACAGAACATTCATACATCGATATTAAAAGTGATTCAAAACATCAGAAATATAACAAGAAACCTTCTGGTTATTAGGAGTAAAAGCAACCTTCAACACACTGAGGATTACATTACTATATTTGATTTGCAACAACGTAATATATTGTTTACTATGTTTTACACGTAAAACCCTGAATACTGACAGACTTCAGTCCCTCTACTGCATCTGGTGCCATGATAATGTAAAAATACAAATCAAGATGGTAGTTATAGTAGTAGTTATTTACTCAATCTGTTCTCCTAAATAATAGTCAAAATACCTTTTTAATTTTTGTATTATATGTAAACTGTACTGTTTGCATTTCGTTTTGTAACTTGGATGTTATGTTTATAGTGTGTGTGTTTCTTTGCAACTATGAACGTTTTCCCCAAATTAGATTACCCCTGTATTATAATACGCATCGTATCGCCAAAATCCTACCAAACAAATTTAAATTATATTATTCTATATGCAGGGTTCTTACGGTCATTATAAACCTGGAAAAGTCATGGAAATTCAAAATGCTAATTCCAGGCCCTGGAAAACAATATTTTTCCCAAAGTTTTGGAAAAGTCATGGAAATGTAACTAAAGTTGCATCAAATATAATTTATATTTTATCTAATCGCCGAAATAGTAATACTATAATGACAATAAATACTGTATGGTATAGTAATGAAACGTAAAATGGCATTTAACTGACGAGGTGTTTTGCTGGTGAGAGATTTTAGTTGCTTTAGCCTGTAGAAGCTAGTAAGCCTATTTGATTTGTTTTAGATAGGCACAACATGTTTCATATGCAGACCTTATTTTCCTGTTCCATGTTAAAATAAACCATTTTCAGTGGTACCGCTGAGAAAGAGTTATTTCTTTGGTCATGGAAAATTAGGTAAAGGTCATGGAGAAGCATTGAGAAGCATTGGTGAAAAAGTGTATGAACCCTGTATATGCCTAAATACCTTTAACTCTTCCTTTTCGTTAACTTTTATCCGTTTATATGTATAAGTCAAATAATAAATGACTTGCTGGTCAGAAAATGATCTAAATGTTTAGCTTGTTTTACAATAAAAAGACCATTAATCAATTAGTTTGACAAGAACATCTATGCATTCATTTTTTTTAAAGGACATAAATGAATAAAGAATGATTCCTAACTGCATTCATTCAAATGTGAATCGGTAATCCTTTATTAATCCCACAGCGGGGGACATTTGCATTGTTACAGCAAAAGTGGCATAGCAGGTAAAAGTGGCATGCAATAATACAAAATAACCTAACATATTAATTTATAGAAGATAGCACACATTAGTTATAATAGAATACAAATAAAGACAAATAACCATGCAAGAAAAAGCTCAGCACCATCTACAGCAGGGGGGTCAAACTCAAATACACAGTGGGCCAAAAGTAAAAAAATGGGTACTAGTCGAGGGCCGGACTGGTTCAATGTTTATTGCAAAACTTATTGAAATGAACTTATTGCACATGTTAAACCTGGAACTAACAAAGCTTAAATGATTGCCTATAAAAACAACATTAAACATTAAATAATCAGTTGCATTCATTACTCAGTGTGCTGCTCTGTGATGCTAGTTCAAGCCAGATACTTGGCATCTCATCTTGGGTGCAAGGTCATCAATGTTTGGGGTCAGGCTCTGAGCTGAGGAGATCCTCAGGATTGAGTGAAGGTGTGCTGCAATATACCGGCGGGCCAGATCTAATAGTAATTAGAAATTATTCTGCGGGCCGAAATTAAATCCACCACGGGCCTGATTTGGCCCCCGAGCCTTGCGTTTGACACATGTGCTCTAGTGGATTAAAAAAGCAATTGTTACCAAAAACTTTAATTTGGATTTGCAATATGAATAGTTTATATAATAAAATATCGATACTTGGCGTCCGTGTATCGATACAATATCGCCGCGCAAAGTATCGCGATACTCTGCTGTATCGATTATTTCCCCCACCCCTACATACAAGGCAAAATAATTCCTGTTAAAACAAAATTCTGGGACCTTTAAATAAAAACGTGTTCCCAGTTATTTTATTACTAGCTGTGACTGATGTGTTGTTTCTCTTCAGGCCAACCGCACGCTGCACAGCCAGGCGGACGCAGAGACTCGGTACTTCGTGAAGAAGAAGACGCTGCTCGCTCTCAGTAAACTCACCATGCTCGCATCCGACCTGCCGGACGACCAGCTCAACAATCACGTCGACGGTACCAAAAACTAAACTTTTGCACATGTTTTATTTCCACATTTCTGTTCAGCGTTACCTCTTAAGACTTCACAGCTCATCCACTAATCTGATATACTACCATCTTTTGTTTTTAAATGTAACTTATTGTGCTTTCTTTTGTGTAAATATGTTTTGTTGTTTTTATAATCGTTTTTTTTAAACAGTTTGTGTTGTTATATTTCCTATTTTTTGCAAATGAATTTATCTAAGTATAACTATAGACTAAGGTGTGCAAAGCTTGTGGGCAATTACATTACATGTCACTTGTTAGATGCTTTTACCCAAAGCTTACACACACAGCTATTTGGGGTGAAGTGTCTTGCACAGCGACATGCTGACTGCCGTGGGGATTGAACCAGTGCTTGTTATGAGTGAAGGGTTGATACTTACAGTGAGTTAGAGTGTCCTGATAATAAGGTGTCTATTGATTTTAATGTTAGGATAAATATCTGTTTCTTCACTTCTTGCCTTAAATGTGTATCTTTGCTGATGTTGTAGATGGAGCTGCTGTGCTGCAAGAAAAATGTCCGACTTAATCAGACTTTTTGGTCCAGATGGAAACAAAGAGATTTGACTTTTAGCTGCTTTTTCGGCATTTCTTTCTGATGAAAATCCATCTGAACATCATTAATGAGCACACTTGAAAAAAGAACCCATAGCATGTTGTCCGATGCCTTGGCAAGCACAAAAAACTCACTACAGTATTTCTATTTTGAAGACATAATGGATTGATTTTGTTAACATGATTCAGCCATTAGATCTCTCTCCAGATCACACACACACACACACTCACTCACTCACTCACTCACTCACTCACTCACTCACACACACACACTCTCTCACACACCCACACACACTCTCACTCACTCACACAGACACTCACACACGCGCACACATACACACACACTCTCACTCACACACTCACACTCACTCACACATCAGAATATTTCGCTGTTGAAGAAGAGAAAATTCCGTGATTGGTTATTTGACAAAAACAATGTGGCATTCCCAGAGGAATTGTAAAGGACAGGTAATCTCCCACCTCCCCCAATTCTGCTCTGTAGTGCTGGAAAATCGTAATCCACGTGGTTCAGAGGCATGAGGCGTAAATCTGCAGAGTGGAGTTCAGTGTTGATAATCCTGAGAGTAAAGTTGACCTCATGTGTTGTATTTGTGGGCTCAGACATGGTGGAGCAGGAGCGCTTCCTGCTGCATCAGGAGACCCTGCCCCGACAGCTGCTGGAGGAGAAGCAGCTGAACCCTGACACCATGCCTCTGCTCAGCGCTCACAACCTCATCCAGGTACAGACACACAGACACACAGACACACAGACACACAGACACACACACACACACACACACACACACACACACACACACACACACACACACACACACACACACACACAGACACGTGCACTCACACAGACACCACACACACACACACACACACACACACACACACACACACACACACACAGACACGTGCACTCACACAGACACACGTGCACTCACACATACACACTCACTCACACAGACACACAGACACACACTCACACACTATTATACACACACACATTCACACACACACATATATATATATCTTCCGCTCCCATAGGTGTCAGTGGATCACCAAGAGGAGCTGACGGAGACTTGAAAGACACTTAGCTGTAAAGTTTTTCAGATGTAAAATTGTGTTTTCTCATATATAAAAATATCAAAAAAGACATCTAACTCTGAATGTGCCTACATGTCGTCTGCATATCTGTAGCGATAGCATGATGGGTGGAGGGCAACACAGATTAGCAGTTTATAACATTCATAGAAATGAAAAAACATACTGGTCCAGTTTAGTGAAAACTAGTTTAAGTTTATTTTTGAACATGTGTCAGAAACTAGTTCTCTACAGAAAAAGGTATTTCTGTATAAAGTCACGTCAGTCATATTTCACACGCTGACGGTGTTCTCTTTTCTCCTCAGCTGTACATCTGTGATGAAAACAGGCGCGCCAACGAGTACGACTTCAAAAAGGCTCTGGATCTGCTCGAGTACATCGACGAGGTGAACTACGAATGATTCTCCTGTTTCAGAATTGACTCGCCGCGGCTTGACTTCAATTTAAAGTTAATCTGTGTGTATTATCTGTGTTTGTGTTGCAGGAGGAAGCTGAGGACATCGACTTGTTGAAGTGTGAGATCTTCGGCAAAGCGCTGCGGAGAGACGAGTAAGATCTTGTTGTTTTAGGTTTTTTAATTCAATTTTGATTACGCTTAAAGAAGATTTTTACAATCTATCTGTGTGAAATCATTAAAGTCAGTTCAGAGGGCTTTGCAGATGAAAGTAAAAACGTATATAAGAAGAGAAAATGTTGAAAATAAGTCAATACGTTTTGTAAAAACTGATTTATAAATGTTGATTGTAGATGTTATTGATTAGTTTTGCATAACGCTTGGCTATATGTCTAAAATCTTCCATACACATATTGGTCAATTAATATTTTGAACAGTATAATTCCCTCTATGATGTCTTCTGGTTATTAAATAAATATATTACTTTTGTTAAATAATTATGTGGGGAAAACAAATCTTCTCATTTTATGACCTTTAGTGAAAAATTAACATTAACAGTTTCGGGTAGAAATATAGACAACATAATATAAATATGTACGATTTTTTTTATATCGTTTTACAGCCCTAGTTTTATTTATTTATGTATTTATTGTGATGCTGTTCCCCTCAGCTGGTCCTCTGCTGACGGCAGTGACGATCCTCTGGAAGCGGCTAAAGACAGCATCTTCATCAAAGTCCTCCTCAAACTCATCCAGGAAGGTGAGGAACGCTCAGGAAACTGCCTCATTTCACCCTCATTCCATCCACATTTCATCCTCATTCCATCCTCATTCCATCCACATTCCATCCTCATTCCATCCACATTCCATCCTCATTCCATCCTCATTCCATCCACATTCCATCCTCATTTCATCCTCATTCCATCCACATTCCATCCTCATTCCATCCTCATTCCATCCTCATTCCATCCACCTTCCATCCTCATTCCATCCACATTCCATCCTCATTCCATCCACATTCCATCCTCATTTCATCCACATTCCATCCACATTCCATCCTCATTCCATCCACATTCCATCCACCTTCCATCCTCATTCCATCCTCATTCCATCCTCATTCCATCCACATTCCATCCTCATTCCATCCACATTCCATCCTCATTCCATCCTCATTCCATCCACATTCCATCCTCATTTCATCCACATTCCATCCACATTCCATCCACATTCCATCCTCATTCCATCCACATTCCATCCTCATTCCATCCTCATTCCATCCTCATTCCATCCTCATTCCATCCACATTCCATCCTCATTCCATCCACATTCCATCCTCATTCCATCCACATTCCATCCTCATTTCATCCACATTCCATCCACCTTCCATCCTCATTTCATCCATATTCCATCCTCATTCCATCCTCATTCCATCCTCATTCCATCCACATTCCATCCTCATTCCATCCTCATTCCATCCTCATTCCATCCTCATTCCATCCACATTCCATCCTCATTTCATCCACATTCCATCCACATTTCATCCACATTCCATCCTCATTCCATCCACATTCCATCCTCATTCCATCCTCATTCCATCCACATTCCATCCACATTCCATCCACATTCCATCCTCATTCCATCCTCATTCCATCCACATTCCATCCTCATTCCATCCACATTCCATCCTCATTCCATCCTCATTCCATCCTCATTCCATCCACATTCCATCCTCATTCCATCCTCATTCCATCCTCATTCCATCCACATTTCATCCTCATTCCATCCTCATTCCATCCACATTCCATCCTCATTCCATCCACCTTCCATCCACCTTCCATCCTCATTCCATCCTCATTCCATCCACATTCCATCCTCATTCCATCCTCATTCCATCCACATTCCATCCACATTCCATCCACATTCCATCCTCATTCCATCCACATTCCATCCTCATTCCATCCTCATTCCATCCACATTCCATCCACATTCCATCCTCATTCCATCCTCATTCCATCCACATTCCATCCACATTCCATCCACATTCCATCCTCATTCCATCCACATTCCATCCTCATTCCATCCACATTCCATCCTCATTCCATCCTCATTCCATCCACATTCCATCCTCATTCCATCCTCATTTCATCCACATTCCATCCTCATTCCATCCTCATTCCATCCTCATTCCATCCTCATTCCATCCTCATTTCATCCTCATTCCATCCACATTCCATCCTCATTCCATCCTCATTCCATCCTCATTTCATCCACATTCCATCCTCATTCCATCCTCATTCCATCCACATTCCATCCTCATTCCATCCACATTCCATCCTCATTCCATCCTCATTCCATCCTCATTTCATCCACATTTCATCCTCATTTCATCCTCATTTCATCCACAAAGCATAAATAACAGTGTTCTTGACAGCTTGTCAAATGTTTTATTTGGGATCAATAGCTTAAAGTTATCTATTGGCAATTGCACAACTCTTACAGAGAAGCAGTCATTTCCAATGAAAATATACAAATGCATGAAATCAAATAATATCTATTTCTAGTACACTATAATTGCAAATTGAATAAACTAACATAAATGGGAATGTAGAGAATCTAAAAGCATAGTGAGAAATACAGAAATGTTAACAGAGGTGTAAAGAGTGAGGAGAAGCAGTAGTATATACAAATAAAGTAACTACAAGAAAATACATTATTTGATTTTATCTCAGGGAAAACATGCTGTAATTTTCAGATAATAACTTTCTAATAAACATAAGGAGAAATATAAAAATGTATTATGAAACGAATGCATCAACCAAGAAGAACCAGTGTTATAATCGATTCAAAACCAGGATTAATAAAAGGTAATCTCGTTATTCCAACATCAACATTGCTGAAGTTTCTATCAATGTACTTAGTCTCAACGCTAAGAAAATCCAATTTTATATATAAATATATGCTCTTGAGAAAACATGCAGAAAAAAACACTCAATTTAGCACAACATAAACAATCACAAGCTCAAGTATAAGATACAAAAAGCTGTTTGTGAAGTTAATTGTTAATTTCCCCTCGATGTTCAAGATTCAAGTCTTTTATTGTCATGTGTGCATAGCTACAGTGTAGTTACTTATGACAATGAACATCTTAGGTCACAGGCTCCTCCTACAGTGCAACACAATAACACAGATACAATAGTGCAAGAAAATAAAATAGAATATATTAGAAATTGTGCAGAATAGTTTATATACAAGAAATTGGAACATTGATAAGTTACAACCAGATGAATTGTGTTAAAGTGTATATCCCCTCATGACAAACCCCTCTCCATGTTTCAGGCGTTTCTCTGCAGACGTACCTGCCCGACGTCAAAGAGCTGCTGGAGCTGGACGAGCTGAGCTCTCTGAAGTCTAAACCCTACTTTGAGTTTGTTCTTCGAGCAAATTATGAACATTACCTGGAGGCTCAGATGTGAAGAATGTTTCAGAAACACCTGCTTCAGCTTTCTGATCATTTTCAAGATATGTTTGAATATGTTTGTGCTCTTTTCTAAATAAATGTGTTGTTATTTCTGTATTGAGACCTATGTATTTCTCTCATTCAACAAAGATTCCCTCAGAACAAAATACCTGCTTCAGTTTGATGGGTACTGGTTAAGAATTTACTGCCCTATTTTTAAGAGAACTTCGTGATTAAAAAGAATCCCTAAAACCTACGCAGGATAGAATAAAATAACAATAAATACAATTCACTGTAATAGACTAATTTATATACAAGTGTGTAAAGTAGATTAAGTGTTTTTAAATAACAATTTAAATGTAATTGGGTATAGTGAGAGTAACACATGTGCACATTATTCAGGGTTATTGAAAGGGACAATTGTAAAATAGAAGTTGAATATCTTTTGTTTTTAGATTTTAGTTTAAAGGGCTATTATACCGTTTTTTATCAATTTATTATAGGTCTCAGATATATACAGTACCTGTCTCTGATTGGCTGAAACACCAAACAGATCATTGCAGCATCCCATAATCCCCTCTGTTTCAGCCCTGTTTCAAAAGTGCTAATTCTCTGTCTGTTACTTTAGATGAAAATAAGGAGCCCCTCCCCACGCCCCTCTGAGAGAGATTTGGTTACAAAGAACTCAATGGTGCTCTAGGAGGAGATTCAGGTGATAAGGGGGGGGGGGGGGGGTTACCTTGGTTGGTGATTGGCTAATGGTTACACAAGCCAAAACACCGTTATGACATCATAAAGTGGCCAAAATCTGATCAGCTCATTTTCAGACAGGTTTTTATAAAAATGGATCAGGACAAAAAGAGAGAGAATCTTTGTTCCTGAAACTTTCAGAGTCTCTTTCCACAGAGGGGACACATGTTGATGTAGAAGAGACATGAAGAAGAGGGGACACATGTTGATGTAGAAGAGACATGAAGAAGAGGGGACACATGTTGATGTAGAAGAGACATGGAGAAGAGGGGACACATGTTGATGTAGAAGAGACATGAAGAAGAGGGGACACATGTTGATGTAGAAGAGACATGGAGAAGAGGGGACACATGTTGATGTAGAAGAGACATGAAGAAGAGGGGACACATGTTGATGTAGAAGAGACATGAAGAAGAGGGGACACATGTTGATGTAGAAGAGACATGAAGAAGAGGGGACACATGTTGATGTAGAAGAGACATGAAGAAGAGGGGACACATGGTGATGTAGAAGAGACATGGAGAAGAGGGGACACATGTTGATGTAGAAGAGACATGAAGAAGAGGGGACACATGTTGATGTAGAAGAGACATGAAGAAGAGGGGACACATGTTGATGTAGAAGAGACATGAAGAAGAGGGGACACATGTTGATGTAGAAGAGACATGAAGAAGAGGAGACACATGTTGATGTAGAAGAGACATGAAGAAGAGGGGACACATGCTGATGTAGAAGAGACATGAAGAAGAGGGGACACATGTTGATGTAGAAAAGACGTGAACAAGTGGGTTTTGCATAATAGGTGACCTTTCATTTCTGCTTACTACCTTGGCTTCTTACCGTCTGATATCAGAGCATTGTGCTACAGAGTGACAGAAACCTGACTGTCCTCTCAGAGTTGAGAGTCAGGACTTCTTCCTGTCGGGTGACGAGCGGCAGATGTTGGTTATAAATAGATGTATTGGAGGGGATCCTCCGTGATGATTATCCACTCTCGGATAAAGCGGCTGCAGAGGGCTCTCAGCGTCCAGCTCGGCTAAAAATAGTGAAAAAGGTTAGATTAGGGACATCAGCTCCACTAAAAAAAACTATAAAAAATGTAATCCTTAAAGAGAAAAACATAACTCAGTCTTATCCACGCAGATAGCTGACAAAACGGGAGTAATGACTTAAAAACTGACTTAATATCAGTTTCCTTTTCATATATAATGCTCATAAATTAATATAACATTAACATAAACTTATTTTTGATTGAGTAATTGTATTTCCTTTTTTTTTGTATTCATCATTTATCACTTGTTCTGATTGTAAACATTTTATTTTATATTCTATATTTACTATTCTTTTAAATGTATCTTACTGTTTTATGTGTGCACCGTTATAAACCAAACCGATCTGTTTACATGTGAAATTGACAAAAATGGCATAAAAACAAGTAATAGAATAAATAGTAAACTATAGAAAATAATTATATAGTTTTCCATAATAATGTCAAAAGAACGGCATACTACATTTCTGTAATACAAATCCTAAAAGTGTAGTGAAGTTTGTCGAAGCTGAGCTCAAAGGCTGCGATGAAGACCAGACAAGAAGGGATAAATAAGCTTTTTTATTTACAGAAGTACCAATTAGAACAGAACACACTTTGATAATCAGGCATCAGTGATGTGAGCAGGTGTAAAGTGTCTGAAACAAAAGGAAACAGCAGCTGCGTCACAAAAGAAGGAGGAAGCAGATTCTGCAGGAATCCCAACGACAGGTGGAGGTCATCAGGCTGAAGACCCCAAACACAAACTGAACGAGAGGGGGGCTGGATGTCATAAAAAGTCATTCAATGTAATATCAAGTATAGTATGTCCTAAATAAATGGTTTGAAAAGACCTCGTGTTTTAGTATGTCGTAAAAATTCCTTGTATCACTATGGGTCACTAAGGAAGTAATTAAAATGTCATGAACAAATAAATCTTAGCGTACAGAATCAGGTGTAGTATGTCATAAAGAAATGGCAAACAAAACCTCATGTTTAAATATGTCATAAAAGGTTATTGTGTAGTTTACCACACATAGTATTTATAGTCGGCTTTATAAAGATTTCATGTCATAAAAAATCTCATGTCTTAGTACAGTACGTCCTAAAATAAATCTCATAATTAAGTCATAGTCACTTTTACACTCATTATATATTATTTTGTTATGAAAGAATACAAAATAAAAAACACCAAAGTATGACATTCAAAAACTAAGTACGTAGAAGTCATAAAAGCTTATAATAAATGGCATAGTATAATATATAGCATAGCAGGTCATAAAGGAGTCATACTGGGCTTCATTAGTAATGAAAACATGTCAGAATTTAGGATAAAATTCTAAAGAATCTGAAAAATAGTCACAAAAAATCAAGTAAAGTAATAATAATAATAATAGATTTATTTTGTAAGCACTTTTACAGGTGCTCGACGTCGCTTTACAGAGATAGTGAAAAGAAAAGAACAACAAATAAATATAGTTAAAGTCAAATTAAAATCAAGCAATACAACAACAATCACACATTAAAAGCCAGATTGAAGAGGTGAGTTTTTGCACGTTTTTTGAAAGTGGTGAGGAGTAAAGTATGTCTTAAATAACTGATAGTATATATGTAATGGGAAAAATCTCATATAAAAGGTTTTAGTACGTCATTAAAAGGTCAAGATATACTGTAGCATTGAATACAAAAATCCCCAAAAAGGTCAAAATGTCAAAGTGTGTTACCATAAAAATCTAGTATAGAATGCTATTAAGAAAAAAAAAGGTATGTCAAAATGCCTTACAAAAATCTCATAATAATGGTAGTAGTATATAGTATGTGATGCAAAATATGATAGTATAGTAAGTTCTTTAAAATAATGATGTCACACGGTACAGTCTCTAAAGGGACTGAAGGTTCAGAAATGTTGAGTTTACGTCACCGTTCTCTCCTGGACGGACGAGCCTCTGAGATCCAGACACCTCTCAGTATCAGCTGGATAAACACTGGAGAAACACTGTGGGCTCAGTGTCTCTGTCTCTGGTTCCTCAGAGCAGCTGTCCCGTGTGTTGGGGGTCCCGACCTTCGTTTTAGAAACACAACGTCATCAGCTGCTGTGTGTTGTTGATGTTCGAGCTTCCAGCTGAGCAGCGTGACCTCTGTAACAACCAATGATAAGATCTCAGGGTGTTAGATGTAAAAATACACCTGAAGTCATGACAAAAATAATATTAGTTCATGTATTATATCAAAGTGTATTCAATGAGCCAACTTGATGATAGGAATCTGATTGGCTGGCAATAGCATATTTAAAGGAACTAGTCTGTTGCTTTAATTAAAAGTAATTACACTAAATAAGATTATTTCAAATACTTCCGGACCACTTTAAATATTTTTCACTGCTAACCTTTCAACTAACATTTGCTCTACAGTTTCAGAATTTAACTTTAACTTACATTTCTATTTATTTAATTGCTCATACTTCAACTCCTTCCAGTGCCAATAATACTGATAAAGCAGTGTGAACTTCACAATTAACAATCTTTTTTTTTATGCTTACAATTGAATTTCTTTCATTGCTGAAAATACTGAAAATACAGATTTAACTCGGCTCAAAACACCCAAATTGTCCCATAAACTTGAGCGTTTTTATTTTAATAGCTACTTGTTACAGTAACTTTTGTGTGTGTATGTGTGTGTGTGTGTGTGTGTGTGTGTGTGTGTGTGTGTGTGTGTGTGTGTGTGTGTGTGTGTGTGTGTGTGTGTGTGTGTGTGTGTGTGTGTGTGTGTGTGTGTGTGGTACTGGTAGTAGTAGTAGCTCCATACACGGGCTCGAGCGCTCAGCGGTGGGCTCGCGGGGGCTTCCTCTCCATATATGGTCATCCCGGCGCGCCTTCACTCTCCATACAGGAGACCAAATATGGCCGCCGGACCGGTTGAATTCCTGCCGAATACTTTGGCATTCCTAACGGCTGTCTGGAGAGGGAGAAAAAAAAACTCTCACCCCAGGAGGTATGGAGAAGAAGAAGTATATAAGGACCCCGGTGGTGGGTGTCATTCACCGTCTTTATCTGGAACCAGCAGCCGTTAAACTTCTTCACTTTATCTGGAACCAGCAGCCGTTAAACTTCTTCATTGACAACCGGAGAAAAGCAAAGGTAAGCGGCTCAGAGGAGCAGGATGGAGGGGTGGGGAGAAGGAGACCGTCAGAATTAGCTGTTTAATTAATGCAGTCTGGCTTTTTGTAAATGTAAACAGGTGTAACAACTGGAGAATAACCCCAGACTGAGTGGTTAACTGACGGCAGTTGGCAGTCAACCGCAATCTGTTCACTTAAACTTTCATCGGTTAGAAATAAAACTGCTTCTGTTGTGACAGGACCTGATGCATTCAGGCGCTGTGGGATTTATTTTTATTGTTACGTTGGAATGGCAAACACATGACAATCCTGAATTTTCTAAATGCAGTAGTGAAATAAGTTTAGAAATCAGATTTGTATTCATTTATATACCACTGAGCAGCTTAATCTGTAATTATACATCATCATTTATTGTTAAAGTTATCTAACAAATGTAGAGAAGCAAAGTAGCTACTATTTTAAATAGTACCTTAGTTCAGTACTTGAATAAATGTACATAGTTACCAACAACTATTGTACAAATCTAATGTTGTGTGTACCATGTTAGCTAGCATATACATTTATATATACATTTTGTGATTTAAAATATATTCTCTTTTTCATTTTCCAAAAAGCCAAGATTCAAATTTTAAAAAATAGCCAAGGGAAAATAATCATATCACATTTGTAAATAAAAGTTGGTTACATGGTTAACATTTGACAGAGTTTTAAAAGTACATTAAGCCTGTTTTGGTTTTAATATTCCTTAAAAAATAGCACTTGGATGAACGATTGTAGTTTAAATTTCAGATGTACGAGTTTATGAGGAGCACATAAACGCATCATTACTGCAGGGGGAGATAAAGTCATTATCCTTTTATTATTTAAAGAAATAATAACAGTTTATTTAAGTGTGTGACAATTTAAATGGAACAGGGAGTATGTGTTGGTGTGTTGATCATCAAACTCCACAATTGTTAGAAAAGTAAATACAATATAATATAATGGCAAATATTAATAGTAATAACATATGCATTTTATTTGTAGTTGTTTTCCTTAAACAGAACACCACAGAGGTCTGTCTGGGGTTTAAGAAAATATAACGATAGGCAGAAAGTTAATTACTTTACATCAAAAAGAGCTTGTTTTTTGAAACTTTAATGATAGTATTTAGCAGCTGCAAACTGGTTTTTGGTCAGAAATAATACAATTGCAACAAATACAATTGAGACTTCTGAAAGGTGTTATATATAGAAGTGTATCATTGTCATTATTACAATCATTCATTATTATGATGAATGAACTACAAGGAATGTCAATAGAGTACCCAAACATCACATATCCTAAACTAAATACAGTTGCAGTATTTTATTTGAAAAAACAAATCAATATTCTAGTTTGTATACATGTTTCTCTCCCCCTACTGTATCTGTTGCAAACTCACCACCTCCTCATTTCCTCCTCCAGAAGCCGCAGACATGTGTGACGATGAAGAGACCACCGCCCTCGTCTGTGACAACGGCTCCGGCCTGGTGAAGGCTGGCTTCGCCGGAGACGATGCTCCCAGAGCCGTCTTCCCCTCCATCGTGGGCCGCCCCCGCCACCAGGTACACAAGAGCATCCCTCAAAAACTAAATCATACATAAGATTTGTTCATTTAATCCCTTACAAAAACAAGGTCTGAACAAAGTTTTTAGCTACCTTATCTTATATATCAATATACTTATTTCATTATGTGACTGATTAAAACATCTCCAGTAATTAAGCAGCGAACCAAGAGGTTAAAGTCACCTTTGTTTCGGTGCTTGGTATAAATTCTAACGAGGATTTCTACGACCTTATGACCTTTTATCTGCTGCCACCTTCGGGCCAACGTATTATTTTTCTAGTTGACTGAAATTAGGACCTATATGAGTAGACATTTTACCATATTGAGTATTTTTTTGATTTGATATGAGTACATTTAATCTAACTGATAAATACATTTTAATCTCAGCGTATATTTTTTTAGCACAAAGAATGTCCACATGCAGAATAGATGGGCTCAGGATGTAACTAAGAAATAAAAGTACATTTATTTTTTAAAGTATTTCTCATTTCAAGAGCTTTAGTGGAAAATGAACATACCTGTTTGTGAAGAGAAAAAATAAATAAATATAGGTGTAGTCTACATTGTGTTAGAAATGATAAAAAAAAATGTATATGTTTGAAGATATAACATCTCGTCATATCTTCACGCTGTAATTGCAACTGACAATTTGGGACCAATAAGTAAACATTATGGGAGTAAATCACTGTAAACTACACTAGTAGAGTTGTGCAGCGTATTACATGTTAACGGCCTTATACTGAGTGTATCCTCATAGTTATGAACCTTTAAATAACCTGTGTCCCCCCCCTCAGGGTGTGATGGTGGGTATGGGTCAGAAGGACTCCTACGTGGGCGACGAGGCCCAGAGCAAGAGAGGTATCCTGACCCTGAAGTACCCCATCGAGCACGGCATCATCACCAACTGGGACGACATGGAGAAGATCTGGCACCACACCTTCTACAACGAGCTGCGCGTGGCCCCCGAGGAGCACCCCACGCTGCTCACTGAAGCCCCCCTCAACCCCAAAGCCAACAGGGAGAAGATGACCCAGATCATGTTCGAGACCTTCAACGTTCCCGCCATGTACGTCGCCATCCAGGCCGTGCTGTCCCTCTACGCCTCCGGACGTACCACCGGTGAGTCTGCTGTCTCCAACTGACACAATTAAAAAAGATCGCCAACTATTTGAAGTAATTTTCACGCGATTATTGCAGAAAATGACGATGAAATACCGTTTCCCACACTCCCACAGACTGTATATGAAACCTCTTCCTCCCTGTTAACCCTCTTGTGTTCTCTCTCAGGTATCGTGCTGGACTCTGGAGACGGTGTGACCCACAACGTCCCGATCTATGAAGGCTACGCTCTGCCTCACGCCATCATGCGTCTGGACCTGGCCGGTCGCGATCTGACCGACTACCTCATGAAGATCCTGACAGAGCGCGGATACTCCTTCGTCACAACCGGTAAACACAGCACGTCAGCACGAAACACAGCGGGACTATTCTATTTTAACACCTGAAACCCAGACGCTGGTTAGCTGTAGACATGAACCGTTTTCATTCTGTTAGTTACACAACAATGTGAAGCAGATTTTACCATATTTGCCCCAAAAAGGACTTAGAAAAATAGAAATGTAGTAAGTTAATGCAGGGTTTCTTATCTATAGTCTGTCTTAAAACATTTAAACTAAGCTGCTTGATATGAGAACATATTCAATAACTTTCTTAAATGTGGTCAAAACCTTTAATTCGTAGATATTGATAAATAACTATACTCAATTATGATTTTCTGCCGCTTTGAGTATACTGCTAAAATACAACACATTGCTTTTTGAATTAATGACAAGAAAGGAAATTACAAAATACAAAATGGGGCAATAAAAAAGAATGCTAGTTAACTTTAAAGAGCATTTTCTACTGATAAATTTACAACAAAAACACTGAAATATCGCAGTCTATCACAAAGTTTGACCATTAAAAGAAACATTATATTGTGCAGCCTGAATCTAAACACTGATACCTTTTGACAGTAGTTTAATAACATGTATACAGCGTTCTTTGTATTGTTTTGGGCACAAAGTCTGAGCTTTCCTCTCCGTTTCCAGCTGAGCGTGAGATCGTGCGTGACATCAAGGAGAAGCTCTGCTACGTGGCTCTGGACTTTGAGAACGAGATGGCCACCGCCGCCTCCTCCTCCTCTCTGGAGAAGAGCTACGAGCTTCCCGACGGTCAGGTCATCACCATCGGCAACGAGCGTTTCCGCTGCCCAGAGACGCTCTTCCAGCCCTCCTTCATCGGTGAGTATCAGGAACTGCCAGAGGGGGGAAGTAGTGGAGTACAAATACTTCGTTACTGTACTTAAGTACATTTTTCTGGTATCAGTACTTTACTACGACGACTTTTGACTTTGACTTCTTACATGTTGAACACAAATACCTGTACTTTCTACTTCTTACATGTTGAACCCAAATACCTGTACTTTCTACTTCTTACATTTTGAACACAAATACCTGTACTTTCTACTTCTTACATTTTGAACACAAATACCTGTACTTTCTACTTCTTACATGTTGAACACAAATACCTGTACTTTCTACTTCTTACATGTTGAACACAAATACCTGTACTTTTTACTTCTTACATGTTGAACACAAATACCTGTACTTTCTACTTCTTACATTTTGAACACAAATACCTGTACTTTCTACTTCTTACATGTTGAACCCAAATACCTGTACTTTCTACTTCTTACATGTTGAACACAAATACCTGTACTTTCTACTTCTTACATGTTGAACACAAATACCTGTACTTTCTACTTCTTACATGTTGAACACAAATACCTGTACTTTCTACTTCTTACATGTTGAACACAAATACCTGTACTTTCTACTTCTTACATGTTGAACACAAATACCTGTACTTTCTACTTCTTACATGTTGAACACAAATACCTGTACTTTATTTACTTCTTACATGTTGAACACAAATACCTGTACTTTCTACTTCTTACATTTTGAACACAAATACCTGTACTTTCTACTTCTTACATGTTGAACCCAAATACCTGTACTTTCTACTTCTTACATTTTGAACACAAATACCTGTACTTTCTACTTCTTACATGTTGAACCCAAATACCTGTACTTTCTACTTCTTACATGTTGAACACAAATACCTGTACTTTTTACTTCTTACATGTTGAACA